AATAATTTTAATCAATATTAAACAGGCAGATGTTAAAAAGTCACATATATTTATATATCTTTAAAATTATTTTTCTTAAAGATTATAAAAAAAATAATAAAACAAGAGAATATTCTATATTCTTAATTTATTTAACTGCATAATTATATATAAGATCCATTTCTTTAGAATATTAATAATATATTTAAAAATTTAATATAATATTTTAAAAAATATTTTATTTAAGCGCCAGACGTTTCCCAATTGTTCGTTGTAATCTCCATATCGTCCGCTGTAATCTCCCCTTCTCCCAATTTCTCCCACACAAATTAAACCCGACTGAGGATTAAGATATTAACTGAAATGCTGATACTGATTGATATCTGTTAGCCAGTTAGAGTTTGTCAATTTCAACCCGACCCTTTTGTTCAATAGCGATCGATTTTGTTTCTTTTGAGAATCATTACGAGCACCTGTACTACCGGGATTTTCTCTCTTTTGACAGAAGACAAAGATGCGCAGAGAGAATAGAAACCTTGATGCTCGTGGTGAACCACGATAATTGGATCAACTCACCCCTATGAGTCGCGACTGAAATTAAGTAACCTCCGGCATGGTACGCGCATATTCCTGGCGACGGGTTGACAATTTTGTCGAGAACATCCTGAAAAGCTCGCCCAACACTATAAAATAATGTTAATGCACGAAAATGAAGCAGTCGAGAATATAGTATGCAATCCAATTGACACGTTTTACTCGAGTACGAAAATAGCAGCCTATGAAATAACAAATCGTCTAAAATAAAATATTATTTTCTAATAAAGTAAATAATATTGCGTCACATAATTTATGTCAAATATATTAATAAGCTTATACACGTACGTATATGAAAAACGTTTAATTGTGCATTAAAAAATCGAACATGATTTTATAAAAAAGATAACACTCGTAGAAAATAGTAGATCGTGGAAAGATAAAGCTCGTTAAATCATGCTAAAATTTTTCTCTGCCATTTTTTTCATCTTCACTTTAAAAGGAAAAGAGTTATAACCGTCTCAGTTTCCAGAATCACCTAGTATAAGCTATATACCAGTACGAAAATATTTTTCTCGGTAATATAAATATTACATCTCGTTATATGTTGGCGTTACTCGACTAAGAAAGGACTTAAGCTATCAAAATGGCAGGGTCGTAAAGAAAGCAAGCGGAAAAAGCTTTTCTGGTACGACGAAAGCGCTTTGTGAAACCGCGGCTTGTGGCATAGCAAAGCCACCCGAGAAAGGCAATTTGTACAGTGTGCTTAAGTTCCATATATTACTCACAATGTCATCATTTTTCAACAGAGCATAACAACTAATTATACTAATATACGTAATTCGTAAGACACCATAGAATCTTTTGTATATGAATTCTTTTGTATATATTTTATGAAATATATTGTATATATTTTGTATATATTGTATATATTCTATATGAAATCTTTTGTATATATTTTTTGACCAATTTGGAATTGATCGTTTTTTAACAAAAACCATGGTTCCAAAATTATAAATGATTGAAATTTATTAGATTTTTCAGAAACTAAGAGAAGAGCAAAAGAAAAATAAAACCTTTTTCTCCATTTAATTTTAAGTGATTCTTAATTTAATAGAGAAAGAGAGAGGGAGAGAGATATCTATAATTTATAGATTACGAAAATATTAAATATAAAACATTTATATACAATTTACTAGATAAAAAATCGCAATTGTAGGATGAAAAACTCAAATATTCTTTTCGCAGAAGTTAACATTGGAGTAAAATCTCTTCAATGCTTAGCAACAACAAAATACTCGAGGTTATTACTCGGTTACGCGAATAGACAGATCCCCGAGGGTGAAAAGTAGTTTCAAAGCGTCTAGTCTAACAATGGAACGCATGAAAAGAGGGAGAAAAACGACGGGTATGAAAAGTATTCCGGAAAATACAGGGTAGATACGGTGGAAAAAGCACGCGGAAGACCCGGAGAATTCAATGCCAAGGTTGGTATATGTATAAAGTTAAATCGATATTCAATATTCAATATACGAACCAATAGTGAAACGTTTTTGTACAAAGAATTTACTATATTATATTTTATAAATGATATTTTCAATTTCACAGCTGATCTCTTTCTCTCCTCGAAGGTAATCGGTTATATCTAATTTGTGATTATACGCGCAATCATAAGCTTCTCTTGTATAATTCGTTAAAAAATCATGCAAAATTTATTTTGAGAACAAACATGTTCCCAAAGTTTTTCATGAACGAAATAAATATGAGATTTGATATAAATATATTTTATTTAGTTCTTTAGAAATTATATTATGCGAATTGCCAAAAGATTTTGCAAAAAGATACATGCGAATTGCCAAAAGATTTGCAAAAAGATACATAGTACAAAACTTATAAGTCTTCATGGTTGATAAAAATATATAAATTGAATGTCTTGACTACTTGTGTGAAATTGAAACTATTAAAATACTGAAAATATAAAAAAGTATGATATATGATAACTTTTTTTTTAATTCTTTGATATTTTGTATGTATGTGTTTCTAATAAAAAATTATTATAAATCTAATTGTTATATGAATTACTAATCAAACTTTTACGCGAATTCAAGATACAGTCGCGAGAAAACAATAGATTTTGTCCCATATGATTCTCGTTTTCCAACTCGTTTCGTGCAGTGAACATTTCGTTTTCCCTCCGTCAACATATATGTACACATATATACAGTATACATATATACAGTATACACACATATATACAGTATACATATATTTCCAGATTATATCTCTATGGAATACACGTTTTACTGTTTGTGAATATTTCTATATATAGCTTCGATTATGATCTATCCGATTAAATGAAAAAATTGTGTGCATTGTTCCATGAATGACATTGATAGAGTCTATTTGATACCGCATGAATGAAAACGTAAACTCTGCCACACGAATATCTCATGATTTAACAAATATTCAATAGTACAAAATCAAAGTCGTTGTTTAATTAGATTTTTGTTATTAATCTAATTTGATGAAATATATATAATAATTATTTTAATTTAATACTGAATGTATATTGACTTAATTATATATGTTAAATTTCAAGTAATCTTTCATATTATTTTTCTAAACGTTTCATATTATTTTAATAAACGTGTCTTATTATAAACATTAAAGTTATAATATAAACTATTTTTATGCACAACCATGATAGGATTTTCTCATTTTCTCTTTTCCTTTGTTTAAATATTTATTTACAAGTTATATTTTTAATATATAATCCATTATTTAAATATATTTATAGATTACTTAAATATATTGAAGACAATTTTTTTTATTTAAAGCAACCTGTAACTTTGAGATTTGTTAATTGGCTTAATCAACCCTAAAAATATTCTTCGAGAAAAAATTATCGCTCTTCTTCCTAAAAACATCCGAAAACATCGACCTTTTTTCTATCACATTACATTTAATATATCTCTGAAAGAATTAATTAATGTTCAGATTATGTTAAGATTATGACTAGAAAATGCGGAAGATTTCTGCTTTGATTGCCGAAATTATGCCAAATACGGATTTACCACAAGGAGCATGACCAAATTCGACCTAAAGCGAGCCATTAAGCGTATGCATAGTGTCCTCTTCACATACAAAATGTTCGTGGTTCGAGACAACAGCGGACAGAACGGAATGGTATGCGTCTGAACTTTCCCGATAGCGGGATAGAATTCGCAGATTGCATGCTAAAACTTTCAGGCGAGGCGAAACGAAGGAGTGTGTTTCGGGAATAATCAGGTATGAGAATACAATAACGAAATAAAACCGTTGTCATATCGCCACCGCATGCCAATTGTGCTCTACCGTGTTCCAGACGATACCCTCTGATTGGTAGTTTAGATGAAGAAAAATGCGCAAGAAAAAATAAATAATTAACATATAAAATATTAATTTTTTATACAAAACTGCCTTCAAGAAAATCGATTAAAAAAATAGAGAAAATGATAATATATGTTATTTTTAGACCTGGATAACTTTTAACTATCTTGCGATTTGAATCGTCCAATTGTATTTTTTATTTATATTTTATTAATGGTAATATACACAAATAAAACTTTAATAGCGCGATAACTTTTTAATTAATTAACAAATCTTAATCTTTTATGAAACAAATCTTAATCTTTTATTTTATCAAGGGAGGAAGAAAATCCGGGTTGAAAAATAAGAGGTTCAACCGCGATTGTCGGCCTGTCGCAATTGCGATCTTTTTCCCGCAGCATCCAATGCAGTATACATCCTCCCTTTACTTCCCTTGTAGATCCTTGCGGACCGTACTTTTGCTAGCAGCGGGGGAAAGGCACGTTAGTACGTGACTGGAATTCATTTTGCGAACTCTCTGCAACCGCGCATATAGAGTTTTCGTTTTAGGCCGCGTTGCACAACATAAAGAGACTGGAATCCATTTTTCTGGGATAAACTATCCCCATGAGTAACTTGTAACAAGAATAAGATATGATAGACACAAACCTCAAGTATTTAAGTAAAAGAGAGAAAGGGAATAACATTAGATAACAATATATAAAATAATAAAATCGCAAAATGTGCTTAAATACATGTATATGTAATTGTATATACAAGATATACTAATTACACAAATGAGAAATTATATCTATTATTATTACATTATATAGCATTTATATTTAGTTTAATATATAGTCAAGTTTTAATTAAATCTAGAACATAAATATTAGTCACAAAGATATATTTAACACCAACGCAACGATGAAACTTTTTTTCACTTAATATAAATATCACATGGCTAATATAATAGTTTGATGCTATAATAGTTTGAAGCGTTTTATCATGTTATGTTACAAACATTTTGTTAGGCAACATTATTAACTAACATTAGATTAATGCAAAAATATGGCAGTTTATATTATTTTTTTCTTTATAATTTTGGTACACAAATTATGTATACATATTATATGTAAATATAAAACAATCTATACATGTAAGCAAAACAAAATGTATTGTATTTCTGACAGGAATATTTTCGTAGGTACCAATGTAACGAAAGCTCTTTATCGTAATTCCTCTTTATTGAAAAAAATAAATATGATTATTTATAATGTCTTTATTAATTCAAGAGCGAGTTTGTTATGTGCCACATCGACTTGGATTACTTTTACTTCCACACGTTGACCTATATGCAGAGTCTCATTTTTTATGTACCTAATAGGTATCAATCCATCGGTTCCTTCCATACCCACGTCTACAAAAGTTCCAAAATCCGTGACATTTCGCACGACACCGGTTAATACGGTACCAACGCTCAAATCATTGATATACCGCATACCATCGCGAAACAGTGGATAATTCGATTTTAAACGTATATCTTCATCCTTTTTCATAGTCAGAGCTTTAATTATAATCTCCATAATAGTTTCGTCGGTATCGAATTGCGTAGCTAAATTGGCACATCCCGCTTTCGCGTGTGAATTTATCCTTTCGATAAATGCCGGTGTACCAAGATCGTCCAACTTACATTGGCAGTGTCTTAGGAATTTATTCGCTATCCCATACGATTCCGGATGGATCCATGTTTGATCCAAGAGATTAAGATCACTCTTCGATTTTTTATTATCTTTCGTCGTGGTTTGCAAGCTGATTATTGCTGTTTCTGGCCGAATTCTTATGAATCCCGCACACTGTTCAAATGTTTTCTTGCCAATACCTTTCACGTCTAACAATTGTTCTCTATTCCTGAATGCTCCATGTTTAATTCGCCATTCTATGATGCTTGTAGCTCTAGAATTTGTAAGACCAGCTATTCTTCGCAAAAGACATTGGGATGCTGTGTTGACATCGACTCCTACAAAACTCACAGCCTCTGTGACAACCTACAATAATTTTTTCTTTGTAAAAATATAATGGAATGACCTATTGCATTATTTATTCAAATCCCTTTAAATATAATATTAAAAATTATACTTTAATATATATTTATCTAATAGTCAAATTATATATAGAATAATTTTCTTTAATATAAAATACAAAAAAATTCTTTTCATATCCTAATATTTATTTATTATCAAACAACAAATTCATACTAACTTCGTCCAAAGTATTCATCAATTGTTTTTCAGGAAGATCATGCTGATACATCCCGACTCCTAAATGCTTCGGTTCTATTTTAACTAACTCCGCAAGTGGATCCTGCAAGCGTCTAGCTATCGAGATAGCCGATACCAGATTTGGATCGAAATTCGGAAATTCTGATTGTGCTTCAGAACTGCAACTGTAAATCGATGCTCCAGATTCATCAACAATAGTGTATTTCACGTCCAGTGGATCAAACATCTTTGATTGTATTATCTTTGTTAGGAAGGATTCAGTTTTCCTGCACCCTGTACCATTTCCCAGAGCTAATACTGTACATTTATATTTGTTCACCAACTTCACCATACTATCAGCTGCAATGCGAAATGATAATTCATTCTTATGAGGATGTATCACAGTCGTCTCGAGAATGTTGCCGTGTTCCGATATAACAGCGAGTTTACACCCGTGATAGAAACCCGGGTCTATGCCAAGAATAATTTCACCTCGTACAGGAGAAGTGAGCAGCAATTGCTTAACATTAGTCGCGAATACTTGTATAGCTGCCTTTTCCGCTCTTTCCTTCATCTCACTCCGTACTCGACGTACCACCTGAGGTTTAATCAGTTTCTTGTAAGCATAATCAATACCATCGCTGAGTAAATCCTGATGCAATTTTGTAGCACTTCCCATACGATATGTGTATTGTGACAGGCAAAACTTCTTAAATGTATGTTCGAAAGTATCTGGAACTATAACTTTCACACTGATAATCTTTTGCGATTCGGCTCGATTAATGGCCAGTATTTGATTTGGCCTAATAATATCTTCTCTTGATTTAAAATTAAAATAATATTTATACTTGTGTTCATTTACATTCTCTGAAACTTTTGTTGTTTTACACTGCGATGTTTCTATGTAAATAGTAGATTTTTTCCGCAAAGATGTCACTTTATCAAAAACTTCTTTATCCTTGGTAATAACATCCGCTATTATGTGTATAATACCATCTCTTACTTGTTGCTCATTTCGCAAGCCTTCCTTTTCCTTATTTACCAGAGATACTAATGGAGTTATTTTTTGTCCGTGTAAAACAGCATTACTAATATTTTCAAGGCCCAATTCTTTCGCTCTCTCTGCCAAAAGTCGTTTTGATGTTGGTTTATATAAGGCATAAATATCTTCCAGATCAGCAAGAGATTTTGTAGACATGATAGTAGAGTGAATTTCTGGCGACCATTTCCCTATTTTATCGATGGTTTTTAAAATTGTTGCAGCGCGTTGTTTAATAATCTTTGACTCCTCAAAACTTTCCTTAAGTGCTCTCAACTGATCAGGTTCCATAGATCCAGTCATGTTTTTTCTATATCTTGCAATAAAAGGTATAGTATTGTCTTCTTGGAAAAGCTTTATTACCTTTTTAACAATATGTTTATCTACTTTATTGATTTCACTTATGTAATCAATAGTTGTCCATTCCGTACACTGTGAAAGACTGGAGTTTAATTCTTCTTTAATTTTGACATCATTTTTTATATCAGTTTTGATAAAATCTTTCTGACTATGTTGCAATACTCCTGCATCTGAATAATCATTAAATGATGATTCTTCTAGTTTCACCTTCTTATTACCAATTGTTTCTAAATCTTCTTCCTGATGTTTTCTTTTTTTAGATTTAACAACTTTATTCTGCGTACTTTTCTTCATCTTGTTCTTTGTTGATTGCTTATTACTTTCTTTAATTTTCTTTTTTATTTTATTATTTTCTATTGTATAGTCTTCATCTTCAGATTTTGATAATTTGTAGTTCGTTTTATGAGTAGTTGGTTTTATCTCATCATCTGAATCTGATTCAATTATTGGCTGATTACGCTTGCCTCGTAAGTTTCTTTTCATTTTAAAGTTCTCTTGTGTCTGTTAAATAAATTAGTTTCCTAATAAATATATATTTGTGACTTATATGGTAATAGCAACACCATGTATACAGTTGTATACTTTTTCAATAAATTACAATAATATTCAATCAAAAATTCTCTATATTAAAATACTCAGCTATTATATGCAATAATACATTCTTTTTTACATTAAATAATAATTAATGGCTAGAAAAAGATATAGATATATATATGTCATGTTATATGCCTATTTATTGTAAAACTTATTATCTGATAAAACTTTATTATAAAATTTATCCATGTCTCTTTATATTCTTACAGAAACAACGTTTTTTATAAGTTGATATAGAAAAAAATTTAAGTTAAAAAAAAAATCTAAAAAGATAAAACTATTTTTAATATTTAGTTATAATAATATTGTGAATGGATTACCTATATAGTGTATATGGATATATAATGGAATCTAAATATTAGCTAAATATATGTAAACTAAAACGGAAATATGAAGTTCATTAGAACTTTATACCGATGACAATCATAACCTAACAGTCAAATAGTATAACTTTGAGGAAGATTGTAAACACTATACATCGGCATTTAAAAATTCCGTTTCTCCATCAGTTGTGCCATCTTAACGGCATTATATGCATCATCGTAGTATCGATGAAATATTATTAAAGATTCGCAAATTTTTTAATTTAAAATTTCGCGATTGACAAGCGACTCCGGTTTGGGGATAATTTGAGAATTTTGATCAATCATATTCTTTCATTAATTTAAATTATTATAATAATTAAAATTTATAATAATTAAATTATTATAATAATTAAAATTATAATAGAGGGACAAATGATTCCGCTAAAAATGTATTATATATTTTTTTCAGATAAAAAATTAATAATTTCATAGAAATACACACACGCATGTATGTTGGATACACACATATATATGTTTTGTACGCACCTATAGATACACATATACGTATAAACAAAAATTTATTACAAATAAAAATAATACCATCGTGCAATTAATTATAAAAATTATGTGCACATACTTGGTGATGATTAATTGCAGTTTTACTGTATTCTGGAGAAAAAATCAGAAAATATCGGCAGGAAAAGCAGACTGTTCATCCCGGACACAGAAGCGAATTGTCAGCGATGTCGAAGTAACGATGCAGATGAATAATAACGATTGTATATAACATTCGCGTCACGATAAACACTTTACGGAACACTCACGATAACTTTTCGCGCACAAAATTCACTTTCGGAGACAAAAATAATCGCGAAAAATATACAGTGACACACGAATGCATTCCACGATCTGCCAGACGCGTTTCTTGACTCGCGATTCAAAATCAATTCGAGAATCGCAATATCACTTGTCGATAGTATCGAAGTGACATCACACTTGCCAACTGTGTTTTTAGTTATATTTCTCGCATTCAGTAACTTTTCTTTAGGAACAAATATGTCGAATGGCGGTAAAAATTTGCCCGTTTTTTACTCTAGAGAAAAATTACACGGAAAGAGCAAAGTAAAATAAGAAAATGCAATTCAAATAAGCTCTCATTTTTAATGTATAAATAAATTTATTGCTTGTCAGTCATTCACATTTATTAAAAATAGTCACTTTATTAAATAATGTGAGAAACTCTATATTTTTTGCGAATAGTAAGTAGAACTTTTATGGATATAGCATTTTGATAATAGTTTATATTTACAGTAGAAAATTTGTATTTCACTGTGCTTTTGTTCTATAGGACCTGAAGATGAATTATGAAAGGGTGTGACAAGTATCAGTAATGCAGGAAGACGCAGAGGTAGAGCAAGAAGAGTAGTGAAAAGAGAGAGCTCCTAAATAAGGAGCAAATTATTGGCATGGGAAAAATTCCGATACAATTTCCTGGTCTAAACACTCCTGTGTTTAGAGGAAAAGAATTAATTCAATAGCAAAAACTGCTTGTAAATCTTGAAAGAAAGCAAAAATTTATGGAATTACCACAAAGTTAGACCAGACCAATGCAAATAAAATTATCGCCATTGGAATGTGGTTGGACGAGTGTTACAATGGATGGCAGAAGCATTGAATCAGATCTTATTGGAAAAGGTTAATATTTATGCTATTATTGGATTATAATGGTTAAATCACACACATACAAAAATCATGTGATACGATGTCTATTTTCAATTTTTTTTTTTGATGTTTCAGTTCTAAATATTAGAATCTTATATAATTAATATCTTTGTTTTCTGCAGATACATTTGAAAGTTTTGAAACCTGGATTTTGGAAAACAAAATGATAACTTGTATGACCAGTAATTTAGCACATAGGATTAGAATCAATTCATTTATAGTAATTGGGAATGGAAATGGATTGGCTGGATTTACGTTATCAAAAGCCAAAGTATCCCTAAAGACGATTAAAAATAAGGCTGGTCAAAGATTAATGTATATTCCTACATATAAGGAACACACTGGTAAGAAAATACTTGTCAATACTATATAATATAAAATTTATTTCTTCTCTTTTAATATCACTTTGTATTTTTCAGTGTTACATGATTTCTTTACACAGTTTGAGAATATAAAAATATTTGTAAAGAAAATTCATGAAGGATAATGGGCTTGTTTGTCACCATGCGATAAAAGCATGTTGTGAGATAATTGGCATAAAGGATATGTATGCCAAAGTACAAGGAGGAATGTAAAAGCATTCTAAACCGTATTGGTTTATTGCAATAGGTGTGAATATAAAGTATTTAAAGGCATATTATACTTTTTATTTAATTTATATTAGAAAGAAACATTTTTTGTTTATAAAAATATATATATATATATATATATATATATATATATATGTTAGATATAAAGCTAAAAAAAACGTGGATTGTGTCGATTAATTAATTATTTGTTTTATTTAATTATCAATTTATATATGTATATTATTAACAATGATTTTTTGTTTACTTAAACTTTATAAGGTTGTACATAAGAAACAATCTTTTTTATTTAGTATTTCAAGCATATTTTCATAGAACTTTAATTTAATTATTATATTATTAAAAATATTGAACAAAATAAAGAATTAAAGCTGGCTTTCTCTGTAGTCTCATGGCAGATTATATCAGTAATCATACTTTAATTATTGCAATATATCATGAAACAAATCAATCTCAAAATAATGGAAATATTTGCAGAAATATCAACAATTTGCAAATGAAAAATGATAGCATTTAGTCAAAGTTAAATCAGAAAATGGGAATTATCCAGTAGTACTTGTTTCACCAGCACAAATCAGAAAACCAGAAGTACCGTCAATGAGTCTCGATTTTATGCAGTATGTAATGGATAAAAGAATGGTGTTGAAAAAGAAGAAATTACTGCCATTCTTTACTAAACTTCCGTCTTACAAAAGAAAATTGGAATGTTGGATTTGAACGAATGAGAAACTCCGATGAAACGAAAATACAATTGTTAGCGAAATATGGAAAACTGCATTTTCTGACAGAAAAATATCCAGAGGCACAAATATTTTATAAACGAAAACCACGCGAAGATGAAACAATAGAATAAAGAAGCCGTATAATCATTGTACTTTTATGTATAAACGTTTCACAAAATAAAATCTTTATAAATGAAGCGTTACATTAGAAATATTAGTATAAAATTAAATATCCACGTGAGATTTAAAATTTTTTGTCCTTTTTTTTCTTTGGAATTTTTTGTACTTTTTTTTCTAAAAATTCTTTAAGCGAGAACTGCTTCTTTCGCAAGACTATTGAACAATTTGAATATTTGATGTCTTTTTAGTAGTCTAAATTTCGTGAAAAAATTCGAGAGAAAATTAGATTTTATCGTATTACTGCACATATCGATTAAATGCTATATCAAATGCTATATGTAGTGTAAATATTTTAATTTTTTCGTGTACGATCTATTTTTTATTCTATCGATGTTTTCATAGTGATGCACCTTGAGCATTTTACTTCATATATTTGCAATAAAAATATATTAAAGCAAATTATTTTGCAAATTTATTATTCTAATTTTTATTTAGAAAGAATAAGATTTAAAAAGACGTATGAATTTTTTCAGATTTGTTTACATATTTTTATTGCAAAAAACGCATCAGATAAAATTGACTTTTCTGTACATTTTAAATGTGCCAAAAGATTTGCTCTTTATTCGACTTACTGCAATAATGTACACTAAAAATGACAGATCTATTAAAAATGATAGATTAGTAGTATATCTAGTAGTTGGAAAGAAAGAGAGCAGAAATCAAAAGTGCATCTAGAGAATTTAAAAGAATAAAAAAATCTAAAAATAATACATAAAGATTAATATTATGTATTTTTTTCATGAGGAATGTGGAGCGCACATTTATGCATTTATTTATTTAGATGAGATTTACTTTAGAGCACATTCAGTATTCAATTTTAATTTTATTTTCTCTTTCTTATGATATATAAGTATAACATAATTACTTGCAAATGCTATCATTTTTGTGTGCTTACAGTGATACAGAAGCAACATTACAAGTACTATATTTACAGATAACATCTGTATAATAAAAAAAGCACCAAACGTCTAATGGTGAAAAAAGGGTAAATATTATAGACCAGCATAAGTATCAATCAATTATTCCATCGCTCTGTTTCATTAGAGTTGCAATTTTCTTTTATAATATCATGAATATTATAAATAAGATAAAGATTTCAGTACGTTTCAAATAAATTTATATATTTTATGTATGTAATACTGCGCACACATATTAAAGGTGATAATATCGCAGTTAATAAGATACAATCCTGGCATGTAGCGATTTTTGGATTCTGAAAATAATTTAATTTGATTTATTTTTAAGAAATACGCACAATATTTGAGAGCAAATTATTTTTGTGCCATGTATTACCTGTGTAAAATTCCACACACAGTATCATATTGTCTGCGGTATATGAAAAGCTTCATCGATGAAATAATGTGATAATATAATTGAGATATAAGCAAAATAATATAGTACTTGTAATGAATAACGTTAATGTGGAATACATAAATATTTTATATTTTAATTTTATGTAATCGAGATAAGACAGTCATGATTACTTCAAAAATGTATCCAAATATCATGTAACTTCAATAGCTGCACATTCGTCAAATTAATCCTATTACGTTAAATGAATCACAGCAGTGTTTGTTTTAATTTAATCTAACCTAACCAATTATATTATATGCTCCTCATTAAAATGTGTAAAACTGTACGTCGCACATTTAATACGATTAATATACTACGTAATAAAATGTAATACACTAATGAAATAATTAAATATTATTTTTAAAAGCATGATACAATCCAGGCAGCATACGCTTGTGTTTACATTCGATATCCAAAGACAGAGGTTAGGTTAGGTTAGGTTAGATCAAACAAATTTATCGTTTAACAGTTGGCAGCCCTACGAGATAGGCTGTGCAGCACTGCGCGCGCGTACAAAATAAATTTGAAATCGCTTTTAGCATAACCATCTTCACGCGATCGACTTTATTTGAATTGCACCGAATCGAATTATGATGCAGCGCCGATTTATCCGAATGTAATTCGGGAATGTACATCGCGATGCTGTATAAGCGTCGAATGAGCACGAATTATCACGCAAATATGATAAATCAAATCTACTCACCGGCTGTTCCACAGGCCGCTCCTCCTCGGGACAGTTCGCTCGCCTCGGGACGTCCCATTCCGATCTTGATGCACACAAATCCACACGATATCATCAACGTGAACGCGCGACACTTTATTCGGCACTCCCGATACTCGCTCGCATCCGATAATCATCATCAAGGGCGCGAATAACGCGACGCAACTTCGCTCCATCTTCGCGATGACGCCATCACTGAATATCGTCAAAAATCGCTGTCGCGCGTTTCCATCGACACACTATAAAAGTTGCGCGATCATCCTTGAACACTTTCGACGCTCGTTCACTCGCGATATTCGTTTAAAAACGGTTAAAAGACGCGAAAAATGCGGACGTACGACGATCCGTGTAACTGCGTATGACTCCGAGTCACGTATGACGCCTATGACGTAGCAATGACGCGTATGACGTAGCAGTCACGCGCCAACATGGCGGCCGAACCACTGCGCATTCGTTTCTGCTCATGGCCATTCCTGCGCGCAACGTTCGCACAACTTTGATTTCTGAAATATTGTTTACGGCTTTAATTAATAGCACATAATGATAAATATATAAAGATGGAATCAATTAATCATATTGGTCATATATGTAGACTTGCCTGAAGGAAGAGTAAAAATTGAGAGATATTTTTAATTTTTTTTTTAATAAAAAATGGAAATGTCTATTCATAGGCTTGTTCTTCTTTTTCTCTTTTGTGCAATTTCGATTCAATATATAACGTAGAAAATTCATAGTATATTGCATTTATTTTTATATATTCACAACTATAATATTCGCGCGATCATTTTTTGACATTTACAATACTCGTGTACCTTGTTCTCGATGTTCATTTTTAAAGGAATAAAGAGAATTATATATAAATGTAAATAAATTGTCCGAAGAGAGAAAAAATTGAGGGATATTTTTAGTTTTTTTAGTAAAGGTTGGAAATGTCTATTCATGATAGAAATGCAAAGAAAGAAAATTATTATGTTTAAAATAATAATTTCATATGAAATACAAAATTAAAAGTTACATTATAGAACTTTACTTTCTAAAAGCGTAATAAAACAATCAAATAGTAGACAGACAAAGGACTAATTGTAAAAGAAAAAAGTTGTTAACTTAACTAAGCCATTTAACTAAATTATTATCTTTTTAATTGGAATATTTAACTATTATAAATCTAACATAACATTTATTTAACTTAAATATTTCGATATTTCAATTTAAAAAAAAATAATTTAGTTAAATGGTTTAGTCGAGTTTACAACTTTTTTTCTCAGTGTACGTGAGTGTGTGTGTGTGTGTGTGTGTGTGTGTGTGTGTGTGTGTGTGTGTGACTTTAAAAATATACTTGTATATAAATACAATTCTCACATACGTCACAGTACGCGTTAAATATTTCGGCAGCGAGCTAACACGTCATTCGAACTTGTGACGTCATTTGGCCTTGTGACGTAGCGCGCTATTGTTTACATACGCGACGACCTCCCCTCATTCGCACGGCGACATTCCAACGGAGAAAGTAGCGATACGGACCGCTCCGTATTATCGAATTCTTTTCCTAAAGATACGATCGCGATTAGATCGAAATATAATAATTCGACTATTACAAATGACAAATAATTAACTCTTATAATAAATACAATTGTGGCGACGATAAATTCATCGAAACGCGATCTTTCATTATTGCAAATAAAAATTGAAGCGAAAGGGGCAAAAATTACATATTTTCTCGCAATATTCTCCGATTATCGAACTTTACGAATAATAATTATTTCTTTAACATTGCGTAGAATGAAATTCGATTTCGCCCGATGTTTTAAACTTTCCTAAACTGCATGCATATATATCATATTAATTAAACGATTGCTGTATCATCAATTTACATTACTTTAATATTTTAATCTTATGATTCGCGTTATTATGCATATATTATACATCAACAAATAGAAATAGTTAATTAGTGTAAGAATCGAATGGTGCATGATTTTGGCTTCGTTTAAAAATCGAGCGAATTATTGTAATTTTTGTGTTCCTCTCTTGCAATAATAATAAAATAATAATAATATTATAAAAATACGTATCTCGTATGATTATTTTGCGATCGGGAGTGCCGTGCAAAGTGTCTCGCGATCGTTTCTGTATATGACTGAAATATAATTAACTGAAATATAATTGTTTGTTCGCGAGTAAATACGTGACTGCTACGAGAAAACAACAAAGGATGAAACAACAAAAGAAAAGGACATCTGGAAAAGTATCGAACAGTCAGAAATCAGGGAGAGAGCCTGAAGCAGCCAGAGAGATGCGGTGAGTAATTTATAAAAATTATTTATTATTTATTATTTATATACACTATTTTTAAAATAGATATATATTGCTTATTATTTTATTATCGTTTTATTTTTCGATCATTTAAATATATAATTCGGATTGAAATGCAGTAAAACAATCGAATCGTAGATCTAAATAATTAACTTAACAAAAAGATCCATAAAAGATATATTAGTTCTTTTAATAAATAATATCGTATACTTAATCTATATAAAAATGAAATATTATCTATTTATTTCTAAATATTAAATACTATAAATTTAATAGTTATATATTTTGTAAAATTTAATTAAAAGAATCTTTAAGATATTTCAAAAGAAACGAAGAACTTTTCTTAACGTAGAAAAAGTTAATTATAAACAAATTTATATTTAATTATTATAATTAATTTGTATTTAATTTTATTGGAATTTTATTATTAATTTTATTGCATTGTCAAACTCTACGCGATCTCTGTAATGATAGCTATTCACGAAATAGGTACAGTAAAATAATCAATTATTATCGGAAAGAGGCAATAATATACTTTTAAATCTAATTTAAACTTTTGATAAACGATATAAAATTTTTTTATTATGATGAGAAATCTTTATTAAAGATCATAATTGCAAATAAAAATGGAAATAACTTCACGAAGTATATTAATCGTTTAATAAATAATTAATCCGTGTGTACGTGTACGTGTGTGTGTGAGTGTGTGTGTGAGTGTGTGTGTGACTTTAAAGATGTGTGTTTAATAAATTATTAATCCGTGTGTGTGTGTGTGTGTGTGTGTGTGTGTGTGTGTGTGACTTTAAAGATATACTTGTATATAAATACATTTGTATATAACTTTAAAAATATATATTTCCGTTATGTTAATTATCCGATTTTTATTCGATCGTTTTATTGCGCGTTCTGAATCAAATTATATTTAGATCAAATGATATCAGAGAGAATATTTATTTATTATATTAGAATTCTAAATGTGTGGGTGTGTGTACACATATATATTAGGATAGAAACGAAATAGAAATAGAAGAATAATCATTGCTCGTAAAGATTGCAACAAAGTAATAATTTATAATTTTGATTCCTATCGTATAATCGAGTATCGTATTTCGAGAGCAATCAACTATTTATTAATAATAAAATTGTATATAACTTACGAATATATTCCACTTATTCCGGACGTTAATATCGCGACAACGACGAATAAACTTTTCAAAAAAGTTCAATTCAACTATTTCATATATGAGACAGTTCTACCAATCACTGATACAAAAAACTCGTCAATTGACCAGTTGGTGAAACTGTTTCAGTCCTGAGTATTTTCTTAAAAGAGCTGTTGGCGCACATACATGCGTGCATTATGTTTACGCGCGTCACGCGTTTGAACGAACCTTAACATTCTCGCGAGTAAAGTCACTAGATTAACAAAGTACCGCAATTTTGATCTCAATAAGATAAGATGGAGCAAAAATGGCGTCCGATAGTGCACACTTTGTGTAGCTATCTATACTAAGTGCAATTTTTCTAACCTTGATCCTGGTTTGTCCTGTGTCCTGTGTTGTGTGTGAGGTGAGAAAACTCTTTCTGTTGCGCAGAAAAAGAAGAAAATATCAAAAATGCCAGATTGTTGCGTGGAGAAATGCAACAATCGCAGCCTATATCTATACTATCGGACGCCATTTTTGTTCCAGCTTATCTTATTGAGATCAAAATTGCGGTACTTTGTTAATCTAGTGACTTTAACGGTTGTTATATTCGTACGACATCTTGATTCTCGAAAACAATAGGACCAATCGCAGTGTTTCTTTAACGTAGATATAAAATTCGAAATATTTCATTAAAAATAGTGAATTAATTGCAATAATATTTATTAAATAATTATATTATAAATAATTATATAATTTTCAATAAAAGGCTTTTAACATTTTAAATTATTCCGATGACATTTATAAGTACAGATTAAATTACGTTAGGTTAAGATTAGAAAGTTAGGTTACGTTAGCTCTTAAATTTTATCATGTTCGTATGTCGGCATACGTGTGATCCAATATAGTTATTTATTTCTCATATCGTTTTTCTTAAAAATGGTAGAACGTTATCGACAATTGCTTAATATAATAAAGAGAAAAAATGCGATGTTTCAACATGCAAAGCAAATTGTCGAAAATGCTACGGAGAAAGCACAGAACAAGTTTTTTAACGCCCAAAGCGTTGCACCTGAGAAATGTGATATTGTTGTAAAAGTAAGAATTAAAGATATCAAGGCAAAACGTTTTTACCTCGATTTAACATGTTTTCTTTATTGATAAATGCATTATGAGCAATAGCAATTAATTTAGTTATTTTAAGAAGCACATTGATTTGAAATACCGATTGGATTCTTATGCGTTGAATTATGTCTTTATGTACAATTTCAGCTACATTTTTTAGTCAATTACTCAAGAAATTTTTCACATTTTTAGGGAAAATTTAAATTGGATTAATTATATAAAATAAATATAAAATAGAATTCTCACAGTTATCTCTTTGATTCTGATATCATTCAACTGTACCTGAGATTTCTTTAATATTTTTATTATTAATTACTGCAACTTTAAGAAGAAGTGTTTTAATATTTTTATTAAAAAAAGAATTAACTTCTAATTAGATGAATAATCTCTGATGAAAATATCAATTTATAATTTTGAATAATTATAGATAATAATTATACACATACATAATCATTAACTTTTATGTTATAGAAACTTGATGATCAAGGAACTGTTATTATGCAAGATTTAAATACCAAAGCATTACAGCCAAGCACAGAGTTGCCAGAAAAAATTATTAAATGGTGGCAATGGTACAATCAACTAACAGGATTGAATACTGTTGAAGCAGCTAAAAGACAAGTAGTTGTTATTCAAGATAAATTGTTCCAATGTCAAGATAATAGAAGAATCTTGAACAAAGAATTAACAAGCATGACTCATAAATTGCAAGAACTCTATGCTGAATTAGTTCAAACAAAACGAGATGACCCTAAATTTGTACATTTAACAATAATGGAAAATAAGTGCTTGCAAGAACAACGTAAAGTCCTTAATCAACTTGCTTTAACAGAGAAAGAAGAGAGCGATAATTTCACTCGGTTAGCTACTGCTATTAAAGAATATCACGACAGTCAGAATTTAAATGCACAAAAATATAAATATTTATCTATTCTTGCATCTGCCATAATAGCAATTGTATCATTAATTGGATCAATGATACTTAACAATAAGAGGATACTAGATGTAAGAAATACTATAAAAGCAGTACAGGAAGAGAATGAATCGTTACATAAATTAAACACAAATGAGTTGTCCAATCTTAAAAAAATATTGCTTTCATTTGATAGCAAATTATCCAAACAATCTACAAATATTATTAAAGAAAAGGAGAGTGACAGTTCGAATAATTCATCTAATATTCTCGTAACTTCTGCCAAGTATTCAGCATATTTGTTAATTTCAGGAGCAAGTTATATTAAAAAAAGTATTTATGCATGTGGGTCATATATCTTTTACAAATAACAAATACTTATCAAAAATATACAACTGTTTAATAACATGCAATTAAATTTATATAAATCTTGTTTTTTCTTTAATATATAATGTATATTTTTATCAAATTTTCATAAAGCAAAGAGAGAATTATGATATATCATAAAACTTGAACAATGATAAATGTAGAAAAAAATATTAATGTAATATATATTGAAGTAGGAAATGTTTTTTGTAAAGTAAGAAAAGAAAGCAATTATATTTGTTTTATATTTGCTGGACGTAATCCTTCACATTTTCCACAATCCATACATATTGTAAGATATGTTTTATAACCATCAATTTTTTTTTAAATATTGCAACATTGTAATTATAATTATAAATTCTAGATGTAATTCTAGATCTGTTAAATAAATAAATTTTTAATGTAAAATGGTATAAGTAAATGTTAATGATTTATATATTTTATAATTATATAAGATAAGCACATGGAAATTAGTATATTATACTATTGAATTAACATGCATAAAAAAAGAAATATTACAAAATATTAATAAAGGTATTAATGTACTTTCAATAATATATATATTATATTTAATGATATGATAACTGAATATAATTATTGCATACAAGAGAAACACTGAAAAACTGATATTTAAAAATTTGTCAGAAATTATGAGTCCCAAGATTTCCATTCCATTCCATCTGGTGGTTTTCTCTCAACTGTTCCATGTCCCACTTCTTCCCAATTAGTGCTCAAAACAGTGCCACCAGATTCTATCTGTATGAGGATATTTTTAAATATATTTCTTATGATAGATTATTATATTATATTAATAAGAATATATTGAGAAGAATTTATATGCACATATTTTTTTAATATAATAAGCTAGTTTCAATCAAATGTTTAGGATATGGAATGAAAAATTAAAAATATCACTGTATGCAATAAGTTGATCTTAACGTAACATTTATTGTACAATTAAAAGCAGCTAGAAATAAATTAAATTTATTTCATTTATGCAAAATTGAATTGCTACAAAAGATATATATTTAGTAAAAATACATTTTTTAAAATACTTATATATTTAAATAGATTTTGCATAAGATTTGCAATGTGTGGTATTATGAACAAACTTTCAAATTAATATCTCTTTTTTTTTTCTTCATTTAATTTCAAAAATATAAATATTTTACTTACAAAGGACTTGTTCATCGCTCGTCTTACTTCATCAGATCCTTTACCATATATTTGTTGGAAGAGAGCATTTATTGCTGCATCACCCTCTGGTTGTTCAGCTGCTTCTTGTTTTTCTATTTCTTTTTCTACTTTATCCCAATCTCTATGTACTTTAGAAGAACTTGGATATTTAGATGTTTGTTGGCTAGCTTGGAGTATTTCTTAAATAATATACACAAGTTTAGAGAAATGTAATTATTCATTATCTATAATTTTATAATAAAAAAATACATAATAAACATATATTAGTTTTATAGTGTAATAAAATTTTTAGAAACTATATTATATATATTAGTATTTCTCTTTAAAATGTATGTTAATTTTATAGAACTTTTTTTTATTATGATTCTACTATTATATATTGTCTGTAATATCAATCTTATTGATATCATAAAAGTTATATTCAAATAATATACAATAAAAATGTAAGATTTTGCATTATATATAAATTATAAATATTATTATTTAATAATATAAAATATAAAATAAACTAAGCATAAAATAAAATTCAAAATTTTTGATATGTTGGATATGAAGTTGCTAAATATTATTAGCAGACATTATATCTTCATCTCATAAAAAATTTGAGATTTATATTTTCCCAGATATATTTCTCTATAAAATAATAAAAGATTTATAATTTACCATTTGGTATAGGTTTTACTTTCTGTTCAACTGGATTTCCCTCTAATACTGTCCATCTAAAATCATCTTGTTTTTTCAGTTTGATTTCTATTTTAGATGGCCATACTTTGTGTGTACATTGTTCAACTACTATCGGGTGAGCCAAATCTAATTCTAAACTGTATTCGTTACCAGATGGCAATTTTGCAGATACACTTAGCTGAAAAGTAATTTATAAAAATAGAGCAGTTTACATAAGTATCATTATTCTTAATTAAATTTAAATCATTAAAAATTTTAATTTTTTTGCATTATATATATAACAATCTAAAAATAATGGACAATTCAAATTATAATGTATACAAATATTTAGATATCAAGGTATTTCAAGTATTATCAAAGGAAAACTTGCTTGGAAAATATAAATCTATTATTATCATATATAAAATCATCTCAAGATGTAAGGTTTTTGTTTAAGACACACTTTTGTTTTGACAAATAAATTAACTCCTCTGATATCTTGGTAGATAAGCAAGCTTTTAAAAACATACCGCATTTTCTTTACACACAACTTTTACATTTTCCGTATTTTTTGCAAGTATTGTCACGATAACGTGAGTCTCTGTTTGATACCAATCATGTTTTATTTTTGGAACGGGCATCTACAAAACGAAAATTGAGCATTGTATTTAGATATTTCGAGATTATATTTTTACATTACATTATTTGTGTGTATAAACTTACTACATTATTTTCCATTGTGGTGATAACGTTGTCAACACTCATTGTATCTTTATCATTCACAATTATACTTTCTTTAAGAAACGGTAAAACATAACGTCAACTATAGGATGTTTATTTTTCTCGAATTGTCCTATTATCTGCGATCATCAAATAGTCGAAGGATGCTGCAAAACAATCCAGGCAACTGTGTACTGCAGTTTATTTGATCTGACTTGGTCAATAAAACACTTCGAAAGTCATCTAATCTAACATCTAACTCGGATAATGCTCCGAAATTCACTGTCAGTGTTGGACATGTGTAACAAATAAATCTATACATCTACAATTCAGACTTTTTAAAATCATGAGAACCAGCATTAAATTCCACCAAATACCTTATCGGAGTTTCTATTGGCGATTATTAGCGACATCTAACCGTAATCTAAATCCACGACGGGGCAGCAGCTGTTTCTCACGATGCTTTCTAGACGATGGACGGCTTCTAGTTGCCCGTGACTGTTACATGTATAACAGCGACTGATTTCCAGAATGGCGACCGTCTTTACTTAGGAGAGAGTACTTATTGTCGCTCTTAAAATCCGCGAAATTGACCAGCGTTTACGAAGTTATCTATGCGCCCTTAACTCGACAAAACGCTGAAAATGATAATCGACAATCCTGATCAATTCAAGGCGTGGCTCACCGCTGTGCTGGAGCCGCTGTAAGTAGGCCAGCTTACCCAGAGAGTGTATCTTTACGCGTATGTGTATCTGTACTCGTTTGATGTTGTAAATGGCCGTACATGTGATGCGCTATGATCTCCGTGTGTGGCATGATATTTACACGAGGTACTACCGGGGATTATTACCCCCCTGTCTGTGGCACGACCAACAGGATAAATCATTCTCGACACTCGTGTTCATCCCTTCTTCAACATTCTGTCCAGACTCTCTCTATAAATTTAACCATCAACTAATCTTCTAGTAATGTATTCTTTTATTTTACTGATCTATGTCAATACGTGAGAGAATTAAAGCTTGAGACTGGGCTGCTCTAACTTTCGCTGATATCTTCTTTAATACGTAGTACATAACATGCAACAATGTATTGTATTATTGTATTACACGCATGAAATTGCGATATTTCTATTTTTTGATGACTGTAGCTTGTTAGGTTCTATATCGATTAAGATAATTAATAGATTACTTTAGTAAATGCTAAAATCTCAAATAGATATTATGTTTCGTAAAACTTTATTTCAATGTGTAATCTTGATCATGAGGAGACTTTACATATAAAAGTATCACATAATTTTACACAAATCACTGATGTTTTATTTATTCCACAAATATTCTTGTTGAAAGAAACGATTTTCTAATTATTTTGAACAAGCATGTGTATTTTAATAATTATTATAATTCATGTTTTGTGTCTATAATATGAACATTTAATTAAATTTATTAAACATTTTGTGTTTATATTTCTATAGTGCCTTATATTGTCCAAACTACTTTTGAGTTTAAATGATTCAACGCTGATGGATTAAATCATATTTGAATTAAAAAGATAACATTCAAAAATTTATTAAATACAACTATTAATGTCAACTATGTTTTTATATATTATCAAACATTTTATTTTCTTTTATTAGATGTGATGCAGATCCTGCTGCTCTAGCTAAATATGTCTATGCATTGGTTAAGAAAGATAAGACTTTGGAAGAATTACGTGGTGGTATGGTTGAGCAATTGGATGTATTTCTACAAAATGGTATATTTATATATAACACTTCACTATTAAATTAGAAATTTAATCATCTATTTGCTTATGATATTAAAAATATATTGAAATTGCTGTTTTTTTAGAAACTAAAAGCTTTGTGGAATTACTTTTTAAAACATTGGAGACTCAAAACTATGTATTCCCACCCTCCAAGAATGATCCTGATGGTGGTGGGACACCACCTGGTGTAAATCCACCAGCACCAGTTGTATCATCCTCGACAGAGAAAATATTGGAGACAACAATTCCACTAGTACCTATGATTACAAATCCACCTGTACCACTTCAAATCAATGGCTCCGCGCCTGCTGTAGTTAGTAAACGGGAGACCAAGAAATCTGATTTGGACAAGGATAAAGAAAAAGGAAAACGTTCTCGAAGCAGGTAACAATTTAATAGTAATTTGATGTTTTAAAAAATGAAAAAAAGTATAGATTATGACAAGAAAAGCTAACAAAACTTTAGAATTTTTTCTTTTTCATATATTAGGCTTTAGTATAATTTAGTTTAGTATATTGGGATTTCTAAATTCTATCATCACATGTTTTGTGCAATATAGAAGTGGCAGAATGAGATCAAGAACACGATCACGTTCACGATCTTGGGAAAGGGACAGACGTAGATCCAGAAGTAGAGAACATATTCGGCGCGACAGAGAAAGAGATAGAAGTCGACCATGGAGAAATGAATCCCCACCTAACACTAGAAGACATGATCGCAGGTGTGTTTTTCTAACATTTGAAGAAATGTATTTATTCTTAATACTTTAAAAACTTTGAGAAATACAAACATAATGTTTCATTAAACGTTTTTATAATCTATCTTTCTTTTAAGAAAAATGCATTTAAATAGATAAAATCATTATTTTAATAAATATTTTTTTAGTCAATTATTAATTAAATCACATTTTCTTAAAGTTTTCAAATAATTCTCAGATATTTAACTAATTTATTTTTTAGACGTACTAGAAGTCGTAGTACATCACCGATACGACCTAGGATACGCGATGGTCCAGACAATCGTGATCATCGAGCAAGGTTTAGAAACAGATCTCCAACTCCGCTTCGATCTCGATCGCGTTCTAGATCAATAGAACGAAAAAAGATCGATCGTTTCGAGAGAATAGAGATAGATAGGACAGATCGAATCGAAGCAAGTCCTGGTGGTGGTACTCCGACTCAAGATAGTAATCACGGAGATGTAGACATGAGGCTATCTACAACTAGTCAATCAATACAAAGTGTTGTCTCTGTTGCGAGTAATATTCCAAATAACCAAACAACTTCTTTTCAACAACAAGCAAAAAGACGTTGCAGAGATTTCGACGGTATGTACAATGGTATGATATTCAAAAAATAGAAAGCTATCAAACGTTGTCACTTTTTTTAAACACTTAAACCGATAGCGATTTTCGATATTACAAGAATAATATTAAATGAAAATTATTTAATTTTGCTTAAATAATTGAGTTGATTAGTCATTTCTCTATATCTCTAATATTTTTACAGAGAAAGGATATTGTATGAGAGGAGATCTTTGTCCTTATGATCACGGAACGGATCCAGTTGTACTGGAAGATGTTGGATTAAGTGGAGTTTTGACTTTTGCACATGGTCCCCAAGCTCCAGGAACAGTCCCAGTGGCTACAGTACCAGAACCACCACAGGGTCCTAATGGTAATCCGCCACCGCCGCATCTTCCTCTTGCCAGTTTACCACCACCTCATTTAAGAAATCACCATTCTAATATGGGTATGTATTTCTACATGTAAAATCTATTAATAATTTCAATTATTTAATGTAATGTTGTGAAACGATAACTTGAAAATGATAAATGGAAAAAAATTATCTGTTATATATATTATGCCTATGTTTTAATATAAATTGTTAGTATTGCAATATATATTGACATATCATTATATACAAATATCATTTATATACATATACATTTATTTAGATATATCATATTGATTGAATTACCAGATAAAAAAAAGGGAGAAAATGCAGTCTATGCTAAAAATGAGGCATTGTAAAAATTTTTATATATTGGCAATTTTCAACTACAATTAAATTAAAATTTTAGCCAAATTGAATGAGATGTTTGTTTTTGTATATGAATAAAATTTTATAATTAAAATTAATTCTAATTAGAATTAATATCGAAAGTAAAATATTTGATAAATTAGGTAAGAAAGAAAAGAAATATGTAGAGTTGCATTACACAATTTTGTATTATAATGTTATAGTTTATAACAAGTGCAGTATTCCATATTATCTGAAATATAATAAGTTGAATGTGTCAGACGCTTTTGCAGAATATAATCCAGACGCGCCCAGCATGGAGCCACGCATGCCGTGGGGTAGACATCCGCAACCCGCACCCGGGATTTATGGCAGGACACAAAGAGAACTGATCAGTGTACCGGTTATTCCCCATACAAATTCGTCAGAAATAACTCATACCCAAAGCAATCCGTTAAAACGAAAACAATCGTTTGATTTTAATCGTTTGGGACCGAAACAGAGAGTAGTGCATAATCCGGGCAATTGTTCTCTCGAACTGAAAAAGGTTCCTCGAACCTTAAACAATATAACTCAATTGAATAATCATTTTTGCAAATTTGGTAAAATTGTAAATATTCAAGTTAATTTCGGTGGTGATCCAGAAGCAGCATTAGTTACTTTCATGCTGCCATCTGAAGCAAAGGCTGCTTACAGAAGCACAGAGGCTGTGTTGAATAATAGATTTATTAAAGTATTTTGGCACAATAATGTCAATAATAACGCGGCTAGTGGAGCTATTGAAAATGTGCCACCAGGTAAGAAATGATTACATACACTTTTATTATTATTATAATACAATAAACATTCTCTAAACATGATGTAATATGTAATAATAAATTTCGTTGTCCCCAGGATGTCGCCCTTCTGTGAAAGAAAGACTAGGCGCCGCTGTAACACTACCAACAAAGGCTGAAGATAACGAATACGTTCCTACGCGTCGTTCGACCGAGGAACAAGTCACGCAGACCTTAGTTCCAACTTCGCCTAAAGCTGCTGTCGTTCCTACTCGAGAAGAAAAGGTTCTCGCGATAAAGAAAACGCAAGAAATATTAGCTGCTAAAGAAACATTAAAGAAGAAGCAAGAAGAGAAGCGAAAGGAGGCAATCAAATTGACTGCTGATTTACGCAAAAGAAAACAAGAGTTATTAGACAAACATCTGATCGAATTGCGCGCCTTGATCGATAAGGCCGAGAAGAATCCGGAACAAAAAGATTCCATCATGCCAACAATAAAGGCTATGCAACAATCAGTCGATAATTTGCGCAAAGATCTAGCTGCGAATGGTCAAATCAACAAATCGCAGGTGAAATCTAGAGAGCAGACTCAAAAAGAGATACTGGATGCCGAGTTAGATTTAATGACCGCGCAACAAGAGGGTCAAGATGCTGGTGAATTGCAAAAAAGGTTGAACGAGCTTCGAGCTCAAGCGGCCGCGTTGGGTTTGAATGCGAACCCCACTGTCGGTAGAGGCGCGAGAACTTCTAATCGAGTTACACGCGGCACCCACACGTTATCTTACAGAGGCCGTGGCAGAGGAAGTTTTGCTCATGTCTCGGTAGATCATCGGCCAACGAGTCTTCTAGTCTCTGGTTATGAAACCGAGGAAAAGGCGGAAGTCTTGGCGCATTTTCAAGTAAGATTTATATATTTGTATTCAATATATTCTATGTATATCTAAAACAAAATTTTAATATAATATAATCACTTTGTTATTCAAAAATAATTGAACAGAAAGTGAGAAACAAAAAGATTCAATATTTACGCGTGCAAAACTATATATTACTTATATTAATTATAAGCATGCAACTAAAGCTTCACATGTTTTAAGTAATATTTCAAGTGCACGATATACAATTAATTTCGCAAATTTCTCTTGTGCTTTAGCAATTTGGTGAAATAGTGAATCAAATAGTAGACGATGCAACTCCTTCAATCGTGATCACTTTCAAATCGAGAAAGGAGGCTGAGGTTGCCCTAGTAAAAGGACGCACGTTTCAAGATAGACTGTTATCGATAACTTGGGTGTCTGGTCATCATTTACATCGTGGAGGAGCTGGTAGTAACTCGAGCGCATCTGTACAACTTTCGTCACGTTCTGAACAGACTGCACCTGCCACAGACGAAGACGTCGACTTGGAAGTGAGCTTTAACATAATATTGCGATTTCTTAAATAATTTACCATTTATATGAATTACTATTTGAAAAATCAAGATAAATATATTCCAGATATTTTGATATATTTTTATTAATCAAAGAATTTTTAACTATATAAAATATTTTATTTTTCTATTCCAATTTCGTTAGAGAATATCATAGACAGAATGTTTGTTTGTCTCATTCTTTGGATTTTGTACGAAATTATATAAAATGCAACACATTATTTCTTTATATAGAAAAAAATTTACTTGATATAAATGATTGTGATAATAACAATCTCTAATAAGAGCATCTCCAATATTTTATGTTAATTTAATCTGCAAGTATTAATAAGATTTAAATTTTTTCAGGGTACAGCAGAAGCGCTACTTCTAGAAGAAAACGAGAACGAAGAAGAAGAAGATGAGGATGGCGAGTCGCGCAGCTGGCGGCGATAGCAGCGTCAGCGTCAGGATAAGAGCCATTTGTGACAGGAGCTTGGTGTCAAACGTAACGACAGCGTGATCATCCGGGCTGGCCGTACGGCCGTGCGTCCCGGCACTTACGCCTACATTGCTGCACCGCCGTTTGATGCATCCATTGCCATGATTTTCACGAAAAAATCCGATTATGTCGTGCTCATCAGCGTTATCATGAATGTTACACTATTTGTTAATATTATTGAATATACTTTACATGCGCACCGACAATGGTACGATATTGTACCATATTGAATATGGCGCGTCACGAATAGAGAAAAAAAATGAAAAAGAAAAACTGCAAAACTTTCCAGAACAGGAGTAATAAGCGAAATTTATCCCCATTATTTGTAGAATAAAATCGCTATGTTTTATATGGGAAAAAAAGAAACACCTTATTCTAACTTTCAAGTCCTCTTCTTCTATATGTAGAAATTCAAACCGTGCGTTTCCTAGCTCTTGTTGTTTTAAAGGCTCGTTAGATAAACGTTAGGATAAGTAGGAGCTTGTGTAATTTCGAGGATATTCAGAATTTTTCACTCGAAGAATGAGGAAACTATATTTGTAACTTGTATGATATGAATAGGTACTCGCGATTATATTATATTGTATTACTCAATGATAAGTCATAACACACTTCACTCGATTGGCTGTTGACTTTTATCTCTATTGTATCTATTTAAAACGGTTCTTGTAATAATGCAAAGTATAATGTATAATTCTTACTGTTTCTTTCCAAAAGATGTCAATGAATTAGATTGCTGAAAATCATACAATGTGATACTTCGCGCATCATTTACATAAATTCTTTTAATCCAGACTATAAAGCAATAACACATAATTCTTACACATGAACCATTCCATCCAGTTTCAAGGTAAGTATCAAATTACACACAATAACGATGTTGTAAATAATATATATAAATAATCATATTCAACAAAAATTGCTCATTCCAAGATGCAATTATTCCAAATAATTTCGTTAATTAATGGATGAATAAAATAACTTGGTGAAATATAAGGATGATTTTTTGCATTGAGTTTACCTAGTATGTATAATTAACATCCTTTAAAATATTTATAAATACATTAATCGTCGACTTAATATTTATGTAATTTATTTCTTTATATTTTTCTCAGATTTTATTTACAATGTAAATTTTTCATATTATAGTCTATTTAAATATGTTATTTCTAAAATGTATTTATAATAATTTTTAGAAGCTGTTCCATATATCATTTTTAAGATATAAAATATCCTAGTGCATAAATGTGATGTTACACTACCAAAATTATTATTGTATTTAAAGACTAGTTGGAAGATAAATCGATATCTCTATAAATTGAGATATGGATATCACAAAATAGTATCACTTTAAATTTTTTTATTACGGAGCTAGCCAACTGGCTAACAAACTACCTAACAGTAATTGTGCAACAGGTAATATCGTTAATGGTAAATTCACTGCTGGTCCATGAACTGAACCGTGGTATGTTCCTCGTAAAATCCAATTGCCAAGACCAACAGATTTGTGAGTGCTGGTGAATAGCGCGGCTAACAAGATATCCCGTGGCAACCATTGAGAGCACAAGATCCAACATAAGCTGCTAAGAAGGAGTTGCCCCACGCATGCTTCAAAAAATGTATGCAATTGAATACATAGAATGGGAAATCTATCCTTAAATGTGAAAATTAAATATGTGTAATAAATATAACTCTTACCAATAAGTACACAGAGTAGTACATCTATTGCTTGTAATGATGAAGCATCTGCCAAAACAGCGTCGCAAAACCAGTGATATGCTATTGTCAACAATAATCCTTGGGAAAACCATTCTGTATTAATATTCAAATACTTGTCTTTCAATATAAATGACCGTAGCATAATACCCATGCCCAAAGGAATAAGTGTACCGTATATGGTCTCTCTGATGTTAATCCCAACTAATGGTGGAGTGAACGTTCCTAACTATTTTATAACTTTTTAAAATAGTTACTTTAAAAATAAGCTTTTTAATTTAGTTTGAAAAAATATATATATGTATAAAACAAGATATAAATATCAAATAAAATATTAAATATGATATATTCCCTTTAAAAGAAAAAATATAAAAAAATACTTTAGAAATATTATAATTGTATATAAAAAGTTTTTACCATAAGATATAGTAAAATAGGAGATAAAAATAATCCTCCAAAATGTGATACTAGTGTAGTAATTACACTTGTAGGCAAATCACCCTGTGCCAAACGACATAAAGCAAGTCCTGTACTAAATGGTGGTGGCATACAATAAAGCACCTACAAGAGATAATAATCATATAAAATTTCCAGCTATGTAATGTATTTATATATCATGATCATAAAATTTTGATAAATATCTATTCAGTCCATACATTGTATTAACAAGAATTAATTAATAAGTTACAAGTGTTTTTAATTACCTCCATTCCTTTGAGTAACCACACATTAACTTTTGCATAAGTCAATAGATATGTCCCAATACGTGCTAAAAAAGGCATCAAAATGTATATGAAAGTCATGACAAATGTCAGAAGATAGCCATCTCTTAATGTCGAGTAAAGAGATTTAGGATCACATAATAATCCAGCTTCTAAATATGTCAAAGGCACAACAAAATAGCGAATGATAAAATTTCCATTGATTATACCTGTAATAAGAAATACAATATCATATCAGTCATAATACAGTCTTAACAATTATAATATCAATAAATATTGTTATTCTGTGATATAAATAAAAATATATTCTTTCTGAGTATATATATATATATGAGTATATATATATATATATATATATATATATATATATATATATATATATATAAATACACATTTTTTTTCCTTTATTGAAAATAAATATGTATTGACTTGGAAAGTTAATTACCATTTGTCCCACCAATTTGTGGTTGAATAGATGCAAATATCATACAAATAAGCATTAATAGAACATATCCATATCGATAGAAAAGATTAGTTTTTCTTCTCTGTTGTAGAGGTAGATTAATGCGAGTGGATTCTATATACATTTTAAATTATTTTGGAACATACCTAAATGAAAAAAAAAATATATATATATAATGCATATATTTTGTTATATAACATTTTGGAGCATAAAGAAAATATCTGCTTGTATAAAATGTACATATATTTAAAAATTTATAGTTATTATTTTTGATAATCTTACCTAAAGAAGCATGCGTGAAAGCTAAATCTTTGGAAACAAAATGTATAAAATGTTACATGAAAAATTTTAACTAAAAATTTCATTGTAAAAAATTTATATGCATAATAATAAAAACTTGTATGCATAATATATAAATGTGTCCTAAAAATAAATTACTAGTAATGATTAGAAAATGTCAGTCAAACTTTAACAATTTTAAGAGAAATATTATGATTTAATTATTTAAATTTTATCCTAAAAAGAAAAAAAACTAATATATACTATGAATAAAATGGTAAATAAACATTTTAAGTAAAAAAATTTCTATGAAAATTATGAAAGAGCAAAAGCATTAACACTTGTGCAATTTTATGCATATCTATCATCTCTGTGCCATGTGAAAATATTATGCAAGTAATAAACAAATGTAAAAAGAAATGTTATATAAATATTTGTAAAATGAGAAGTATACTTTCTGCAATATATTTAAGGAATTGAAATGGTGCTGATCGAATAAGAGAGCGCTTTTTATATACATTTATTTATTTAATAATTATTGTATGTAATATTGTTACACATGCATATGCTATTATGTATTACTATCTAGATGACACATTTGATTATCTCTATAAAAAATTTTCATGTATAAATTCAATAACATGCAGAAAATTATTTACAACGTTGAAGGTTATTATCAGTTGACGATTGTGTATATTACACGATTCGTAAGAATTAATTTATCATTCCCTGTTTAATTTAAGATTAAGAGCTTTCTCATTTTTTATTATGTTGAATGAATTACATCAAACAATATTGCTATCTATTACAGTTACATGTCACAATATCCTTTCTGTTATTTTGGAAATGAAGTGTTTCCATGGACACATATTCGTGGATAACACGTTTCATGACATCTCTTCTTTCGACCAATCATAGAGTTGGCACAAAATTTTGAAAAATGATATAATAATGTATATCAGAGAGAAGATTGAGAGATGTCATAGCCCGCTTTTAGGTGATCCCTGGAAGCAATACTCCCTCTATGGACATTAAAAACATGAACACGAACTACAAAGCCAAATTCACGAATGTTCTCAAAGGGTAACATATATGTCTCTCTGATAATATAAATAATTTAATTAATAAGTCGACATTTTCAATGTCCATAGAGAGAGTATCGCTTTCAGGGATCACCTAAAAGCAGGTCATGACATCTCTTAGTCTTCTCTCTGTGTATATCATTGTTTTTTAATACGATTAATTGAAAAAAACATTTATTAATATTTAATTTCAAACATATATATATATATATATATATATATATATATATATATATATATATATATATACTTAATTGTACTTAAATAAATTCTCTTTAGCTCTTATTTATTTTTTGAATACGAATTTTTAAAAAATATTCTTTTATCAATTCGTAATTAACTTTACAAAAATTTAATTAAATACATTCTTTACAGTATAAATTTTTAACGTAAAATATCTAAGTAAATTTTATTGAAATAAAATCCAATTTGAATGAAAAAAGGAGCACTTTCCAGGATATATATTAATAAAAATATTTTTATAAATTATCTCAAGAAAAAAAAAATTCTCTTAATCAATTAGAATTTATAACTCTTATAATTTTATATATCTATATAAAATATTTATCACTCTGGGCAAAGACTTTATTCTGAATCCTTTTCCACAATTGTACATGTTATTACAAAGTATATTTTGTAACAGAATTTCTTAATAATAGATTTTTCTTTGTTTTATAATACAACATACGCCAATACAAACTATATTAGATGTTATATAGTTATTAGATGTTATATAGTTTTAAAATACATTTTTTCATTAATTTTAAAATAACATCCCAAGATAAAGAAAGAGAATACGAGAAAATTCAACGACAAGCGAAAAAAATGCAAACCATACAACATTAACAATTACTTTCAAAAATCACAGTATATGCTAATGTAATATTATTGAAATTAAGTGAACTTTACTAAAACTTGTAGATATTTATAAAAATTCCTACAGTTCCATTAATTTATATACGAGGTAGCATTTTAGCCAATGCTCACTGAAATGATCTAAATTAACATTTAGATTCTTACAAAGCGCAAAGTATCATCCTCGGTTTATAATTACATGATAGAAATTTTAAGAGTGAAAAGTATAACAGCCTGTTTATTATCGTAATAATAATAACAATAATAATTATAAGGATATTATACGCATGCCCATCATGTGGAAGAGGTCACATGGTGGACTTGATGGGCACAAAAAACCAGAGATAATATATATAAATATAATTAATAATTATAATATTAAATGTTTCAATTAAACAATTTATGTTTAAGCGCAATAAACGAGCACGTATATCTATAGTTTAAGGCCCACCCTATTCCTAGCACAACATCTATTTCAATACTTGCTTCTTCTTTTCTTTAGAAAGATATTCACATGACTTACATAACACTATACATAAATGACATAATGCTGCTATACATAACTTACATAATGCTATACATAATTTACAACATGCTATACATAATTATTTTATATAATAGCTTAGAAAATTAGAGACACAAAATTAGACTGTAAATGTCTAAATATGATTATTCTCGCAATGTTTTCACATGTATCAATCACACATTCGCGTGTGTGCGAGCAATAAATGAGCGTAAGATTCAGCGAATCTTATCATCACAAAAAAAATATGTTAGAAACTAGTAAGAAATATCATACAAAAATATGTGAAATACGTCAGATCTAGTCATTATAATTAGTAATGTATGAAACACAAATTGATTCGCTATGCTCAGTAGAAGCAGTAAAAATCACAAGATCTTATAAGGCGAATTTATGATATGCGACTTATCGATTTCTTTTTTTAAATCTTTTGTGACCATGAAATAATTCATATAAATTTACAGTAAAAATTATCTAGAATATTATTACAGTAAGATATCAGAGTATGAAATAATAAAAATTTCAATATAAGTTAACTTATATTATTTCACAGATTTGATATATCAAACTATTAAATTAATAAACTGTTTTACATATATCTCATCATATTAATTTTATAGGAACATTTTAAAATGTAATAAACACATATTGGTATTCATGCAAAAAATATGAAAGAAAAAGGTATATTGTTGCAAAATCTGATTTCTTTTTAAGATCTTATTCTTTAAAAAACTTGTTTTGTGTATAATTAATAAAATTATTGTCTGATCATTTCATGCATGCACAAAAGAGACAGAAATAATCAGTAAGTCGCATTTCGTTTCTCTAATAAATCAAAGAAAATACGAGTAATGATATTTCAGCACATCTTAGCACAACTTAGTGAATGACAAAATAAGACTTACAGTAATGTACAAATTGATATGTAATAAACTGTAAGGGTAACATTTTCTTTGGGAAATCGTGAAGTTCTGCAAAATGAGATTCAATGTATTACTCGAATTACATAAACATTTGTTATATTTATTATTTGTGATTGTTCTTATTGTAAAAATAAAGATTTTAATGAAAAAGCTAATAGCGCAAAATATGATGTGTAGAAATTATGTAATAAATATAGAAATTATTAATTTATCATTTGTAATTAAAGAAATGTAACTATTTAAATAATATCTGTCACAGCACATTTAAAAATTTGAACAGTTTTGTGATAGGTATCAAAAACTAAAAAAAAAAAACTAATTTTTTATCTTTTTGTTCAGTTATCTGTAATAACTATAGCACCTATCTGCCAATAATGCTGGACAAACTAAGAAACAACGTAGATTATTATATGTATATATCTATGTGTATGTGTGTATATTCATACATACATACACACACACGTATATTTATGTATCAATGATTACTTTAAAAATATATATGACCAGAAATAAGAAATTTTAAGAATATATGTTGTAGAGGAGATATATAATAAGCCTATATTAAAATAATATCAAAAAATTTAAGCTTAATTTTATATTTTTTTATATTTTATATTTTAAAATTTAAACTTAATTATATATTTTTTTGTTATTACTGGAAATGTGCTAAAAAGTATCAAATGTCATGTTTGTGATCTTATAAATCGATTATTATTCTATTCAACTATTGGCAGAATTAGAAATAATATTCTTCTTGGAATCAATATTACAAGCAAAATTATTCGATAAAATCATCTTACAGTCGCAATCAGTAAAAATAGTTCATTATTGTATGTCATTTGAAATGTTGAAATGCTAAAAATAACGAATATTAATTTTATATTATAGCACGAATATAACGGCACTGCGGCAAATAATTATCTAACTATGTTTGGCTTCATATAACTATTTGTCTCTATTTATAATAATCTATGACTCAAAGTAAAAATATATTTTTTCCTATGTTATAAATTTTGTATAATTTGAATAATGCAAATCATTTATAAGTGCTATGATAAAAGCACTGATAATTAGCTATATTAATAAGTAATAAACAGCATATTGTATAACATGTTATGTTGTAATAGAAAAATATATTTGTCAACCTGAGATTTTCGCGCTATAGATATGCTTAAGTTATGCCTTAAAAAGATAAAGAATAGAGATTTTTTGGCAATAGAAAGTAAAAAATCAATAATATCGATAAGCAAACAATGTTTTCTCCTTCTTCATTCCCTCCCTCCCTCCCTCCCTATTTCCATCTGTCGATATTATTGTTTTTTTTTTCTTTTATTATTTCTTAGAATAAGTTTTAACAAATGGCGCTTTTTCTTCTCTCTTTTCCAAGCACATGCAAAGTGAAATTAATGTAATTTTGAAATATGCCAAATACTGAAAGCATGCTGATAATATACAATTAGAGTGCACTAGTATATATCTATAAAATATAAAACTTATACAATTAGTGCACTCTATATATGTGAAATATAAAACTATCTTTGTATCTAAGGAAAAAGTTACTTTCGATCAATTATGACTCAACCAACTACAATTCCAACGAGAAAAAGACCGCAGTTTACATCACGACATGAAGGAAATCTAACGAAACTTGCAGTAATGAACATGATTATAACTAAACGATTAGATGACGCGACAACTTTAAATGTCAGTGATAATTACAATCTATCTAGTTGCGATGGTACCCTAGATATTTGTAAAATAATATTATAGGCATATGAGTGAGAAGAAAAGTACCAAGTGTGCGTGAATAACGTTGAATCGAGTATTAAAGCCAATATTTTTCGCTTCCCACATGTAAAAATTGTTCACCATTTAACATACGCTCTATACACCAATACTTCTCCATCTATATACAAGTGCTGTTCGTTGTAGCACTATACAGTGTAACAGTATTATATAGCGCTGTTACTACGATTGATTTTTTTGCCTATGACGCGAGGTCGCGTTCGCAATTGTTTGTCGGAATTATCAGTGACACTCGGCGCGATATTTTTCAGAAATATCGCCGCATCCTTTAACCGCTTTGTTAAAATCTCGTTTTTTAATTTCTCCAAACTTAATTCCCTTCGCAATTGCGCTTTAGTTTTATTCCCGAGCGGTAGTAAAGCTCTATGTTGTGTCAAGCAAGTTGCTGATGGCCTTATTTGCGGATCGGGATGAGTCATTATCTGCAAGTAATATAAAACATTAATTAGCAATGAAAGAACAGATGTCGTAAAAATACAACTATATTCTATAAACTTTTAGAAATAAAATTGTACCTTCAATAAATTGTTAAGATCGCGACCATAAAGCGGTAAATCTGGTACATTTCCTTCTCGCAATCTATGCCATTCGAATCCGTTTTTCGGCATAGGTCCGGCGCCGCCCGCTTCGTAAGCGGTCAATCCTAAAGCGAAGATATCAGCCTTTGGTAGATGACTGTATTCATCCTGTAGGACTTCCATTGGCAGGTATCTGCAATCACCTTCCTCCACATGCGGATTGTTGATGGAAGTGACATGGCCAAGGTCGCCAATCTTATATGTGATCTCGTCGACAGTTTCGTCCTCCTCGAAACCGTCGTCGGCGGAATCGTAATTGCTCGATGGTAATTTTCCTTCCCTGGAGATGAATATATTCGCGGGTTTGATGTCCATATGCACCAGTTGCATACTGTGTATGTATTTTAGCCCCTCGGCTACATGCAGCAGCAGCTGGCGCATCTCCGCCTTGCTAAATTGCTTTTTCTCTTTCTCAAGATTAGCAATCACATCAGCAAGACTGCCGCCGTTGCAGTACTCGTTTTGGATGATCATGTGACTGTCCTCTGCCCAAGCAGAATAGTAGCGTACTACGTGTTGATGTTTGCCGAGCACAGCGTGAGCGTATACCTCATTCAGTGCGTTGGATTCGCTGACGACACCCGCTATCGGTTTCCGGCTCCTCTTAACGGCATACGTACATCCGTCTAGCCGATTGATGCACTTGAACACGGAGCCGAACGTGCCGCTCCCAATCAAACCGAGTTCGTGGAATTCTTTGTGATATCGCGATATATTTGAATCTTGCAGCGCCATGCGCTTTGTCGCGTGCTCGTATTCATTGTCCGAATCCTCAGAATCGGCGAGATCAAACTTTGGTTTTTGCATGTCCGGTGAGCTACCAATACTACTATTTAAAAAGAGAAAGAAAGAAGATATATATACGTTTGCTACATATGTTTGCATTTACTTTGATTTTCTTTATGATAAAAATTTCATAATCAAAATTTAGACTTCTAAAGTTTTGAAAATTCTAGAATTTTCAAATTTTAAATGATTTTAACATTCAAATCTCAAACATTATCTTCATAGATGAATAGTCATACATAATATGGTGGGAATAATCGTTTCTGTCTGTGAATAATAAATGTAAATTCTTTTAATTTTGTCTTGTTAGTAAATATCATGATTAATATATAATCGTGATTAAGATATAGATTATATAGAGAAATGAGTAAATAATAATTAATAAAAAATTCAAAAGAAAAAGAGAGAGAATTTTTTTAGATATAAGTCTGTACTTAATAAATTGTAAATTTTCTGTTAATATTCTTTATATATTTTATTAAAAATTGTATAACAATTAGAATTTAAAAATAAAATGAACTATATAGTTATAATGCTTACCCATTGAGACTACGTTTGGATCTGCTTCTTTTCTTTGCTGTTATTAACATGCCAGTAGGTGTAAATGGATTTACATTTACCACAGGTTTGTCGGATTTATTTTGGTAACCAGGACTTATTTTAGAAGGTCTAGGTTTGTCTAGGGGAAAAAGTCTGGTACATTTAGATGGAAATGGAGTCTGCATCACTATATTCTTTTCTATCATAGTTTTAGGAGTAGTAGGCGAATCAAATAAGCGTAAAGCCCTGACACATTTGTAGGGTGGACTACATGTCTTCTCAGAACCATCATCTTTACGACTGACGACAGGAATCTTAATGGCTGGAGTACCTATAATTACATATTTATTTAAATTAATAATAAATCTTCAAATTCATGGAAATACTTCATATAATATTAAATAAAAATTGGAAATAATTTTCTTATAAATAATCATTTTATAGATGAAGTTTTATAAATTTAATGAAAAAACCAATGAAGAGAAAAAAACATGCCTAAAAGAAAATTTTCGTAGAACACAACATTCTATAAAATAAATTTAAAATTTAATAAACCAAAATAGTTATTTATTAAAAATATATAGAGTATATAATTAATAGAATATAATATATAATTATACACATTCTCCTAACAGGAGTTATGTTACTTATTTTCTAATATGCAATGCAATCAATAACTTATTTAGATAATGAGATAATATATTAAAAAATAAATTAAAATAAATTAAAATATTATATACATACATATTATATATATATATATATATATATATATATATATATTAATTTTTATGCTAAAAAATTAAAATTTATATCTGCAATTCAATACAGAATATCAAAAATTTTATTTAACAAAGTATACATATAGATATTTATTGCTTCTTTTATTTTTTAAAAGCATAATTACTTAAATATGATTAATGAAAATCTTTATTGTTTGGATATATTTTAAATCAATATATAAATGTATATATAAATATAAATATATATATGCGTATATATATGTAAATTTTTAATAAGAAATTATATATTTACAATTGTAATCATCAGTACACAGACTTTATAGTTACTGATGTTACAGGTCTAATTTAAAAATAAACTGTAATAATGTCATTTAATTTATAAATATAATTACACAAACTTAGATTTGTTATAAGATTATTTCATAAAGATTATTTCATAACTATACACGATGCAAAAAAATTGTCTAAATGTATCAATATCAATTATTTCACACCATGCATTACATGTTATGACATTCTTATATGTATATGCAATATTCTTCAGAATCTATACAAAATATAAATATTTTATATATAGATGTCTACAAGGTCATGTATTAGCAAGTATGTAAAATCCAACAAACATAATTGATTGTAACTTTTCTTGCACAAATTATATTATCTACATTGAAAATAAATATGACCAAAAAATAGATCTAATTTGGAGAAAAAAAAAATTATATTGATAAAAATTTATCGAAACTTATCAATAGATAGATGCCAACAAAATGTTTATATTTTGGATAGATTTTAAGAAATACTGCAATGCAATGTGATCCTACCATATTATTAAACAATTTATACGTATAAGTTTGAATAAGTGTTGCAAACATATTTGAAGTAGCAATAACAAAAGTTATGCACAAAGGCATATATATAAAATAAAATATATAATATATAAGAGAATAAAATATACTAAATCATCTAGAATAAATTTTTTCATCAATAGCACAACTGATATAGATTGCAACTACAATAATCAATTCGATATCAATCTCAAAAAAACATTACAAACATTAAAAACAATACAACATTAAAAACAATACAAAAGAGAAAAATCTTTGTTGCACATAATTAAATCCAATTTATATTTTTATCAAAATTAAAAATGTAAATTCTTATTCACAATTATTAAAATATCTCTTTATTTTTCTTTTCTTTATTAAAATGTATGAGGAAGAAAATGAATGCAAAAATTTGCAGCTTGCCAATTTTACGTGAAACTACCGAAAGTACAACTTTAGAAAGTAGAAATTAAATTCAAACAAATAACAGACAAGGGGGTAACATCCTACGAGAAGAATAGGGACGCTCAGGAAGTAGCATGAAGGAACGATTCTAACCTTCTGAAGGAGAAATCCTGTTATTGTTGGTTGACTGACTCTCGTCGGTGCAGTCCATCGTCTCGAAGAGCTTACGCGGCTGCAGCGGGGGCGGCGTGCCAAAGTCGTCCGCGGACGAGTTGCCGACGTCGCAGTCGGAGTTATTGTCAGTGCGGCAGCTCCAGCTCAGTTCTTCGTTCTGCATGTTGTACGCGTCATAGTGCAGCTTCTGCATGGCCTTCATCGCGACGCGCGGCATCATCGCGAAATCGCGCACACGCGGACAAAAGGAATCGAGGTGTCGCGCGAGGAAAAAGGGGAGGCTACCCGCGATTCGTCGTAAGAGAAAAAAAAGAAAAAAAAGAAGAAAAAAAAATAAAATGTGGATCACCACGCTGTCAGTTTCACCACGCGCTCACGACCGCACTCATTCAAACTGCGATCATTCCACGCTCCGCACGCTCCTCGCGTTCGTTATGATCGCCGGTGGTGGAGCCCGGCTCGGCGACCAATCCGCTCGCGGCTTACAAGACGGTCCGTCGCTGCCGCTCGTATAACGCGTGCGCCCATTGGTCGCTGCCCTCTCACAATGCTCACGGCATCGTCATCTGCTCCTACTACGCTACCGGCTGCTCGTCGTGTGTGCTCCGAAAATTCACGCTTCCTCGTGAATTCTAGCGAGAATACTGCAAAAAAAACAAACAAACAGATGAAAATTATTTTCCTTTCCCGCCCCTTCGTTTCCCCATTTTATTTCCCGATTTTATTTCGAACACGTGCATCTCGAGATTACACCTTGAACTCTTTTGTCGTTTGTTTCTCGAATATGCGCAACAACGTGCATCAAGTACCTGTCGAAAAAAATTTAATATTTGATATTTAAATTGACTTTCGCGAAATGAACCTAGTGTCGAGACATTACTACGTTTTAATACGCAATGTTTTCTACATGTCTCTGATATATTTTTTAATAATACACAGTATTACCGATAATAAAATCACTTTGATTATTTATAAAAACTATATAAAAAATATAAAAAAATATTTCATCAACGAAATTAAATAAAAATATCAGCTAAAATAATATCTATTAATTGTTCGATATAATTTACTACTAATAATTCAGCAAAACGTATCTCGCCAAATAATATTTTTAAACATGTTACATACGATTTTTATCGATTATTAATACAGGATGCGATAAAACTGCGGAATCGCCATTTTATTACCCCGAGTATCATCGATGACAAATATATTGTGCAATATCGCGGCAGCTGTCTAAGACGAGAGCGAACATCTGCCGTCGACTATTTCATCTCTTTGCATTCTCCTTTCTCAAGTTGGACGAAGAGACTGAAGACTGCGATGGGGCGGATAATTTTGCGGATAATTTCGCCAGGTAAAAAAAGAAAAAAAAACGACGATGGATATTTGCGGTACGTACCCCGTACGATTCGCGCGTGGGAGCCCTGTTTTCCTTTTCCCGAACAAAGAACGCGTTCTTGTGTTTTATACCGCACGAGGAACTGTTCTTCGAACAGCTGCAATCTGGTTAGCGTGCAAGTGCGAGCCGAAAAAGGCCGAAGGCAGGGCCGAGCGATGGAGATATCTCTCTTTCGTCCTCTTTTCTCTTTCCCTTTCTCTCTTGTTCCACCTCTCTTTTTGTATCTATCTATCTCTTTCTCTCTGATAGACAAAAATGTAAGATACACTGGAAAGGATGAACCAGGATATGTAACAATCGACATTTAATATATATTTTATTCCTATGTATTTTGTGCAAAAAATAAAATTATCGAAATGTCATTGTATATTTATGTAAATAAATTAATGAGTAAAAATTGAGAAAATCTATGTGAAAATCGAGTACACTATCGTATTGTTATAAATCCAGCCTTGGAGAAATTATATTTTTTATAATGAAAAATTTTTTGTACCCTCATATATTAGCTTTCAATTGATACACATACACATAAAATCAATCCATTCCTCGCAACATGCATGAGATCCAGGAGAATCGTCGTCTGTCTCGGTATCTGAGGTATTTGATTTGACACGGATGCGACAATCTCGGTCAAGGATGATACGACACGATATTTCTGTTACAGGTCCTCCACGTTTTACTTTTTCGATCTCACGTCCTTGAAATTTTAGGAGACCGGTTGTTTGCAATATGGAAGGGAAGTTATCGATTGTGGACCACGAAGAGTCGAGAAGAGTCTCGATATCGATAACTTATCATCCGCAATAAGTTATCGATGACAGATATCAAGAGTTCTGAGATTTCAATCGGTAAGTTCATATTGAATATCACCGAGTACGATCTGTCTTCAGTGACTTTCGCAGATAAATTCGAAGGAACTCTATTTGATATCGGATATTACAAGTTTTTTCGGTAAGTCTTGATTGAATTTGCATAAATAAAGAGATTTTTTCGATGAGTGGATATAATTTGAGCCAAAGATGGACGAATAAAGTCTGACAGTATCGATTTAGCTAAATGTCAAATTTATTCGTTCTACACGTTGCATCCTTTTGTACTTTCTAATATACATCTACATTTCTCGGTGAAAAAGAGGAAATACAAGATGCAAAGAATATAAATAAAGGGAAAAAATCGCGTTCAAGAATAAGAAAATGGAAGATGATTCTGAACGCAATAGTTTTAAAAATGAAAATTATCTGTTTAGAGTAACAAGAATCATCTATTTTTCATAGGAAATCATGGCGCATGTAGAAATTCCGATGGGAGATATGCAGGTCACGTCAGAGAAGCATAAAGTTACAAATGGGTAATACTTCAATATGTAACTTCTTTCAAGAGTTGGTATAATTTTGCTAATCTGTAGGCAAATGTCACAGTATGCATTAACGTAACCTGTCAAAATATAGAGCATTGCTGTTTACTTACTTATCTATTTATTGTAATGTGAAAGTAATATACTACAAATATATGTTACGATTTTAAAGTTGGATAAGCTATTAAAGACAGAATGTATATATATATATATATATATATATATATATATATATATATAAAATAGAGTTGCACTTGATTTATTATATTATGCATTATAACTAATTTTCCTGTTTGTTATTTTATAGATTTGAATTTCTTCAATTACCTCAACTACCACTTGGTCAGATAGGTTATCCTCAAGCTCACGAATGGATTGAACATAGGAAAGCCAATATTCGACCATGGTCACTATTTGTTAACACAAACAATATCAGACCACCCCCTAATATAACAAGATTGAGTAAACGAGTTGTAAAGAATATTGAATATTTCCAGAGCAATTATCTATTTGTGTTTATTGGACTAGTTTTATATTGTTTGTAAGAGATATTTTCATTATATTTTATATTAGTCTTCATGGATATGCCTCAATATAATTATATGTGTAATTTTAGAATCACCTCACCTTTGTTATTACTGACAGTTGTTGCATCTCTTGGGATATGTTATAAACTCTCTCAGCGGCATTCAAGACAAGAATTAACAATATTAAATCATAAACTGACATTAGCACAAGTATATTCTTTAGTTGCAGTTTGTTCACTGCCTATATTTTATTTGGTTGGTGCACATGCGGCTGTATTTTGGGTACTTGGTAAGTAAGATACATAAATAAAATTATAAAAATATAATTTTATGATACATAAACATATAAAATAAAAAAACAATGATATACATATATATATATATGTGCAACTTCTTTTTCAGGAGTTTCTTGGTTTTTGATAACGTTGCATGCTGCCTTTTACAATATTGATGCAGTGTTGAATCCTGGAGAGGAAGAATTCAATACATTAGTTATGCAAGAAGTATGATATTACAAATAATTCATTTTTTATTAAAAGGGAATAAAATAATTTTAAAATAATTTAAAAATTATTTTATTCTTTTTTAATCGAAACTATTTATTTATGTAAATATAACCCATTATTAGTTTATTATATATATTGATATTGATATTAAAAATGTATAAAGTAATAGACACAATAGATGAATAGAATCTAATTTCCCGTATAAAATTGAAGTTATTGTTTTTCTCTAAAGAAATTTAATAATACATTTTTTAATAAATTTTTATAAAGATTGTTATGTACAAGAGATATAAAATATATTATTTACTGATAAAAATTAGTAAAAGTAAAGCACTATATATAGATTTTAAGTAAACTTAATTTTAGAAATAAAATCATAATCAAATAAAATAGAGAATAAGCGATTTACATAGAATATTATCTTTGATAGCATAATATCTCTGCGGAAACTCACTTCCGACTTCCGACTTTCAATGCATTTGTGTGTATATATACATATACATGTGACTACTTAACAAATAAATTATACAGCCTATCATATATATATATATATATATTTATTATTGCACACTGGCAGGCAATGTCTGACACAGTGGGCTGTGCTATAGCTCGAGCGATCGAGCACCTCTCTCATTCGTTCGATTTTAATAATTAATATTTCGATTATTATTACAAAAATCGTTACATAAAATAGCATTTCTTTATTTAATTTACTGCGCTCTACCTTCTCACAAGTGCGTGAGAAATACCCTGTATATATATATATATATATTGTGATACGATGTATGATTTCTGATAATTAGTCACATGTTAATCGTTCATTAGTCGTTTTCTTCTTTTTAATAATTTTTTTAGATAACACTTCGTAACAATATATTATATTAAACAAGAAGACGATTTATATTTTATTCAATATTAATATAAAGTCACAATAAATTCGGGACATATATTGTCCGTAAATTTCCGCTTCTTAAATCACTGATTCTAGTAGATCCTTAAAAGGAAACTTTTAACATATGACGTATAATATCATTTGGAATATGACGCGGCACGTTAATGTAGTTCAAAGTGCGAATCGTGTAGCAAACACTAGTAATATGTATTTATAAAATCCGATTTATTTATAATAATAATATAATTGCGTATTACATATTTAATAAAAATAATTCGAAAAGGAGAAACGATCGAGGTAGTCTTTCAAGATGAAATGTTAGAAAGTTATTCGATGGATGCAAGGATGACATCAGGTAAGACTTCGATACTATTTCTGTAATAATATTCTTAATATTTAAAAAAATGAAAAAAACAGCATAATTTTGAACGATAATGGGTTAGGTTTATTTAACAAACTTGTATGATTGATTTTTTTCATGAATATAATTTGTAAAGCATGTTGCGTTTTGGTTAGTTTTTGACTAGCAGAAAGAAAAGCATATTCTATGATTTATTCATAATTTACGAGCTTACTTTCACACCGCATTTTAAATTTACATAAAAAATTATAAAATAATTATAAACTTTATAAAATTATAGAAATATGGAAACTTCTTTACAACTTTTGATTACAAATTTTCACCTGTTGCTATTCAAGCCATGATTTTGAAACATTAATTTTGGTATATAAGATAAACTAATGATGGAAATATCTTATCATGCTTTTTGATTGTGTAATACTTTGAAATTTTAAGCTATTTTTTGGGGTTTGCATGCTGTTTGATTTAAAAGAGGGCTTGAATTTCAATGAACACTCATTGAAAAATGGAAGAAGATGATGAAGTTTCTCTTACATGCACACGACGAAAAAGCAGTATTCCTGGAGTAACAATAACCTCATATCGGTCGGCGCAAAACGGCTTAAATCAAGGCTCAGAACAAACACTGTATCAAAGTGTTCGCAATACTCTGTACGAAGACGCAATAAGTATGAATAGTATGCACAGTGCTGTGTCTCTGGATAATGTTCAGCCTTCAAATGATTCGTCCACTATAAATAATGATACAAACGATGATACAAACGAAACAGTTATAGAAAATAACTATACAGATACAAGAAATAGTATACGTAACTCAAGATTGGTAATAATCAATTTTTTCATATTGTACAATCTATATACATATAAAATATCATTTATTATTTATTGATTATTATTTAAAGTACAATTGTAGATTATTTATGGCAATATCTAATTTAATAACATATATTAAACTGCTTATAATTAATTAAATTGCTTATATAATTGCTTATAATTACTTAAATTGCTTATAATTGCATATAATTATAGTTGGAGATTGATAGATTGTTGCACTTTGTTGAAATTGACTGCTGATATTTAAACATTAACGTAGTAATTTTGTATTTCAGCTTTCTCATTCTGGTACCAAGTATAGTTTATATTTTTGTGATGAAATTCGCTCAATCGATTTTATACTTGTATGGGATGAGTATAATGGAGAAGCACAAACCTATCGCAATGTTGAACGCAGAAGGGTAAATTCAAACTATTGTTTGAATAACATATACATGTTGATTTTATTACTTATGAAAATTTGTACATTATTCTTAGATATTTGAGATAAATTTGGAAAAAGAAGGATTGCAATTGGAATATGAACAGGTGGAAACAAATGGCTTGCATTTCATAAAAATTCATGCACCCAAGACAGTTCTACGGCGATATGCAGAAATATTGAAATTGAGATTGCCAATGAAAGAATTGTCCGGCTCCTATCAGCGTCAAACAAGCAACATTCCTATTATCCAAGAAGTCAATACATTTATTCGACGAATTATGAGCAAATATTATGTCGACACAACTATTTTTCCGACAATGAAACAAAATTTTACAGCAGTGTATAGCAGAGATAAAGAATATTTATTCGATCTAAATTCGCCCAATTTTTTCACATCGGCAACTCGATCGCGTATTGTACAGTTTATATTGGATAGAACTAGATTCACAGAAACCAAGGAAGATGATTTCGCGTTTGGTATTGAAAGATTAATATCTGAACATGCATACGTCGCAGCATATCCACTTCATGATGCAAGTTCTACATTCTTTTTATATTTGATTTTTATTTTTTAACTAAAAAAAAGTTATTTCAAATGAAAAAAATATCGAAAAATAAATGTCACTCACATTTTTTATGTATATTAAAAATATTTGTTTTTCACAGGGAGATCTACGTACTGCAGATTCAATGCGTTATCTTTTGTACAAAGAATGGGCCAGTTTGAGAAAATGCCTTCATTACCAACCCTTGGATTATATTAAAGAGTATTTTGGTGTGAAGATTGGACTTTACTTTGCTTGGCTAGGATTCTACACTCATATGTTGATTCCAGCTAGTATTGTTGGTCTCTTATGTTTCATATACAGTTGTGCCACTTTATATTACAATAAACCAAGTGAAGATATTTGTAATTACAATGGTACTATCGAAATGTGTCCATTATGTGATCATTTTTGTGGCTATTGGGATCTCAAGGAGACATGTTTACACGCGAGAATTACATATTTATTTGATAATCCCTCAACTGTGTTCTTTTCTATATTTATGTCATTATGGGGTACGCTAAAATTATTGATAATTTGCTCTAATGAATAATTACTAAATAATTATAATGTTATGTATATTTTATGGTTTATCTTATAATTTCATATAACTTCTTTATTATTTATTTCATACTTCATAGCATTATTATTTTTATAGCCACATTATTCCTTGAATTATGGAAGAATTATTCTGCTGAAATAACCCACAGATGGGATTTGACTGGTTTAGATGCTCAAGAAGAATATCCTAGGCCGCAGTACTTAGCACGGCTTGCCCACATTAAAAAAAGATCTATTAATATTATTACAAATACAGAAGAACCAAAAGTACCATATTGGAAGATGAGATTTCCTGCCACAATTCTTAGTTTCTCAGTTGTTTTACTCTTAGTATGTCAAATTATTTTTATTATATATTATGAAGAATAAGTTTTTATATTAAAAAAAGTAACTCTCTTGCTATGCATATATTATAATTTTGTGTATATTATAATTTCACAGATAGCGGTAGCCATGGCTGCTGTGCTTGGGGTAGTCCTGTATAGGATGTCTGTTTTAACTGCATTAAGTGTTTATGGAAATCCTATGGTAACCAGTTATGCTATATTGTTTACTACTGCCACTGCTGCAAGCATTAATCTCTGTTGTATCATTTTGTTTAATTGGCTATATGTTTGGTTGGCAGAATATTTGACAGAGGTAATATTTCATGAAAATCTATTTACATATAAAAAAAATAATACTGAAATATTTTCTAAACTTTAATCATTTAAGTTAAATTTTATTTGAATTAAATGTTTACTTCAATTAAATTCTACTTAATAACATATTAATTATAGAAAAAAATTTAATTAAAGTAAAATTGTTTTCACTCTATATTATGATCAATAATTCTCAAGAATGATAGATTAATTAAAATTTTACTGAGAAAAATAGAAAAAGAATGACTAAATATAATAGAAAAAAATAGAAATAATGGAAAAATAATAGAAAAAGAATGTGACTAAAATCTAATTTAAAAATAGACATTTTTTAACAAATAACATGTTTTTTTAACAAATAATTCCATATTTTTTATCATTATTTTTAGCTGGAACTACTTCGTACTCAAAGCGAATTCGATGATAGCTTAACTCTAAAAATTTACTTATTAGAATTTGTCAATTACTATGCCTCTATATTTTATATAGCCTTCTTTAAAGGAAAGTTTATTGGCTATCCAGGAAATTACAATCGTTTTTTTAACTTTCGACAAGAAGAATGTGGACCAGGTGGTTGTCTTTTAGAATTATGCATTCAACTGAGTATTATCATGATTGGCAAGCAAACTGTGAACACTATCTTGGAGATGCTTTTCCCACTATTTTATAAATGGATGAATACTTTGAAAGTACATGTAGGTGCAAAAACATTGAACGATAATAATATGAGATATTCGTCTAGAAAAAATTTGCAGTGGATCAGAGATTATAAATTAGTTGAATGGGGACCCAGAAGTCTTTTTCCCGAATATTTAGAAATGGGTAAATACATGAAACAATATATATATATATATATATATATATATATATATATATACAATAATAAATACTCTAACAAAGTAATAAATAATTAAAATAATGGCTATTTATATATATAGTGGAAATAACTAACATTGTTTATAGTGCTACAGTATGGATTTGTTACAATCTTCGTCGCTGCATTTCCGTTGGCGCCGTTTTTTGCATTATTGAATAATGTTTTCGAGATGAGATTAGACGCAAAAAAGTTAATAATCATGTACAGGAGACCGGTCGGACAGCGCGTAAGAGATATAGGCATATGGTATCGCATTCTCGATTCCATTTCCAAGTTGTCTGTTATTACTAATGTAAGTTACTAATTTTTTACTCAAAAAAATAGAAATATGGAATTTAATAATAGACATAAAATTTATGATTTAATAATTATATCAACTATTTTTTTAAATAGCATACAATCACTTTTAATTTTTAGGCATTCATCATAGCTTTTACTTCAAACTTCATACCAAGATTAGTTTATCTTATAACAGTTTCTGATAATTACTCATTAGAAGGTTTTCTGGAGCATTCTTTGTCAAAATTTAATACTAGCGATCTGAAAAGTGATACTCAACCTAAGAATCAAACCTCAGTCGAGATTTGCCGTTATCCAGATTACAGAGAATCGTCAGATTCGCCAAACAAGTATGATTACTCCATCATTTTTTGGCATATACTAGCTGCTAGATTAGCTTTTATCGTCGTTTTTGAGGTATGTTTTATTTTATTCAAATATATATATACATATATATATATATACATATATATGTGATATGTTTAGATTATGGACATTTAGATATTTGCATTTCACATCTATCTTCTTTAATTCAGTAAATAAAGAAGATAATCACACGTTTATTAGACTATTTTATGTATGTGATTACTACTACTAATTATCGCAATATTATTTGTATTTATCGTAGAATGTCGTGGCATTTGTGATGATTCTTGTACGGTGGTGTATTCCTGATATGAGTCCGAAATTACGTGACAAGATACGTCGCGAAGCATACATCACTAATGAAATTGTTATACATCAAGAAGCATTACGTGCTCTGGAAAGGCCCGAGACTGATATAGAGCCAGGAGTTACGCAAACATACGTAGTTGCCAACGAAAGTACCGATAGATGGAATAGAGTTATGAGAGATTGTTTATCGACTTCCGAACTCGATTTAGAAGTCCATGGGTCTCCTATCTCCCCGGTTAATACAACTCCGCGTATTAGCCCTGCTGCAGTTTGATCAGGAAAATTCGTCAAATTTATGCGAATTTATGCAGGTGTAGCGTAATTTGTTAAAAACTATTAGATTAGTACAAAAGATATGTCATTTTTGTCAAAGTATTAATAATTGGACATTATATTCTCCTTCTTTCTCTCTCCCTTTCTCTTTCTCTGCTTTTACATAAATAATTTTTATTAATTGAAATAGAGTTACTATTATAACTTAGAAACACTTTTTAAAATTTTAGACAAAAAAGAATAAGTTCTTTTTTAGTTTTTATAAAACTTTATATGAATAGTTTTAAAAATAAAACTTAATGCAAAAATGACATTCTTTGCATAAAAAATCTAAAAATATCGTGATTTTTCTATCCTAGTCGTGAGATAATTCGTGGAATTTTGACGAATGAAGATATTTTTGAAAGTATATTTTATAATGGAAATGCTATAAATACTTCTTCCTAACTATAATAGATGCCATATAGAAATGCATATGTTATATTTTTTGGCGGAGATAAGAATCTCTACAAATTTTATAAATTTTATTAGAGAATTAAGGTCAAATTATTAGAGGATTATGATATATATTTATTGCAACTGAGAATGAATCTTTCAAATTGATATTATTGCACAATATGATATATCTGTTATTGTTATTGCGAGAATTTTTAATCTTTACTATCAATTGTTACCAATTTATTTTGGAATCTATGTTCTTAGATATTTTTGTATGTCACATAAAATGTTTAGATGTGCTATATATAATGAGAGAAGAAAGAATTATACAGAATAACTCGTATCTAATGATTTACTTTTAGCAAAAATAAAATCATATGTATACTCATCCAACTATACTTGACTAGGTGTTATTAAATGATCAAAAATTATATAACATTATGCAAAATAAATCATTGGACACGATATTAGAGGATATATTGGAAATTTAAATATATGTAACAATTGAATTATGAAAAACCTATTGTAAAATTATATTTAATTGTATATATATGCATATACTAAGATTTTTGTGTGATAAACGCAGATTTTTCTGATCTAAGGACTATATAAACTTATATATAAAGAGAAATGTATTTTGAGAATCTCTTAAATTTGCTTAAGTAATTATATACAATGCTACTATGATATCTATTGAGTTTTTATAGAATATCTTGTATATGAGATGGATGATCTTCTTATGGTTTTCTTATATCTTATTATTATAAAAATATACACATTTAAAATTTATATATTCTCAACTTACACTTAAATATTCTAAATAAAAGAAAAAAATATAATAAAAAGTTACTATATACATCAACTGATTTGAATTTTAATTAAATTTTACATCACATAGATTTCTTAAAAATATTGATATTTTAGCTATATATTTATATATATGTATTTATATTTATATATATATTTATATATATATATATATATATATATATATATATATATATGTTTTATCAAGTATATTTAATTTTTTTATTTTATACAAATTCGAGGTACGCACTTGTTTTATTTGAAATATATTAAAAACAAATATTCCAAGTAAAACAACATAAACATTTAAAATAAGTTTTTAAATTGTTTATTTAATTTTTTTCAAAAATATTTGAAATTAATACACATTTTTGCGATAAAAGTATAATTAAAGGTATAATTTTATTGAATCAGCAAACATTCTCTACTCTCAAGTTTCTCTCTGACTGATTATCGCGTGCCGCATTTTAATATAGTGTTACGGTTGCACCTGTGATGGCACTGTTCATGCCGCACGATTTGTGTGTGTGTCGATATATTTCTCGTTTGTATTCAACATTTAAATTGTAAATTTCCCCTCGCATTTTCTCATCGTCGAAACGTCATAATATCGATTTTGTTATGAAATTTTAACGCGACAATTACGAAAAAAAGTTTATCAATGAAATAAAATGGGTATTGTACATGCTAAGGTGTGTATATATTTATTATTAGAAATTACAGCATAACCTAAAATCCTCGTGTGATTCTCGGAAATGAGTAATCTCTAATAATATACTGACATAAATAACTTTAATTTTTACTCGAATTTTCGGGAAAAATATATAATAATTAATTTTGTAACAAATTCCGCGTAATTCAAATGTTGCTTATTCTGTTAAGGAATATGTCTGCATGGATATGATTTACTAAGCTGTTGTTTCTTTTCAGGAACCCTTCGGTAATTCTTCAGGCATAGCTCAGTCACCTAAGGATAATGAGAATAAACATGATGAATCACCAACGGGTAACTTTGTACGTTTGCAGTTTTTATAATCTATTATATTTTTATGATACTCTTTAAATATTTCTAAATTTTTTATTTTTGTTATCAGAGAAAACATGTTAAAATTCTATCTTTTTTCATTGCAGCCAACACTTCTCAATAATAAATCTCGGATACAAAAAGAAGAAGAAAATGCGCAAGCAAAACGTATTGTTTTACAAGCAGTTAAAGTATGTAAATTATATAAACAATTATCAAATTTTTAATTCTAAAAGTTTAAAAATTGCTTTTTATTATGACAGGCTCGAGTCGATAAAATACATGTGGATGGACTTATGCGAACGAAAGACGATATAATCAAGCCACAAGTGATGGACTTGTTTAAAGCTACAAATTTCGAAGATGTTATTGTACGTGCTTCTAAAGTACGAGAGAAATTAGATGCTTTGGGATGCTTTAGACAAATCGGAATTTACGTTGACACCAGTCAAGGTCCTGAAGCCACCCCTGATGGTGTAGAAGTGGGTCTATATAATTACACATTAATTCAACAAATACTAAGTAATTTTTCAGCTTTAAATGTATTTTGTTATCACATTTTGTTATCATAAACATATTTGATTAAGTGCACTTGTTATTATATATCACATGTGAGAATGTATATTTATTTGTAATGTTCATTAGGTTGTATTTGCCATTAGGTCACTTTTAAGGTGTCTGAAATGAAACGCTTAGTCGGTGGTATTAGTACAATGGTCGGAAATAATGAAGGATCTCTGATTATCGGTGCGAGAGCGCCAAATCTGTTTGGCAGAGCAGAACGAGTTCAAATGGAATATTCTTACGGTAACAAAAGTTCAATCAACTTCAATGTATCTGCCATTAAACCATTTCCACAGAGCTTATATAATGCAGTGTGAGTTGAGATATATCTGGAATATATTAAACATTTTAATGCATTCAATTTATTTACATTTAATTTGATTAATTCTTTATAGATTAAGTGGTACTGTATTTTGCACGACGCATGATTTCCCATGGTCTGGTTTTAAACAAAACGATAAGGGATTACTTTTCGATATGGAGTTCAATCAAACAGGCACTTCTAAACATAATGTACAATATGAAGCTGCATTTAGAAACATAACTTGTTCGAAACAAGCGGCTTTTCATGTTCGAGAGCAATGCGGACCGAATTTGAAATCCGCGTTAAGATATATTTGGACAATAGATAAAAGAGACTCGACTATATTTCCTGTTTCTGGCAGTCTCTTGCGATTAACAACAGAGATGGCTGGATTAGGTGGTGACATAGGTTTCTTAAAAAACGAGCTTATTATGCAAAGTAACTGGTCGCCATTTGAGTTCCTTGTAAGTTTTCACTTATCATTCCATTTTTTACAGAATACTTGTCACTTTGAGAAATTCTATATGGATTGTGATCAACAATGTGATCAAAGACTTACAAAGAGATATGTCAAGATTAATATACAAAAAAAAAACAATATAAATATAATAAAACAACGGGGAGAATAAAGAAGGCACGATTAATACATGAAAATATTTTCTATCTTTAATAGACATTCCAACTTGGCCTTCAATCTGGACTGTTGAGTACAATCAGTAATGATATGAAAATAAGCATTGCTGATAATTTCTTCTTGGGTGGACCACTGAATCTTCGAGGATTCGATATGAGAGGATGTGGACCGCGTTACAACGGAAATTCCGTAGGTGGCGACATGTACTGGGCAGCAGCTTTTCATGTATATACGCCGCTTCCATTTAGACCTGGTCGTAATAGTTTTGGGGATTTATTTAGACTACACGGTTTTATAAATGGCGGCAATTTGTCCAATTTCACCTTTACACATGGTAAAAATAATTCAATAATTGTACATTGACTCTTATTTTTGTCCTGAAAAAAACTCAATTTCTTCGATGCAAAACAATGAGAGTTGGTTAAATAAAAGAGATTAAAAAAGTAAAAAAACATACATTGATAATCACATGATAATAAAAATCATATTCGTATTTACATTTTCATTTGTATTAATATCTGTTTTGTTTAGAATTGTACTATTCTCTCAGTATTTAATTTATTAATTGCTTAATTTTATATTTTATTAATTAATATATATTATATATTAATATAAATATAAATATATTAATTATACATATATATATTTATATACATTCTAAATTTTGTAGATCTTTATAGTGAAAACATGAAGATTTTCACAGAGAACATCCGCTGTGCCGTCGGCGGAGGAATTGCAATGAAACTAGGAAATGTTGCTCGAATAGAATTGAATTTAATTGCACCATTGTTGTTCACGAGGAGCGATGTGCTCCAACGATTTCAATTCGGTATCGGTGTGCAGTACCTTTGAGCATCTTGATAGTTTATTACATCTTGTAACACATCTCTGTATAATGGATTTGGATATATAAATGAAGGTAGTGAGATATACATGTAAACTTATTTCTGTTCATTTGTCTAACGAAAAGATTCTTGGAGTGTAAAATATTCGCAATAAAGTTAAATAGTATTCATTACCTGCATTAATGGAGTATAGCAAAAGGACGACTATCCGAAATCCATTTATCCACATTATTAAAATTCGAATTACAATAGTCAAAAAATATATGAACTTAATATTTTTGATATCAAAAACTAATTTATATAATTAATCAATAATTTCCATTAAAATTCCCATTAAGATTGCCATTAAAAATGATTATGACTACTAACATTGCTCAAATCAATATAAAATTATCGATAATGATTAATGATGTAGTGAATGTATGTACGCGCGCGTGTATGTGTGTGTATGTATATGTATTTGTTGACGAAATGGTGAAAGAAAACCGGAGAACAGAGATAGTGGCGCGAGAGAAAATTAAACGTGACCTTGAGTAAGTGATCGGTACAAAGGAAAACGTTGAAATAATAAAGGCTGATGAAATAGTTTTGCGTGCATACAGAACTAGACGTTCGCTTTTTCTCTCCACGAATTTATTTTGCGGTAGCGAATGTCGAACGTAAATATTCCATTTATATCTGTTGCCTTTTACGTGATACAATTCTTACGAATATTTCATCATTCGTATGTATCTACTAATTACAAATAATTTTCATGACACACATGAAATCCGCTAATTATATTTAGAATATGTTTCAGTCCACGCTATCAATCCGTGAATTTATTTAGAATTGTTTCGATCAATTTATGCATATTTGTTTTTGCATATTTTTTTTTCTAAAAGATCAAAGTTATTTCATTATTCCAAGTTTTAAACGTAGAAATGCAAAATATAACTACAATATATATTGTGTACACGCGTTTCTCTCTCTCTCTCTCTTTCTCTCTCATACATATACACATATTAATGATTTGAATAGAGAAGAGAAACGTTTATAAATGTTTATATTTTCCAAATTTTTATTGAGTGAAATACTTCGGCTGTTGAAAATGATATTTTATCAGTTTAGATTAAGATGGAATGTTGATAAACAATATCATATTCTTTCATTTAATTTAAATGTGAACGCTCATTTTCGTTGAACGCTCATGATCGAACGAGTATGCAAATTGAGTATGCATATCTTTAAAATATGCATAATATCATTTTACGGTCGATAATTAGTTTTTCATACACATAACAAATTGCATAACGACATATTGGAGTTTGTTTCCATAATATGGTATACATATATTTGTTCTTTTATAAGCAATCCTCTATATTATTATAAACGATAAACAATATTCAATTCTTCTTTTATGTGTCATGTTTCACGTTCGAAATAATTTTGCCAAAATTAATTATAGAACGAAAATGTATTTTTCGATGCAAGCGATATAATTTACTGCGAAATGTTTAAGATTTTTTGCACGCACTTCACGTGTACATTTATATTAGTATCGTTACGTTTATTACGTCTCGTGACCGCAAATCCGATACCGACACATGCGATCTGACTCGCAAATTGATACGACTGAGTCATTAGCAAGAAAAAGAGAATGCAAAAAATAGAATACACATTTTCCGTTGATTTGATCTGTTATCGATAGTTAATTAAAAGTATGTTATTTTATCAATTAATAATTTAAATAAATAGAGGAGAGGAGAAACGATAAATGTTTATATTTTTTCAAAATTATTATTGATTTTTTGAAATACTTCGGTCGTTGAAAAATTATCAGTTTGGATTCTTGTGCGTCTTGTGACAACAAAGATAAATCTTACAATCTCACTTGTTCAGAGTTTATCTTTTTCCTTTCAATGTGGAGTGAAAAAGATAAATTTTGAGTTATAACGCAGCCAGTTCAGGTAAAAAGAGCATACCAAACATTCCATTCTCTAACAATTTAATAGTTTTTCAAGAATGTTCAGGAATGTCTATTGTGTTTTTCAAACGCGTTTGTACATACAAGATGATACTCATGCGCATTGCGTTTTGTTATACAGCATAGTTTCAAGTTGACCAATTGTGCGTGAGTCACACTTTTTAGAAGTGATTATTTCGTGCCATCCTAATCTTACGTTAGCCGATCACGTGGTCCCTTTAGCAGACACGTGCTTAGATACAGGTGCTTCGGGCACCGTATAAATTCTTTTTACTAAAATCCGTGTCAAGTATGCATCATCGCATGCGTATAATTTTAAAAGCGGAAATATTAGAAAATTTATTCGAAAATGATAAAGCAAATAAAGAGGAATATTCAACTATGATTATATCCTTTTTTCCTCGATTGAATATGTATCTTTTCGGGGACGCGGAAGCGCCTCACAGCATCTTGTCTAGTGACGTTCCTGGAATTTCCGAGTGTGTATCGCGCGCATGCGCGAGTTTTCTCCTTGGATAGAAACGACTGCGCTGTGATTCAGGAGACCATTTTATAGTTGAAGATGGCCGCTTAAAGTACTCGTGAACATACCTGCTGCAAAAATGTATCCGTCTGCGATTCCCGACGCCGTTGCGAAATTAACAAATAAGGATTTAAATAACAACGTACGACTTTTATCTAAGTACGACTGTGATTTCACGAAGAATCCATCGTGTTGTGAACGATATCTATTGCGTGATATTCGTCACGTTTGCACGCATTGTATTTCTCGTAAGTACGCACACACACATATGCATGTAATATTGTAAGAGATGTATTTTCTTAAACTGTCGAGACAGTTACAGATGCATTTAAAAAATACGGCTTAAATATAAATATAGATCTATATTTTGGCTGAATAAACGAATATAGCGGATTGATTACACGTGCGTGCATTAATACATATGTGCGCATTGGAGTACATTAAAAACTATCGCATGCACATTTACAATAATAAATGATTAAAACAGTAAAATAATTAATATTACGAATTGTTATTATTATTTAATATAAATAATTATAATAATTTGCGTATAATAGTTATTTTACTGTTTCAGTTACTTTAAACTTATATTATTTTAATAACTAAAATAAAATATTTAATAATAATCACAATGTGAATTACAATAATTACAATATGAATAACAATAATTAAAATATTTAAATATAATTTAGATTTTTTCATATATATATATATATATATATATATATATATTAAATAAAAATATTTATATATAAATTACCCAGGTAGCAAGATGACGTCGATCTACAATGACGTCATTAAAACGTTATTAAAATGTTATTTGACATCACTCTGCTACCTGAGTAAATGAGAAGAGAAAAATAATATTTTATTATCTTAATGAAAAATGATAGATTTTTCAGTATTTTTGTTTTCAACATGAACAATAATTCAAAATGTTCAAATAATTTCTTGATTAAAATTTGCTCTTTTAATGCTACAATGTTTAAATACAATGTTTAAATAGATACGATTTTTACTATATTATTCAAGCTTCCTTTACCTTCCATAGGAGTGCAATTTTTATATATAATATTCATAAATAATATACTGTGTAAATCTATAATCATGATCAATATCAAACTAATGTAACAAAGTTGTCTATAAGTTATCTATATACTTATATAAATATATCTATATATCTATATCATTACAGATAAGATAAAGAAAAAATGTAACCTATTATGATAATGGATTTGAAAATATACTTGAAGACATATAAGAGATATCTAAATAATTAATAAAAATAAAAAAAGATAAAAAAAGATAAACAATGTAACATGTAATAAATAATGTAATAAACAAGCAGGAAACAGGCTAGTGAAAGCTAGACATAGAAAATAAATAAATAAAGCACGCAAATAAATATCTTCACAAAAAAATCTGTTAATTAAATATTTTGATATTTTCAAACTTTCTTTAATAATTAATCTTAGTTTCCATTAATTGTTAACAAATTCATTTTCGTTACATACAAAATTGTTGAAGATCTAAAGAGAAATCATGATATTTAATTAAAGATTTTTTTACAAAGATTTTTATTTTGCATGCTGTTTTCTATACTTGGTTTCCATTAATTGGTTTTTCTGCTTGCTTATTGTATTATCTAAATAATCAGATATAATCAGATTTTTATAATTATATATATATATATATATATATATATATATATATATGTATGTATTCATCATGTTTGATACACAATGTAGGTACAAACAGTAGCGTCACTGAATTGTTGACACCTTGATGTGATTGACCCATTATTATGAAAATTATACAACACAAATTTGAATTCTCTCAGTAAAATGTAAAGTTATGATACATAGTTATGACAAATTGATGATGATAATTGATGATATGATAAGTTATTATAAATAAACAAAATGCAATTGTTAGTTATATTAAAATTTGTTTAAAGCGAATGTTATAGCTTTTTAAGTAATATTAATATATATATATATATATATATATATATATATATATATATAGATAAATTAACATTACTTAAAAAACTATAACATTTGTATTAAACAAACTTCAATGCGATTAACAATTGAATTCTATTTATTTACTATTTTTACATGAATATGATTACAATATGATTACATTATATGAAAATATGAAAATTATACAATTAACGCATGTATATTAAAAATTTGGGTTTTCAGAGAACAAACAAGTGACACTACTCGATGTACTTATACTGTGGTAAAAATTCCACATGCTAGCGATTGCTCATTCATACACCATATAGCAGAATTACTGTAATCATCTGATGAAATATAAAATGAATATGAAATAATGAAATAAGTCATCAATTTCTAGTGAACTTTAAAAATTATAAACTTTTAGAGTACATTATTGGCTATAATAATTTTACCATAAATAATATGTTTTCAAGAAATAATACAATAATGATTAATTTTTTTATACATTTTTATATCGATTTTTATTATTATGATTTTTATTATTATTATTTTAGTATTATTCAAGATTTAAAAATTAATTTATATTTTATACTTTTCAATATACTTTTCAATATAATTTTTTAAAATTGTTGATGGATATACATATGTTCTTATTCGCTTCTAATTGAATATATATATTTTTTAGCTTATAGAGGTTTTATAAGAAGACGGAGAAGTAGTAGTGGAATACCAATCTGTTGAGAAAGGATATATAGATTGAGCCAGGGATTTATGTACATCTTGGATCTCTGCATTTAGATTTCTCTAGCAGATTTGTCCCGTATTTCAGCAGTCTCTTGTGGATCCAATATCTATTCTGCACAATACATAGAGACACATTCAACAGGTACAATGGAAAGGATGTATGTTATGAATCATATTGGAGAAAATAATACAACTCTACAAGGTCAGAGAAAAAGTATCTTCCAAACCGTTTGGAATCGGTGTATTGGAAATTTTTCAAGAAGACCTGCTATCTTTTCATCAAAAATGGATAATTCACTGTCAACGCTTCTGAATAATGAGATAATAACACCTGAGTATATAAAAAAATCGTATGTACAAGAAGAAAAATCCGTTGGTATTAATCATATGAGTAATATTATTTTCGAAACTATGCAATCTATGCCTCCTATTACAGTCGATTCATTTAACAAAAGTCATTTAAAAACTTTATCCAATTGTAAACATTATTTTGGTAACAATTTTGATAAAATAGAAGAACATTATGAAGAAACAACCATAGAAGATGTATATAATTTGGACTCTAATATCACGTGCAAAAATAAAAAAAGCACAATGGAATCTCACTCAGTGTCGAATGTTCACGAGATCGAAAATTTGAACAATATAAGTAACAATTCTTGTTCTACAGAAGTTGATTTACAAAAGTGCATAGATACCGATAAAGACGGATTAGACAAGGATCCTCTTTCTAGTAATGATATTAATGAAGACACCAAGTCTTTTCTCATAGTTTCTCATTCGGATGTACCAGAACCAACCAAGAAAGCTCCGATATCAACACGCTTATCCTTCATGTGTCGAAATGCTTGGAATAGCCTGACCACTCGATTTTACTGTAAAACGAATTCTGTGAAATCGGAAAAATCTATGAAGCGTCCGTCATATTTATCAAAGCGATATCGACGAAGAAAAGCCAACAGCATTGCCATGGGTAGAGGTCGAGGTAGAGATAGATGCCAACTCAGACGTTCTGGAGTAAGTCAAACCAGACATCGGATGGAACGTACCAAGCGCGATCTCGCTATGATTATTGAAGTAGATTACAAGATTTATCAAAATGACAAGATACAATACTGTGAATTACAAAACGATCACTCATCAAATGACGAATCTAATAATTTGGACGATATGGATGGTTATGATGTTCCTGATGGTGCTTTGCTCCTAAAGCGAACTAGTCCTGTAATATTTAGTTCTTCCGATATAACGCTTACGAAACAAGAACCGCAGATGTCCAAGGATCAGGAAACAATGAAACACTCGACCAAAGTTCGTTATGTAATCGATTCTTCAACAAAGAGCAACAAAGACTGTAATAAGAAAACATCTGATACGGAGGAAAGTTTATCTCGATCGCGGTTATTATCGGTGAGCTCTATCGATTCTGAAGATAGTTTCATAGTTTTCGAAGCCAACGATGAGTCGTCAAGACAGCAATACTCAACCGAAATACATTATACACTTGATTCTTCAATGAAGACCAACGAGAATTGTAACAGTGAAATATATGATATGCATAGCAATTTATCCCGATCGCGATTATTATCGGAAAGCTCTGTCGATTCCGAGGATAGTTTTATAATTTTTAAGGACATCGAAAACGAATCTCCCAAGAAGCAGGAAACGATGAAATGTCTAACTAAAGTACGTTATATAATTGATCCTTTAACAAAAATCAATAACAATTATTATAAGGATTGTGATGAAACATATAATACGTTACGCTCGCGATTATGTTCGGAGAGTTCTTCTGCCGATTCTGAAGACAGTCTTATAATTTTTGAGGGCAGCGACGACGACGAATCGTCAAAGCAAGAAACAACAGAAGACTCGACTGACATACATGATGAATCTGATTCTTCGACAGTCAACAATGATCATTGCAAGGATTATAATAATAAAAAATATATGCACGAGGATTCGTTTCAATGCTCAGAAAGTTCCGATACTGAGGATAGTTTCTGCATAGTATTCAACACTGAATTGGAAGAGAACTGCGTCGAGGAAGAGACCGACAACTTTAACTATATTAAAACAAGCACACCTACTTTCAAGAAAGACGAATCGATGATTGAAAGCGATGAAGACAGCGAGAGATCAACAACACAAACAAAGAAGGTAATTAAGAATTATCTATAGATAAATCTATCTTGAATTGTAATTTCAGAAGCATTAATGCTAAATTGAAATGATTAATGTTTGAGATCAAGAAATTGTGCAAGAATAATTTAAATAATTAAGAAACATAACTTGAAATTCATTTACTAAAGATTTATAATTATTTCTTTTATTTTTACCAGTACAATTAGCAGTCGTTGCTAAGGAGAATTGACTATATTTAAAAATTGACTAAAAATTTAATTTGATCAAATTAATTATGCTAAATAGGTTTAAAGATTAATTTATTGTTTCAAAGTTAATGTTATAAACAAAATATATCTTCAGTATCTAATTCAGATACAAACTATACATTTATTGATAGAAAATTTTAAAATTTGAATCATTATTTTAGGTGAGCTTTGCTCAGACTCCAATCATACACATCATGGTAACATGGAATTATGCATATCGAGCAGCTCGAAAAGGTCAATGGGAAGAAATGGCACGAGATAACGAAAGATTTAAAGGACGTATAAATTCCATCGCAGCTGTCCTTGATCCAATTTTAACAAGTAAACATCGCTCTAAAATTTGGCAAGAACGATTCTCTTGTCAAGAATAACCTATATTTTTAACAGTATAAAAAAAGTAATTTGTAGGGAAAAATGAAGAAAACAAAAAGAAGAAACAAAAAGAAGAATAAAAAAGAATGATTATATTAGGTATTGTATTAAATATATAATTGCCATCTGATTTAATATATAATAAAATCTTTTTTTTTATATTTCCTTTTCTTGTTTTCTTTATATTCTCTACTATAAATAATCTCTTATACTGTTAAGAAATATAGTTAATTGGAGATATATAAAATAATGTATAATTAGAAAATAATTAATTCGTACGTTGTTTAAGCCTTAGTATAAGATAAAAGTAAAATTAAGATATATCTTTTAAAATACAGGCTGTGAGACTTATTACAAAGAAATCATTTTTAGTGTATGGCTGAGATATAGTGTGTTCAATAAGTTCTCAATTTTAATTAATCAAAATAATCGCACTATCAATTTTATAATATTATTTTTTGTACCTAAGAAATTTTCAAGCTTTGAAAATAGAACTTAATAAAAAAATGTTACAAGTCTTGCTAATCTGATAAAAATGCAATTTTTTCTAATGTTGTAATGATTACATAAAAAATTTTGTCTTTAAGTTGTAACAGTTTCGATGTCGTATCACTTATAAAAACAAGAAAGTTGTTATTTTAATGAACAAAAATATGTATATATGTTACCAAATTATATTTTATTACTATTATTTTATGCTTTAACATTGTAAAAATTAAAAATTATATAACAGAAATATTAAATTTTTGATTCTTCAAAATAATCTTCCTTTGCTTTCAAAATTTTTACTGGTGCATGTATTCTTGGCATTCTTGGCAATAGTTTTTTAAAGTTATTATTAATGTTTAATTCCAGCATGTTTGCAAACAAATATCACAATGATAAAAAAACTGTTGTCAAGAATAGCAAAAGAGTATTGAAAGGGAGATTATTTTGAAGAGTCAAAAATTTGATATTTCTGTTATTTTACAATTTTTAATTTTTACAATATTCAAGCATAAAATAATAGTAATAAAATATAATTTATATCTATAAGATAATAGACAATTCTGTTCTCTTTGATTTGGTTATTTCCATAAATTATGAAATGAAAAAAAGGAACAGGATGTATAAACACAGAACATAAACACAGATCCGAGAATTATCTACGAGATTTAATTTTACAAAGACATTAAATGATATTTTTTACTTAAATTTTCTTGTATGTTCTTTGATATAAAGATGTATACTTATATTTTATTGTAATTTTCATTAACTTTTTCACCGTTTTTAAAATCAATGATTTAATTCTTATAGATGCATGATCGATTTTGGGAAATAAACAAAATTATAAAAGACATAACAGAAAATGATAATTCCAAAAGATTATAGAAATGCATAAATATGAATTAGTATGAATTTTTAAAGTTTCTTCTATTCGCAATACATAGCCTTAAGAATAGATGTTGCATGTTTTACTGTTGTAAAAAATCTGAACATATTTTGGAATTTTTATTACTTATTCTGAAATTTTTATATTATTATTATATAATGTTTATTTTTAAATGGCAGAAAAATATGTTACCTCTAAAAAAAATGGCAGAAAAATAAATTATCTCTTAATTGAAATATTCTATATAATTTATTAAGAATTTTAATAAAACATATAACTCGATATATATTTTAAATATGTTATTGTCCAATATATATTTTAAATATGTTATTGTCATTTATTCACACATTATGCTAAATTGTGCTAAAAGTTTAGAATTACTAGTAATCAAAATATTGCATCACTTATAGAAATAAAGAAGTTGTCACTTTAACGAAAAAGCATATATAAATAATATAAAATTATATTAATTATATTAATTATATCAAAATTATATTTTATATAATAATATAAAATTTATAACTTTGTTTTTTCCCTAAAATCGATGTATAAAAATTGAATCATTTTAAAAACGGCGAAAAAATTAATGAAAATTTATAAAATATATACATGTGTATATGTATGCAATCACAAATAAAAATATCGCAACATTTCTGATAGGCCCTCATTTTAAAACTTATCGATAATTTCACAATTCTTGCGTCATATAAATTATACAAATTATACACATAAACTTGTGTGTATCGTATATACATATTATTATATAATATAAATAACTCGAAGTATATATTTTTATAACAAAGTGTGCAAGAAAATTTAGGTAAAAAATATTTGAATGTCTTTTGTCAAATGTGACCTATAATTCTCAGATCTTTTTATCATATATTCTATTCCATTTTTTTAATTTGATATTTTATAAACGGAAATAATCGAATCAGAGAGAACAGAGTTATTTATTATTTTATAGACATACAATTTTGAGAAATACATTTTCGTATATAATGTGTGATAATTGTTATTTAAGTGAAATAATACACTCATACAGCACAGAATAATGTAGCAATATTGCAATATTGCTGCAAGGTTACAATAATAATAATAATAATAATAATATTAATAATAATATTGCTGAAATATTCTATGCTGTATGGGATAGCAACCAAAATTATTAGTTAGTGAAATATATGTTGTATATATTTTAGACCTCGAAAACATTTAAACAATTCCATTAATCATCTTCTGTACAATAATACATTAATTAAATCATTCTTTGAACCATATATATTATACCATATATATTATACAACAATGTATATATAATGTCATAGAAGTTTACGTGTATAATTTGTATATAGCAAACATTGTGAAATTATCGACAAGTTTTAAAACAGGGCCTATCTTTAGAACTTTTCGATATTTTTATTTGTAATTGTATAGATACATACATTCTCATACATATACATACACTTATTTTGATATCTTAAGTGTAATAAAAATAGATAAGGCATAACAAAGATGATTTTATCACGAATAAAGAATTTTCGTGACAAATGCCTGTCGATTAATTTTTTTGTTCTCAAATTTTTTTATAACATTTTTCTCAAAAATAGTATCAAAGGAATTATTCGATATATAATTATCAAATATAAAATAATTGTATCGTGTACATATTATTAAAAAATTTTTAGAGTTTATTAAGAATTAATCGGATGTCTAAATATTTGTAATTATTTACATTTTTTAAGAAAATAATCGCATATATATATATATATATATATATATATATATATATATATAGAGAGAGAGAGAGAGAGAGAGAGAGAGAGTATATCAATAAAAAATTTCTATATATCGCCGCATTGCATTTTAAAAATTCGCGCCAATTTTGCAGCGTGTCTACCCCTTGCCAAGTGATGCTTGTCTAATATCGAGATAGCGTATCAAAGCTTGGAAATTCGCATCTTGAAATGTGCATTAGCAGCTTACTTCAGTTTATTTTACTTCTTGTCGAAATATAGTTACTTGATAATACGTCGACCTGAGAGCATACGCTTTCTCAAATTTTCGCGATAAGAAACAGCATAGTTCACCATTTTCTCTCCATTAGGTATGTCTCAATTATATTTTTCGATAATAAAAATCAACTACTGAATATCTCACATTATTTATATTAGCTATCCCGCTAATGATAAAAATTATTAATTAAATTTAAAAATTTATATTGAATATCCTTTCACGTTAACTGATTTTTAAGACCTTTCAAGAAAAAATTTATGATAATTTTATTAATAATCAATAAATAAATATATCAATTATACATTTTGTAATGTAAATTTTCTTTGCACAAAACATTAATTTTAAATCTTCGAAAATGTACCGATTGATAGATATTAATAGAGATATATATTTTAAAATACGCGCCACTTTGAAAGTTCGTGTCAATTCTTTCACATCGTGTTCTCCTAATATCATGAAGTTAGTCTCATTTGTGACTTGCTTCAATGTGATTTACCTCTTTCGAATTATGTTCTCGCGCGAAATTTAAATCAGAATTTACACGGTATTACCTCCTATCGAAATATATTCGCCTAATAATTCTGATGATTTTTCGAAGGTATCAAAAGATGCATATTCCAATTCTCGCTTCTAGAGACAAATCTCAAGCAAGCATTTGTAATTTTCGCCTTAATTAATTTAATTAAGAGTCTAATCATTCACTTCTTTTCTAACCAATTTATTTTCGTATTAGAAGAAAATATGAAAAGATATGAACCTTTCTAATATAGAAAGATTATAGAAGTATATTATTTCTTTAATTTTCGTTTCCCAATTAAAAAAATTTTTTTTTATCAAAATGAACTTTCATATATGTGTTATCATACATGTATAATACATATGTAAATTAATATATTATCATATGTATGGATGAAAAACATATAATGAAAAATGAAAAAAAAATATCTTTATATCTTTCTATATTAACGTTATCATTCGCAAAGTTTATTTCCTGTATGTCGGGCTTTTGTTTATTCACGCAATCTGTGTTTCAAACCGAAAGAATAAATATTATACATGTAAACGGAACAATCTGTTTATTCGTTTGCACTTGTGATAATTAAAATCAGTTTATTCATTAAGCATTTTCTTCGATTAATATTTAAAGTAAATATTTATCGAAAAAAATTCGTATTTTAGTGTGAATTTATGAGCGTAAAATTAAGTTGTCAATAATATAACATTCCAGAAATATTGCCCAAAATAATACGCATATATATTTGCAAGAATATTTCTAAATCTTTATATATTGTAGTTTTTTATTATAATTTTATGTTGTATTATGCACTATTGAAAGAACTTCCTTTATATATTGTCGCTCACGTTTTATCTGATGTAACACAAAAGGTTCATGCACAATGCTTCTTTGTTAATAATTTAATTATAACGTATGATTTATATATAATATTATATATATTTAATTATAATAGATAATTTAATTAAAACATGATTTATGCATAAGTATCACATATATGTTTTGTATACATTAATATATTATGTAATAATAACTTTTTTCTATTAAATATTTTACAATGCATTCTTTTTCGCTTCTACAAATTTATAAATTATTTTTTCTATAAATTTATAAATTATTTTTGCATATACTATATATTTTCAAATGCATTGATTTAATTTTTCCCGCGATTGTCTATTATTTTGTCCACACATTCACTTGTAATAATTACTTATGCACTGAGAAATCTCTCATAACGTAACAATAGGAAAATAATAGGACCAGAATTATGTCAAGGGCAAGTTATATGACTAAGCACTTGCTCGCTGATGGCAAGATCACTAGACTTACAATTAGTAATTCTGCGACTAAAGAAATATTTATTGATTTTAGGATAGTCTGTACGTGAATTTGAGCTTAATTAGTGAGCTTCGCCCAAAATGACACACCCTGTGCTCCCGTTCGATGAGATCGTCCGATCTGAAAATGCGATTGTATTGTTTTGCACGACTGAGAATCAAGTTGTTGCGAGCTAACAGAAAGCGAACAGGAAGAGGGCATGGCTTTAATTGACAGGGCCGGGTAGACAGACAGGTCTTCATCGCAGATTGTTGCAACGAGCACGTTATGCGCCGTTGGATCGGCTTAGCACATTTACACATTTATTGTGAAAAGGCGGTGTGACGAAGCGCGTCGTAGATCCTGAAAATTTCAACTATAGAAATTTTCATTGCGACTTACAATTAGCCAATTTCCATGTAATATAATTTGCCTATGATATTTGTTTATGATATATCACGATTTTTTCTCATTGCGCTAAATATGTCACTTATATTCTGTGTGAATTGAAATGGTTTTTAAAAAATAGGGATTTAAAAACAGAAATTTGTACAAATTTATTGTGAAATTGAATTGAGATCATTTTGATAAATTTACCTGCTGAACATTTGTGCAATAAATGTTGGTTATTGTTATTATAAACTGCTATTTTTTTACAGTTTTTGTTATTCGGCTATAAAATATTTCAATTGTCATTGTATTTTTAAAGCAATTTACTGTCATTTTATAACGAGAATAAAAATTTAATTATTTGAAGAAGAAAGAAATATCTGGCGAACAGTTATTCATTAATTCTAGGATGTCGGACGATTTAGAACGCTAATGCGGCCAATTTATTAAATAATCACTGCAGAAACAGCATCTTTACTTGCACTTTCACAGGGAAAGTTTTAAAAGTTCACTGCTACTTTCTCGCCTATCACAACACAGCTATGTTATAGTTAAATTTAGTTTCTCTTTGATGCATTCAGCGAGTAATAATGGATTTAACATCGTGACATAAGCATTAAACATTATAAAAAGTTTACAAATTGGCATACAAGACACGATGAAGATTCTTTGGAACTTAAATTAAATCTTATCGTTTTATAATTTAGCAATTTATTCTGCAAAAAATATTTAAAAATAAATATGCGTAATAATGGTAGCTAATCGATAATCTCGTCGAATGTATGTTTCCTATAAATGAAGACCTAGATTCTATCCGATATCAGGATTCAATTCTAGATTCGTGGTATATGGAGAACACACGTGCGCGAGAGATCGTTGCTTTTTTCTTTTTTTTTTCTTGATTATATGAGACTTCTCTGTGGATTATTCCACTGCTTTCACCTTCTCAATCAACCGGACTACATGCATGTGGGTGCGATAAGTATTCGTCGTGCAAGGCAATAAAATAAAATTCTAATTCCGATCTCGATTCGGGGTAATTTTTGTTGCATATTTAATACTACGATTTAATCATTATTGAAGGCGAAAGCATAATGAAAATATTGTAAGTTTTTAATTTAAGTTAAAATAAAGTTTTGCTATCGTTATATTTCTTCGTTTTTAATAGCGCAACAAATTGCTTAATTAGCAGTAAACTTTATTATACTGCATCGCATTATTTTATTCTAACTAAAAAATTATGTTTTTTGTATTTAATGGAATGCATGACCTGAAATGCTTGAATAATTATTTGAATAATGATTTGAGTATGATTTGAAATGCTATAAAATCTCCAGAAAGAAAAACTGCTATAATTATATAAAAAGCAGTAAAGTGAAAATTTAAATATACTATTGGATTTTTATTTTACATATTTTATTATTAAATTTGTTATTTGTTTTTTACATATTATATTATTAAATTTGTTTTTTCTTTGATACATAAATACGACATATAACAAATATTACTTATTATTCACTCATTCGCATATACAATTCATATATATTACATTCATTCATTCGCGAAACTTTCCCGATGTATCTTTCCAGTACTTCATATCTTATAACTTATGTTACGAGCGATAATGCATATAGTTCTTACAGCCTTACATAAGCCGAGTCCCAATTAATTATGTTCAATAAGAGCATTCGACTTTCTTCCTCAAGAGTATTTTTTGCAATTTACTCGTATAGTCATTTTAAATGAATGAGTTAAATACATCCGCACTAGTGAAAATCATATTGAAAGGTAATTGAAAAAGTACTAACCTATAGACTATTCTTTCGTACTATAATTATAGTTCGAAAGGAAAAAATTTAATCAATCACATACACAATTATGTTTTTATTTTTCCTAAAGATGCTAAATTAAAATCAATTACTGGACATTTTTTCTTAAAATTTTCTATTGTCTATGATTATTTTCTTCTCTTTATCACTTTTTTTACTTTGATAGATAATATATTTGATAGAAAAAAAATTTTTTACATGTGCTCAACAAAGAGTTTCCGAAAATCAACTCACAACTTTCTTCAATTTGAGCACATCTCAAATTATCATTAGGCGTTGATTGTTGTATATTCTTCAGAGCCGTATCCAGATTACGGCTTCGTTGTCTCGCAATCTCGACACACAATATTGCTCCAATTGAGTTTCGCCGGCTTTAACGGCTGTAGTTACATCATTCATGCATCCGGCACGGATGTACAAAGTTTTTTTTGTGACAAGTTATTTTCTCTCTCGATAGATATAATACACATAATTTTTATCTGATATAGAGATAGTTAAAATATTCGCCTTTCTTTTTTGCCGATTTGATTTTTAAGATTTACGCAAGTAATATTGTTTCACGGACGAACTATAGATGAAATTAATTCTATCTAAAAGAAAACTTAATGCAAGGTCAATGTTTAACGCAATCTTTTATCAAGGCCGAGTATGATTAATCGACTTTCTATTGGAAGTATGAAATATTCTTGCAGAATCTTAAAAAACACGATAAAATCCACAATTATTGTTGCATGATGCGCGATTTTCCCCCTCCCTTTGCAAAGTTAACGATGTAAACGACGCTGCACATATATAAGCAAGCCAAGTGAAAAATCTCTTTCGGTCCTCTCTTTCGATTTCCTTCTAAATTAATATAAAAAAATATTTTAGCTACAGATTCGCGATGAATTATTTTGAGTCAATCGATGCAGATAAGAGAATAATCTTTTATGTGTATTTGAAGCGCGAATGTAATGATGTAATTCATTATATATATTACATATTTACGAATTTCCATATTTTTTAAATTGACTCAAAATCTTTTTTCTTTTTTCTTATTATATATTTGCCCAAGTGCATGTATTTATGAATATTTCAGTATAAACTTTCAAAATTTTTGTATTTTCGATAAAAACAGATATTGAAAGCCTGATAAAGAAAGTCTTTTCAAAGTGAAGAATGATAATGAGGGATTTCCGGAGCTTCCTCGCAGAGGAAAACAAGCGCGATGCAAAATCCATAATTATTCTTCAAGAAGACTTCACACATATACAATTGGCATGCAACGAAAGTTCGAACTCCCTGATAGCGGTGAATCTGTGGGTCGCAATGGTGGGGTAACATCTTTATTGGTATTCCTGTTGTGTTCGCAGCGCCTTATTTAGCGATCCGTTCGTGCCAGAACTTGTCAGGTGTTACAATACATCTCGAAACCGAACCAGAGTCCGCAATGCGTCCACAGCTCTCGTTGGATATAAATCGCCGGGAAACTTGCGAGATATAGTTTCTTCTCCTGTGGAAAGGATAGTAAGGGTGCACGAACGAGCGTACGTGTGATTGTAAGTTAATTTTTGCAACCTGCAATCATATATGGGACGTACAAAAGGTCAACAATTACGTTATTACGACGAAAATACAAGTGCAGGATGGCGGTCTTGTTAATTCTTCATCGTCTCAGATTCTTATAAACCCTTCTATTTTCTCCATTATTGAATTTCTACCTTCGCGAAGCTGATTTTTCTATCAATATTAATTTAAAATAAAACGAGATCTAAATTTTGAAGATCTAGGATGGCGACCAAATAATATTAGTAAGGATAAACCGGAACTCGGACCCATAAATTGCTCGCGAAAACGCGACGTTGACTGGTACTTTTCAAGAAACATATTTCAAGACGTCACCGGGACAGCGTGGGACAACAGGGATGTTTTTACAACTGGTTTACGATGGTATATATTTGACGAATCGCGCGAGTCGCTGGCAATGTACAAAGTTCCATCGACGATGAAGATATTCCTCGTGTATTTCCTTATCTGGGGATTGGCGAGCGATCAGGTTCTCGCTTCGGAACAGTCGCTTGCCGATGCCTCCGTCGATTCTTCCGCGACGAGCTCCGCTCTCGAGAATCCGCTACCGGAACAGGGATCATTGGCCAGTTCCTCCAGCAATGCCAACAGTCAAGTGGATGGTAATCAGGGATTTGAAGCAGAATCTCAAGCGCTGGCAGAAGCTATTTCGAATGCGATCGCGCATGGAGACATTTCGGTGAATGCTGACGCCAACGCAACTGCGCAAGTAGTCTCCTTAACAGATCTCTTGCAGCAAAACGGTGAAACTTCCGCGGACGCGGAATCTCTGGCAAAACTAATTGCGGAGTCTCTATCCAAGGCGCAAACTACAACTTCGGAGTCCGGATCAGTAAAGAGGAAGTACTTTGTGACGAATTATTCTACATCATCATCTTCCTCTTCATCTTCGTCTTCAGAATCGGACAGTTCTTCCACGGCATCTTCGAGCTCGACAGCCACAGCCGACGCAACATCTGAGTCCAACGCTGAATCTTCTTCATCCTCCAGCGCGTCATCTTCCTCCGAGAGCAACATCGATATTTCGGCGAAGGCTATCGCTAAAGCGGAAGCCCAAGCGAAGGCGGCTTCAAAGGCGGCGGTGGTCGCACGAGCGGAGGCCAAGGTCCAGGCCAAAGCAGCCGCTCGAGCCGAGGCGGAAGCAAACGCGGCGGAAAGCGCGAAAGCGCGGGCGGAAGCGAAGGCGCGAGCCGAGGCCGAAGCTCGGGCGCAAGCGGAAGCGCGTGCGGAAGCTTCCGCGCGTGCCGAGGCAAAGGCTAAGGCGGAGGCATCGGCCAAGACGAAGGCCAAGGCGCAGGCTGAAGCCAAAGCTAAAGCCGAAGCTAAAGCACGAGCCGAGGCGGAAGCGCGAGCTGCGGCATCCGCGCAAGCTGAGGCTGAAGCTCGAGCGGTGGCCAAGGCCGAGGCAGAAGCATCCGCGCGAGCAGAAGCGATCGCTCGAGCGGAAGCGGAGGCGCGTGCTAAAGCGGAAGCTCGAGCAGAAGCATCGGCGCGAGCCGAGGCTAAAGCGAAAGCTGAAGCTAAGGCGAAGACAAAAGCCGCGGCTATGGCCAAGCTGGTCGCGCTGACTAAGACAGTGGCTGAGGCTTATGCTAATGCTATAGCTAAAGCCAAGGTGTCCTCCAAGAAGATTGCGATAGCAAGCAAGGCCACGATGCGCGCAGCGAAGGCGATCAAGCTGGCATCTTCGGCGCAAGATGAAGCCGCCATCAAGGCCTCCATCGCCGAAGAGGCGGCCGCGGCCGCTTCCGTTGCCGCCGGCGAAGCGAACGCCGCAACAGCCGCGGTCCAGGCGGCTCTGATGCTGACTCTGATGATCTGCCAGTCCGCGGATTTCTCCCAGAAAACGGCTGCCTCTTATTCCTTAGAACTTGTAAAAGCAGCCACGGCTAGCGCAGCCGCCATCAATTTCGTTGAAACCAAGGCATACAACATCGAGGAGATAATCGCTTCAGCGAGAGCTGCCGCTAAAGTAGCTTCGTCCAAGCATGCGGAAAGTAATCAGAAAATTGAAGAATTGGAAATGTATGAAAAAGTGATCAAAGAAGGCAGCTCTAAGGCCGCTGCCGCGCAATCCGTTGTTTTGGAGTACGCGCAGAAATTCTCTCGCGAAATGGAAGAAACGGCTAAAAAGCAAGCCTCCGCATCTGCCAAGCAGGATTCGAGAACTGCAATTTTGGAGTCGATCATTGCGGCGCAAGCGAATCCTCTCAATGTTGTAAGAGATGGAATTGTTGTTGGCTTGGGCGACACGCCGAAGGTGTCGATCAAACTTGTCGAAGTAATAAAAGCAAAACATTAATCGTAGCAATATCAAGTTGATCGAAACGACGAAATAAAATTTATAATAATTTTTATCATTGTAATAAAATTGATAGCAAAAATAAAAATTATAAGAATATAAAAATTATTGAAAAATGTAATTATATAAATATAATTCTCTATCAGCAGATAAAATTACTCTTCGTTAATTCCATAAACAATCTTTCCTTTTTTATTTGATTTCCGAATCATTATGTTATTTATGAATTCGTTAGTAGATTTTTCAATAAAGAATTTATTTTAAAAACTTAAAGATTTGAAATCTTACATCTTTAATTTTAGAAATTTCATATAATTATGTAATAATTTACTTACATCTAAATTCGATCAGTTTTTTGCTTGAATAATAATATAATTAAATCTGTAAAAAAGAAAAATATACAAAATAAATCTCTCATGAAACTAATATATTATAGTATATATTTAAAATAAATATATTATAGTATACACACATTATATTTAATATATATTTAAGTGCGATATAAATTGTAAATATATATTTAAATCTGTACATAAAAATGAGTGAAATTATCATTAATAAAATATTAATTTCTCCATCTCACAATTAGTATGCATTTTATTTCAAATAGTGTTTCACGGTACAATAATTTTTTATTATTCTGATAAACAACGTGAATGTAGTATTGATAGAACAAATAAAATTTATTATAGAAATCAAATACTTATTTTTTATTTCATGCATATACATATATGTAACATTGTTTTTAAATGCCTACTCATGACTAACATTTGGATAAAACTTTTTTGATAAAACAAGTATTGCATCTTTTTTAAAAAAGAGATTGATGTTTTCAAGTTTCTCGAATATTTGGGAGTTCGTGTATATTTTGTAAGAAAATTTTTGTCATTAAAATATTACTAAAATTGCATTTTGTTTATTCGATATTTTTTTTATTGTCTTCAATTTTAAGATTATATAATCTGTAAAATTTTTTTCGTGATTATATAAAATATATAAAACTGCACGGTTCACCAGATATAATTGAAAATATAGTCTATTCTTTGCAATATTTTTTTATTTTAAAATCGCTGCTTTATTCATAATGTTAAAAAAGTCATACGAGCAATGATTGCATCTATAATTATATTTAAGACTATTTTTAATGAGCAAACATAAATTGCATTTATTTATTGTTGATAAATGATAAATAAATGAAAACACTTGGACATATTAATATTACAAACGCGCGATTTTACTAACTGTAAAAAATAAACTCATGTGAAAATATTTATCGTTATGAAGGTACTTCCTGCTGTGTACTTTTACATTTATTTTTTCCAATAATTGCATTGATTGAAAAAAATCAAAACGACATGTGCTATTAAAAATTACAATGTGGCAATTGTACGATATTTTTAATTAAAAAGACCGTTTAGTTTTTTGTATTAGAATCGTATTTATCAAATGTTATAACTTGTACAAGTTACGTTAAAATGAAGAGAATTGCATTAACGTAACATGAGAAAAATTTAAAATAAAATTAAATACATAAATACACAATAGCTTTTTTTGTTATCCATGATTTCATTTTGACGTGAAAATATAGATAAAATTTTATCCGAGTGTGGAGGGATTCAGTTTCAAATTGTAGATTATTTAGAATAAAATTGTAGATAAAAATTACAAACAAGCAAGAAAATTTATAACAAAACTATTTTTGTACATTCTGGAATTTAATATCACAAAGCTACATATATCTATAATAAGACTATATATCAAAATAAAATATCTATTCGCAAACACATAGTCGTTTCCAAGATAAGTTAATACGGAGAATCTCGCCAACATGGATTATAACCGATCAATACTTACGATCGAATACAATCGCGAATCCATAAACGCACTTAAGTAAACGGTAAGGGAGGTGCACACGATCGACGTCCTGAAAAAATATTTTCCAGTTCGGTCGATCCGAAGATTTTTTTCGTGCGACAGTGCCGGGTGTTATGACAACTGTCCACAAGCGGTATATAATCGTGGACGCGGCGGTATCGGGCATCAATTCGCGAAGAAATCTCGTCGAAAATGAAGATCCCAGCGATAATCGCAACGAGCCTCCTCCTCTGGGGTTTCGTCGACGCCAGCCAGCCGTTCATCCTCGGCAAATCGGCCTCGTCCGCGTCCGCTGCCGCCTCGGCCGACGCATCGGCAGGTGGCTGGGGGATCAGCGGCGCCAAAGCGGGTGCGTCCGCGTCCGCGGCCTCCAAGGCCGGTAGCAGCTACATCCTCAGCCGCGCAGGAGCTTCGACCGCGGCCGCGTTGGTGGCATCCGCCGCGGTGGAGACCAAGGCAGCTCTGCGCGCCGGACAGGCAACCGCCCAAGAGCAGCAGGAGGCGCTCCACCTGCTCTCCGCGTCCGCCGGGAAAAACGCCGAGGCACGCTCCTTGGCCGACGATGCGGCTGTTCTGGTACAGGGTGCCGCCGAGGCGCAGTCAGTAGCCACCGCGAAGACGGTCGCGGTCGAGCAAGCGGCCGCCTCTCTGGGTGCAGCTGCCATCGAAGCGGAAGCCGCCGCCGCCACGTCTAAGATATCGGCCGGGGTGGCCCTCCAAGCCGTGCAGACCGCCGCCGCCACCATCAAAACCTCCGCTGGTAGCGCCTTGCTGACTCTCCAGTTGGCGCGGAAGGCCGGAGCGACTTCCGCAAATGCCGCCGCTCAGGCAGAGAAGGCGGCAGCTCTGAATCGTGAGGCTAACGCTGCCGCTCAGCGAGCTATGGCGGCTGAGAGTGCGGCCACCGCAGCAGCGGCCATCGCTGCTGCCAAACAATCCGAGGCGAGGGACGCCGAAGCCGAAGCCAAGGCAGCGATGACCGCGCTTATGACCGCCCAGAGGAACTTCGTGCAGGCCAAGAGCAGGGCGGTCGCGGCCAGCGAAGTGGCCGAAGAGGACACGCAGTCTAGAGCGGCCGATGCCGAGGTGAACGCCAGCGCCCAGGCGGCTTCCAAGTCCAGCATCCGCAAGAAGGAGCTTATTGAGATCGGCGCGGAATACGGCAAAGCCAGCGGCAAGGTGATCGTGACCGGCACGCACTCCTCCGGTGGTAAGGGTGCCGTCGTCACTGCCGAGGCCCAGAGCAGCGCGTCCGCCGTTGGCATCAAGAAGGGAGGGCATCAATGGGGAGATAAATGGGGAGATAAATGGGGATACAACTGGGGTCACGGATACGACAGCTCGCAAGCGTCAGCGTCCGCTGATGCGGAAAGTTCCGCCGACTCTCTCCTTTTGTAAAACGCGCGAGCAAAACTGCGCTTCTCTTCAGTCATTCTTGCGTAGCGGAGGATAATACAAGTCTTGATTTATCACGAATTGTCCTAGATTAGAGCGCGATTACATACCGGCAGATATTGAAAAAAAATTAACAAAAAAAGCAGCGATTCCAAATTCGAGAAATGTAAGAATAAAAATATATTGTTATAGCAGAGACATATATCCAAGAATTTTTTCTTTCATTAAGCATCCTCATTGTCCCAATTCACCTACATGTTAAAGTGAGAAATCAGAATATATCGGATAAAATAAATCAAGATTTTAATGCTACACACATGCAAAAATTATTCTTATGTTTATTTGTCATGATGAAAACATAATAAGTAGTAATAATATTTCATTTCTCATATCTCTGTAAACAATAAAATTATATCAGGCTTAAATTTTATTAGATGTAAATTACTTTTTCTCTCTCCTTTTCACTAAATTTATTTAAAAATAAATTAAACCAACAATTAAAAAAAGAAATTTTTTAAATTATTTAAATAGTTTATTATTTAAGATTATTATAATTATTAATTAAGATTATTAAACAATCAATTTTATTCTTGGTGAAAAAAATCGTTGCAAAGTCACAGCTCACTTTTTTAATCATAATGCAATTTTGACATAAATATTTCGAATCGAGTTTCTATTAATAATAATGACAATGTAGTAAAATTTTCTCTTATATAATAAATGATTCAAGATGCAGAGAGTTCTCAAGTTTTTCTTAAATTTAATTTTTAAATAATTGACGATAAAGTCTTATAGGCTCCATTTAATTTTGAATGATATAAAATTTTATTCTTTTTCAGAAATAGTCGAAGCAATTTCTTTTTAAATTTTACTATGTGTAATAGAGTTAAAACTTTTATGAAAAAGATATTGTTCAATTAAATGTCTATTAATTGTAAGAGAAAATGAATTCAACTATTGAATTTCAAAGTATTTAAAAAATATACATAATTCAAAAAGCAATAACTTTAAAATATCTTGTAAATTATTATACTTTTAATGTAATTAATTTTTTAACCCTTCTAATACGCAATATCAGTTTGAATATTTTGTATGTTTTATACTTTAAATAAATTGGAAAACATCAAAGGAATAATGTAAAGTAAATTTTTAATTTAAAATGCTTCTATATAGATTGGATTTCTGGATTGGATTTTTGTAGAATGATTACATTTTTATTACGTGAGTCTGTTAAATTGTCTACAATGTTTCATAAATATAATCTAAATTTAATATCTATCAATATTAACATCATTAAATTATAAAATATAGAAAGATCATTAATTTTGTCTCGCAATCATATTTTATTACTTTTTGTGTTTCGTATTAACTTTCTTGCATGCATACCTATTTTTATATTTATTTTTTCTCAAATTTATTTAAAGAAACGAAAAGTCAAGGAATGCATTAGAATATTTTTTAAACGAATATTACTTTTAATATTATAAATTTTATTAATTTAATACTCAAACATTTTTTTCGCATATATTTCTGTTTAGAAAAAAAGATAAAAGAAACCAACTGTATATAAAGTCTTAATTGTTAAATCTTTAAATTTTAAGAATTTTTAATTCTTATATTAAATTTACTTGGAAAGAAAAAAAGGAAGCAATATTGTTAATATATTATTTTTGGAATTTTAAATTAAAAACATTTTAGTGCTCTCTCTCGTATTTTAGATTTAAATAAATTTGTACAAAAATTTTAACAAATTTATAAATTGTATGTGTGTGTGAATGGATTTATTAATCAATATGAAATTAAAAGTATTAGCATTCAAAGGATTATAAATAGCAGTTATATAAATAATATTTAATGATTTTTTCTCTTTCTTTAATTATATAGAAATCAGTATATAAATTAACAGACGAATTTCCTTCACTTACAATTAGTCTAATATGTTGTCGCCTCTTAAACTTTTATATTTTACAGTTATTAAATCTTGAACAACAGGCGAAGTATTATGATAATTTCATTTTATTAAATATAATTTCATTCAAAATTTTATAAAATTCTAATAAAGTTATTAGAGATGTTATTGCAGAATACATCATTACAATAATATTAATGTAGAACTAATAGAATAAAATATTGTTCTTAGATATTGCTATATTTCAAGACCAAGTGTGTGATATATAAATATATATCTACATACTTGACCTTTATAAAATTAAATATTAAATACAAATATAAATTAGAGCATTAGTTATGTTTTCCGTTAGCATTAACATTATGAAAATATATATCTAAGAATTGATGTAAAGCAACAGTATAGCATTTTCTTCCGATAGAATCGAATAATTATGGATTCAACCTTGACAGGTGTCAACAGGGGAGAGTGAAGCGATAATCGGTATTTATTGGATAAGCAACAAATATTTTCCGGCGAATAAACGGAAACGCACCTAAGCAAATCGCGTACAACAAATCCGCGCGGCTTTGCGCCTCGACATCTTGAAACAATATTTTAAGGAGTGTCACACCCGCGGGGGGATAAATGCGAAAGAAAAACAGAGGCGCGCGTGTTTTCACAATTGTCGACGGTGCAAGTATATAATCGGCATACGCGCCACTACCCGGCATCAATCTGCGAAGTTGCGCCGTCGAAGATGAAGATTCCAGCGATACTCGTGACGTCTCTCCTCGCCTGGGGGTTCGCCAGCGGTGGAGTCGTGGATTCCAGCGCGGCGTCGTCCGCACAGGCGTCGGCGTCGGCGTCGTCGTCGTCGTCCTCAATCGGGCAGTACGGCAAACAGTCGCACGGCATCTGGGGCAAGGAGGAGAAAAAGTTCGAAGGACTCGACAAGAAATCGCTCAACACGTTTCCCCTGAAGTACGGCGTCAAGAACGGTGGATTGGACGTCGCCAAAGGCGCGGCTGTCATCGAGTCGGCGATATCCGACGTGTCGACCCTCACCGAGCAGCGTTCGCTCCAGGATCTCGGCCTAGGCGTCATCGCGAACAGCGCTGAGATCCTGGCGAGCTCGCAGGCTGCCGCGAGCGCCAGCGCTGGCGCGCAGGCCAACAGCCTCGAGGAGCAGGCGCTCGCGGCGATAGAGCTCGCCAGCAAGGCCGAGTATCTCGCGGCGATCATCACCACCAAGGCAGCGAAGGCCGCTGAAGCTACAGCGGTCGCGGTCGCTCGCGCCGAAGCCGCCGCCGCTGCTTCCAAGATCTCCAGCGAGGATTCGGCAGCCGAGGCGCGTAGTGCCGCCCTGGCCGAAGCCAAAGCCAACGCCGCTTCCATCATCGCCAACAAAGCGAATATCAATCTGGCGCAGGCAGCCGCCGTGCTCGCCGCCACCGCTACCGCGGCCAAGGACTCGGCATTCAAGTCACTGCAGGCCGCACGGGAAGTCGCTAAGGCTCAGGCAGAGATCACCAAGGCTAGTGCCGTGGCTCTAGTCGCCATTTCCAAGGCCAAGGCCGCCGTGGGCAGCGCGGCCACCGATCAGGCCGTCTGCACGTCCCAGGCACAAGCCGCCAGCCAAATTCAATCGAGAGCCTCCGCGTCCGAATCTGCGGCATCGGCTCAATCGGAAACCAACACTGCTGCGGCTAATGCGGTCGCTATCGCTGATGCCGAGGCGGCCAGCCAAGCGCAAGCGTGGGTCGAGTCGTTCAAACGCGATCCCTGGGTTCCTCTCAACTTGAAGGGGAAGGCTAACGCCGAGGCTATTGCGATTGGTAAGGGATATGGTAAAGGATACGGTAGCAGGTCGAGCGCGGATGCCAGCGCTAGCGCCGAGGCAAGCAGCAGCGTATCCTTGGGAAATGGATATCATGGACAAAAAGAAAGCGTCAGCGAGGCTTCAGCAGCCTCAAGCAGCAGCGCTGCTGCATAAAGGGCATTTAACGCAGCGCAACAGCAATCTCTTTGCTAAGAGAGAGTCGGACAACACGACTGACAACAACATAGAAATTTTGATTCATGCGAATACCATAGGTTAGCAGTACGAGCATTACTGGCAGGAATTGAAAAAAAAAATAAAAAAGCAACGATTTGAAATCCGATTGAAATGTAAGAATAAAAATAAATTGTTATAGCAACTTAAAATATCTTTCTCTCTGTCACGCTCCCTATCATGTTCACTGCAGCCGAGAAATACGCCATTCATTGTACGATTAGTAACGATAAATGAAAAATTCGTATGAAATTAATAAAATGAAAAATTCATATTTGTTAATAAAATAATGACTATATAGATATTTACGAATTACGAAGATTATTAGATTCAATATCGTACATTTTATACCCGCTATGATAACGCTAACAATAAGTATATGAGAAATATTGTACGTGATATTTCTATTTCTTCTTTGTGTTGACAGATAATATATTTATAAAATTATATATTATAAAGGTAGCATTATGCATTTCTTTATTTTCTTATATTTATGCATAAAATAACGATTGAGAGGTTAAAATTTATGATGGAATAAATTATCTTCTTTAAAGTGTTCTTTTAAGTGTTATACTTTAAATAAATAAAATTAATTCAATATTAAAATCAATATTAGAATACTAATAATAAACTAGAAAGATTCTGTATTTGTGTACAGGATCTTAAGCTATTTTTGATTATGTGAGCAAAAAGAAATAATAATGTTCATGTGAACAAGAAAAAATAATAGTAGAACAAGAAATATAATATATTCTTTTTTTCATGTTACTTACATACATTTCATTCATATTTTAATTCTCGTTACATTTTTAAAATATGTTCAATAATAAATTATCTTATAAATTGGCTTATAAATAATTATATTTTATTATAAAATATAATTATGTTCTTTAAATCAATGAAGGATATGGATACATATACGCTTTCTCTTTATGAACTTTCTTTTTTTGAAAGTATTATTTTGAAAATTTTATTTCCTATCTGTATGTAAGTAAAATATGAATAGTATGATAAAAGACAAATTTCATATCGTTGAAAATAAATTATAATAAAAAATTTAAAATATTTTTTACATATAAAACTTGACCTATAGAATATGTCATTCTGTTTGTTACTGTATGTACACGTATTATAAAAATCTATTATAAATCAGAAATCTACACCAAAAAATCTCATTAAAATTGTTTCAAAATTATCTTATTTTTATTATTTTTTTCGAGTTTTATTCTTCAGTTTAAATCTTTTAGTCTCATTGTCAGATTTGAACAAAATGAAAATGACTGTAAAATTTTTTATGCAGTTTACGTTAAATTAGTATATGTGAAAATATGTTTTAAAGCGTAAATGTGTAATAAAAAAATAATAAATGTGTAATAAAAAAATAATAAATAATTTATTTATATATATTAATAATTTATTTAAATATATAATGTAATTTTTGTATATAGTTCCAAAATTACCGAATGTTCTTTTCGTTGTAGACTGTTTGGTTCAATCAAAATGGATTTTTTCTGAATGCAAATATATTGTTGTTGCACATTATTATTTAAGTAAATTTATCTTATCTTTAAATCAACAATATTTTTATAAACTCTGTGTAATTTTTCGCTATTTCCTCAACGCATAAAAAAATTTGAAATTATTAATTTAAGAAATGTCAACAACACAATAGACAACATAAATCATCGATAAAATTACTCTATAAAATTACTATAATAATATGAATTTATAATATATATTATATTATATGCGAAATATAAAAATAATTATACTGAATACAATAGAATTAAATGCTTGTGATGATAAAAAAAAGTTTCTTTTCAATGAAACTCACCCTGAAATGTCTTAATGATAGCATTATGTAACATGGTCAGACTTTTAAATATCATACATTGATATTTGGAAAATTTTAATTGTGGAATTTATTATTTAATATTAATTATTATTAATTTTTTTCAGATTTTTATCGAAAAATAGTTCATGATGCTAAAATAATAAAAAGAAGAAATAATCGCAAATCTATTATTCGATATTGTTACAATCCTTCTGTTTAATTAATAAGATTAAAATTTACGAGAAATATTGCCTCAAAGATTAAAATATTAATTTCTATTACAGTTGCAAGTTTTAATGATACAAAAATATATTATTGCAAAATATATTTACGGCTATACATCTATGAAAATACAGATTAAAAATTTTAATATAATCAAAACATAGAAAAATTATATTTTTCCCGACGATTAACATATTCCTTTCATCCCGACAGTGATTACAAGTGAAAACACTTCAAGAAACAAAATAGATGCAGACTTAACAAACTATACCGGACAAAATGAAGACGTTTGGAGATTTGAGAGACAATATTTTCGACATGCGAAACGCGCTCGCGCTGCGGCTTGTTTACACAATTGCACGACGATCGCACGGTGTTGGTATATAACACGCGAACCACGTTGATCCGGCACCAATCTACGAAGTTCCGTTGAAGATGAAGATTCCAGCGATACTCGTGACGTCCTTACTCGTCTGGGGACTGGCCAGCGGGAGTCCTCATAAGGAATCGAAAGCTTCCGCGTCCGCATCCGCGTCCGCGACCGCGGTTGCTTCCTCCAAGAAGAATCTCCACCCGTACCCGATACCGATACCGTTGAAAAGCGATCATGGCATCGTAATCGATAAATCAAAGTTTAACATCAGGAAGGTAATACTGAGCGCGATCGACGAGATCAACGGCGCGCCCAAACTCGGTCTGGGATGGAAGAAAGTCAGTTGGGCTCTCGAGAATGCCAAGTCGAACGCTCAAGCGTCCGCCGAGGCGGTGGCACTCATCAAGAAGATCACCAAAGCCCTCATCGTGGCTTACATCAAGGCGGCCAAGATCTCGGCTCACGCGTCCGCCGAAGCGTTGGCTGCTGCTAAGGCTGCGGCACAAGCGCAGCAGATTGCCGAAGCGAAGGGTAGAGCGGCTTCTCAGGCACTCTCCATAACAATCGAGGCATCCGCGAAGGCCGAGGCAGCGGCCGCAGCCACGACGGACGCGATTGAACGCACGTATCAAGACGCCAGGGCGGCTACTTCCGCGCAGACCAAGGCCAGCGGTGAGGCCGAGAATGCCAATCGCGGTGCAGCCGCAATCCTCGCAGCACTCGTGCGCATCGCGGAGGCCTCTGCAGATGCCAACCAAGCCGCTACCAAAGCATCTGCCTCCGCCGCCGCTGCATCCGCTTTGCATGCTAAAGCCAACGCGGCTTCGCAGGCCGCCGCTACAGCAACCGCCCTGGCTAGAACGACGTCCGAGGAGGCAGAAGCCGCCCAGGCATCCGCTTTGGCAAACGCGCAGCTGGTCCCGAGGTTGGCGGCAAAGGCTAGCGCTGATCAGCAAGCGGCCTCCGCCAACGCTGATTACCTTACCGCCAAAACCGAGGCTGAAGCTGCCGCACAGGCGTCCGCCGTCAACGCGCTCAGGGACGGAATAGTCGTTGGATTGGGAAATGATGCCGGCGCTTCTGCCCAAGCTTCCGCACAGGCCAGCGCTCTCGCTTACGCCAACGGGTACAAAGGGAAAATCGCGAAGGGTCTGGAATGGAGTCCTTCGCAAAGTTACGGCGCGTCTTCCGCCAAAGCATCAGCCAGTGCCTCCTCCCAGGCATCCTCATACGGGAAGGGATGGTAGACGGTCGAAACGGAGATTTTCGACAATTTCTTAGTCACTAACGCGAAACAGACACAAATTTCGAGTAATTAATATGTTGTATGTGTTTGAGCGCAATTACATACATACACACATCGGCAGGAATAAAAAAATAACAAAAAAATTTGGCGAAATGTGCTACCAAGCGTAATAATAAAAGTCAATTGTCTTAGCAGTTAATAAGAGTTATTTCTACAAAGCCCATATATATCCTGTATATCCATTAATTTTAATATATCAAAAATATATTTTTGGTCAAACATGTATCTCTCAAAAAGTTTGATATAGAGCTAACACTTTTATACAAGCTTGATTCATTTAATGCAATGGGATATTCCCATGTGAATAAATTTTTCATATTCAAAAAACTCTGAATTAGAAATTATACTCTCTATGAAGAAAGTAACGTTTTTATTAATTTTATACAATTTTATACTTTATCATGTGTAAAAAGTTAGTCTTTCACACACACAATATATGTAAAAATTATATAAAATTTTCTCAACAGATGTTTTATAAATGTTACTTAAAATTTGATTTTCGGGAATGAATTTTTAAGGAATACGAAATAGGTTGTAACTTATTGCTTGAAGATATTAATCAAAATATTTAGAATGATATTTTATGTAAAATTTAATAAACAAATAATTTTATAAATTATATTAAATAAAGAGTATAAAATGGAAAATAGAGAATATTTCTTTTGCAACAAACATGTTATATCTGTTACGTGATATATAAATTTATACATATATGTATAAAATATTTTAAATATATGTATAGAATCGCATATTATTAAAATAACATAAATATATATATATATATATATATATATATATATATATATATATATATAATGTCTGTGTAATCTAAAATAATTATCTAAAACTGATAATAGTAAAAATCCAATAATCGCGAACATTTAAAAAATCTCAAATATAAACAACATTTTTATATTATTTTGTGACTTTTATATTATTTTGTACCCGATGTATATCAGATGTGTACATACACATTATCAGATTTTAAAATAATATATATGTCTGTAATATCCTGTCAACTGTAAATAAAATATCGCAAGACGAATTAAAATAATATATTAATCTGTTAATTTACTTTTTTCAGCTGTTATATGTTTTTAAATCTTAAAACTTCCTCGATAATCGATAACAGTATATTGTCTGTTTTTAAGAAAATAATCAATAAGTAATAGCATTTATGTAAATTGTATGTAATTGCAAAAACAATATTTAAAAGAGAAAGATTTCAATTTAATGTGTATATATAAATATTTATATAACTATATATTAATCGCTTATTGAAAACTAAAAATAATTTAAATCATAATGTGTGTGAGTAAGTGAGAGAGAGAGGGGGGGGGGGGAATTTAATAGATGATGACTTCTAGTAGAGGAATATAAATTATTATTGTCTATAACTTTTCACCTTTCTTAAGTTTTTTATAGAAAATTATTGTAGTATTATTATAATAATTTTTTTATTTTCTCAAAAATCTCTTTTTCAATAAACTTTTCAGATAACTTGATCGCAATCTAAAGAATTTCATAAATAATTATATATTATATAATTATATAATATATTATTAATTATATAATTATGTATGTAGTCTAACTTTATATCTATTTTTCAGTGAATGTATCTATTCTTTAGTGAGTTTCAATGAATTCGCGCATCTATTTGTAAAAGTAGATATACATATTTGCACATTCCAACGTAAAAGAATAATCTCTATGATCTGTAAATTAGTCTTTATCCACGTACACAATATAAAATATATAAAAATATAAATTTGTATAAGATTGTATATTTTTTATTCAATTATATGATAAAATATTAAAATATAAATGCAAATTTACTATCCGAAAAGTAACCGACAGAACTATAATAAAAAAAAAGAATATATAACTCTTGTAATTTTATTAAACGATTGTTTCTCTAGTTTGTAGTATATCAATAAACAAATAATATTCACAATTAAATTGTAAGATTTTAATTCTACTTAAATTTGAACGCGCGATTATATCAGCATTATGCAAATATTTTAATGGTCCAATAATACTTCCAAATAATTATTTTTACTGTGGATGTCATAAAAAGATTAATTTTAGCTATTTCTAAGAATATAAAAATTTTTCTAAACTAAATTAAATTTTTCTTTTCTTAGAAAATTATCTCTTAAAATTACGCGGATTCTGTATAATCTGCACGTTTAATTACTTTTTACAAAAGATTTTTTAAACAATATTCAATTTAACGAACGCTAATACTCGTCCTTATTAAATGTAGAAAAAATGAATAAATTAATTTTCTAGTAGATTAAAAAATTGCATTAGAAACGATAATTCTTTATGTAGCTTATGTATGATCTTTCTAAATATTAAGAACTCTTATATCTAAATTTTTTCCGGTCGCACGGCATGTTGCCGATTTAAGAAAATATAAATATAGAAAAAAACGTGGACACACTTAAGCAAACAGAATCAACAAGAATAAAGACATTGAAGTTGCCGGCGACGGTCTTGTGATAATATTTAGAGGAGTGCGCGAATCGCGGATGCACAACGGGCTATTTTCACAAATGGCACGCTACGGTATAAAATCGGTGGACGACCGATCAGCCGGCATCAATCTTGCGAAGTAGCTCCCAAGATGAAGATTCCAGCGATACTTGCGACGTCCCTACTCGTCTGGGGTCTTATCGGCGTCAGCGAGGGATGGGTCGCTGGGTCGGAAGCGAGCGCGTCGGCATCTGCGACGTCCTCCGCGTCTAGTGGCAAATTGACTGCCTCCAAATCGTCCGCCAGCGCGTCTGCCAGCGCGTCTTCCAGCGCGTCTTCCAGCAGTAAAGGTGGTTGGTTCGACGGTCACTACGGTGACATTAAATACAAAGGAAAGAAGAGCGCTGCCGGGATCGCGATCGAAGGAGCGAAGGTCGGCACCGGGATCAGTAACACCGCGTCCGCGTCCGCTGAGGCACTTTCTCGTGGACTCGGCATCGGACAGGCAGCTGCCGAAGCTCAAGCCGCTGCCGCCGGTCAAGCGACGATCGCCGCGAAATCGTGCCAGTTGGCCGCCAAGAGCACCGCTCAAGCGGTCGCCCTTGTCGAGGCGGCTGCCCAAGCCCAGGTAGAGACGTCCAACAAGGCGTCAATCGCCGTCAAGAAGGCGGCTTTCGCCGCCAAGGCAGCAAAGTTAGTCGAGGAAAAAGTCGCCGCCTTGAGGGCGGCCGCTGGCAAACTGGATCTGGCCGGAAGAACCGCCGCTGCTGCCGAAGAACGCGCCAACGAGGAATCTGTAGGGGCCAACGAACGCGCTCAAGCGTCAGCCTCCGCTGCCGCCGAGGCCGAAGCCAAGGCAAACGCCGCTCAGGTGGCTGCTGCCTCCGCCAAGGCCATCGCCGAGGCTGCAGTTCTCATCGAACAGGAAGCCGCCGCGCTGGTCCGCAAGGCCCAGAACAGCTATCTCAACGCTGAAGCTGCCACCACCGCGGCCAGCAATGCCCGCGTTATCGCCTCCGCCCAAGCCGAAGCCAGCGCTGACTTGAGTAATCGCGCGGGTATCGCACGCTCCGGTGCCGCTGGGGCTGCCGAGGCCAAGGCCATAGCTACGTCCGCTGGTTCTACCGCCGAGATCGCAGCCTACAGCTGGGCCAAGAAAGGCGAGATCATCGATCCCGGTCCTCTGCCCAAGATCGTCAGCGTCACCGCGGCTCTGACCAAGAGCAAGGTTGAGGCCATCAAGATCAAAAAAGGTCACGAGATCGAAAAGGGTTTCTACGGCTACAAGGGTGGCATCGCGAGTTCGTCGGCGGCCTCTAGTGCCAGCGCTAGTTCCAGCGCCGGCGCCGGCAGCATCAGCAGCGGCAAGCTGGGTAGTCAGCACTCCGCGTCCTCCGCCTCCGCCTCCGCCGATGCCGGCAGCATCAGCAGCGGCAAGCTGGGTAGTCAGTACTCTGCGTCCTCCGCCTCCGCCTCCGCCGAAGCCGATGCCGGCAGCATCAGCAGCGGCAAGCTGGGTAGTCAGTACTCCGAGTCCTCCGCGTCCGCCTCCGCCGAAGCTGACAGCTCGGCGTTGAAAGCGTGGTGAACGAGCAACGCAATTTTACCCGCCCCTGATACTGCATTCCAATGCACACGCGAAAGAGCCTTTTAGCGACGAATATTAATAGAATAATAGCGAGACGAAGATTTATATAATGCGTGCACGATTCGACAGCAAAAAATTTACAAAAAATCGATTACGTCAGGCAGAAAATTGTGTAAGAATGGAATTAAATTGTTAGCAGCTAAACTTATTTCCGAATCTTTCATTTCGGCAACCTCCCTCCATTCACGATCCCCTCTGATGTCGACTGTTAGATGGTTCTCGCAATACTTTCGAGAAGCAGAGATATTTATGACCGTATCTTTCTAAGATTTTATCAATTAACATTTACAAAGCATGCATATATCGCATATTTTTTTTGTACGGGACATTCGATAATAGAACGCTTCCATACATAAAAGATTAACATTCGAATTAAAAAATTATACATTCGCAAGTCAATTCTAAGCATGCGGTTTAAATGTATTATGCAACACGTAATATTGCCTAACATTTCCGCGTAATTTTACGTTACTTACAAAACATACGATTTATATTAGCCAAATAGGTCACGTGCCTTTAAGCAATTCCTTCACGCTAAAATGAATCAGCTGTTCGCAGCTTTCCTAACGTTCGCCTTTACTAACAGTTATGCTAATTGTAAGTCCTTCCGAGAAATCCGTATTAATGACGCTTTAAAATTTATCGAATGTTGCCTAATTCTCTCTCATTTGCTTGTTTCCAATCAAAATTTTCTGATTAATTATATAAACGACTATCAAGAAGCCGACACAAACGCGGTCATCCAAATACCAATATAAAGCAAAAAATAAAATTAGTATAGTATAATAAATTATAAAATGCGAGTATATCAGATTATTTTTAGTGAAATGTGTTTTAAGTTTAAATTATAAAATGCGAGTATATCAGATTATTTTTAGTGAAATGTGTTTAAAGTCATAGTCATAATAGTTCTTGTTTCGACCAGATTATTAATAGTCTAACTGCATCTACTTCGTAAATTATTCATTGCGATAAATCTCTGTTTAAATCGATTTTAAGCAAAAAGCAAAATGTAGAATTCCATTAAAGATGAACTTTAAAATTGCAGAATTTATTTAGCAATTATAATTTCTGAGATGTTTTCTTTCAAGATGGTAAGATTCCATAATGGTTCATAAAATTAAAATTGTGACTCATTTTTGGTGACACGTACGCGTTTTACCTTCATTAACGTACAAATGAGATCCAAATATCGCATTAGAAAATAACATTTCATCATATATATTCATTTTTCAATGATTATTATACCGTTATTAAGTCCTCGTAATTGCTGAAAATGAACAATATGTATTCTCTATGTTATTATCTTGACGCGATAACTATTTTCTTGCACGTAACGCATGGAACCGCAACACGTATGCACGCATCTTACCATATAGAGTGTATTAAATTATAATTTGCTTTATGGGAAACAGCTAGTCTCAATTTTTAATAATAGAATAATATAATTATAATCTTACGCACATACATATATATTAATTTTCTATTTATATATTTGTACAAAGTAACTCACAGTGAGGTATCTTTCCACATACAATTACGCGATGCTTTCATCGATACGAAACTTTGTATTAACTTTGACAAAATAGATAAGAACTTTGTGTTAAAAAGTCGCATCAGAAAAAAAGTTAATGAGCACATCAAGATTTTCTAATGAATAGAGATGAAAGTTGATGACAACTTATTAATCTCTAAAGACATGTTCAGAGCAATTTCGCGATACGCGTAATAAGTGGTTGTCTACTAATTAATCTTCTTTACATCATGCGTCTACATTTGTGTGCACGCCGATCTATAAACTATCTATACTACTGATCTAAATTAATATATATGATATCAGCGCAAGTTTAAAATATTATAAGATAAATACGTTGTACTCAAATCAAAATATTCGAAATAATATTTCACATTTTATGTATGACATCAGTTAAAAAATAAATTCCTTATCATAAATTTCCTATCATAAAAATTCTTTTTAACAATATAAACTCTTTTTTCACATGCATTATATTTATCCCCTTATACATTATATAATAGCCAGATATTTTACTCCTCTCAGACAAATTTCACACTAAAGATCAAATATAATTACTCACAATCAGTCCCACATAAGATACATCCCCACTTACCTCTTCTACCTGGATCCCGCGCTTACTTCTGGTGTCTCCGGCACCGCTCGAGCTCCGGTCGCGAACGATTCTTCGGTGACTGGCGGTTCAAGAGGTGAGAGACTACGTTGATCTGGTGGGGATAACAGGGACCCCGCCCGATAGCCGGCTATAAAATGCTGCTACGGGAATCAGGCCCAACCAGTCTTAATCGAAACAAGAAGCTCCATTTTTCTTTCCCTCCTGTGCCTAAAGGAGAGGCCCCAGTGAGTCTATCTGTCCCGAATCATGAAGCTCATCGTCAAGTTTATCTTGCTGTGCGCTGCGGTCGCTTTCGTCGCCGCTGAGGGGACTACGGAGCAGGAACGACCGAAAACCTTTCGAAGGCTGATACCCGCAGATGTTCTTCGTGGTGAGTGTATGCCTTCGTTAGTTGTCAATCTGTAAAATAAACTTTATAGAAGTCACCGTAAATTTAGTTCTTTCTAATTAATTTCAAATTTTGTCTACTTGTGACATCCGATTAAATATATGATAAAAAAATCAATCAGAAAAATAAATTACATTCAATTATCAATAATAAGTCAATTATATATAAGCACTATAATCTTTCTTTCCATCTAGTGAAAGATAGCTTCGAAAGGATATTTTTATCGCGAGATATTTTAAATAATTATGAACAATAAATAAATAAATAAATAAATAATATGTTATTTTTCGATAAATGTACAAAATAATATACATTTGTGACACATTTATGTTACACACATATTATAATTCATATTAAACATGTAATTATCACGATAAATAATATATTAATTCGTTATTAGAAGAAAAATATCATATTTAGGTCAGCACGTTTTTTTGTTAAAAAAAATTAAAAAATAATATATTATTGATTTAAACAGAAAAAATGTAAGTAAATTATAATGTATAAATGTAATGTGTTCTTTAAGATGTATTTATAAGACGAATGTTTACAAGTTAATTCTATTATTTAATTAAGATTTATTTTAAATAAGATATATTTTTGTCAAATTTATTGGTGCATTTATATAAAAAATAATAATAATAATTATACATTCATATAAATATGAGATTCTGTAAAATAAATTAGCAATATGATTCTTTTTTAAAAGTATGAGTAAGAATTTGTTTTTGAGAAAAATAATAAATATGAGGAAAAATGTTCTCGCGGACCATCAGTTGAGAATCTCTGTTAAGTATCTGGCCGAATTCAAAGAAGTACAGTACGTACATGACCGGCAAGTGGGACAATTGTCGTTATTTTCAACCGGTTCCTGAAAGGACTCAACTTTCTTACGATGTCTTGTCACGCGTGTTGAACCACTGTCTCGGAATCTCGATGACACGCTAATGTCATTCGCGATGCAGGTGAAAAAGAAAATAGCATAATTTATATTTAAATCGATCATTTGGAAAATTCATTAAATTGAAACTGCCAATTTTCAAGATAAATAAGATGCTTTAAAAGAATTTTGTATAAAATTATTGTGGAATTTTTTAAATGTTTAATATAGTCTTCCGATTCTTGTAATTAGATCCTTTAATTGCTCAGAGAATAACTGTATAAATTATAAATTAAAAGTCACTTTGTATTTTGCATGAATCGAAGATCTTATCTATTTATAAAAAATGACTACGTTTATACTTTGTAATTATCGCAATCTCGTAGATTCTAAGATAGCATAAATCCTTGTCTATTCTTCGCACGTTTTCCCTCGCACTGACCTTGCGATGAATATCACTTTTTTTATTCTGTAATGTTTCCTTAGTATTCATCCATGCGTATCTTCGATACGCATGATTCTCGACACTTTTTTATCTTACTTAAGCACGGTTCCTGATTCACACGATGTATCGGCGGCAATATCTCACGAACAAATCGAGAAAAATAGGAATCGCACATTACTCTTGGCGTCAAGATCGCAAGACCGCGTGAAAGTTTCATGCCGTAATCATCACCTTATGATCCCCTTACCGATACCAGTTTTGCCTCGTTCCTTGCCCGATATCACTTTCTTCTTTATACGATCAGTAGGATGCAGTGATGCATTTCTCTTTCTCGAATCCCATCGTAGAAACGATCGTCCCTGTAAAATTTTTATGTTTAAGATTAATACTTAAAAAATATAACATATCGTGATAAAAAATTGTCAATATCGCAATTTGAAAAAAAGACAAGTTAGTATGATAATTAAATTGTGATTTGCCGTAAATGTTTATAGTTTGTAAAATATTTATTTATTTAGAAGATTATTCTATGCATTACATTTCAAATATTGCCTTGCGATTAATGAAGAATTAATATGTTATAAACGTTATTTTTTATTTTATTATTTAATAGAAATTGTCGTTTTGATGCGGGATTGTGCAATATCTTACGACAATAAATTGAGAGCTTTTTAGAGAGAGAATCCTTGACGTTTGCGTAGACACGATGTATTTCCTTAATCGATCTTTAATTATCGCGACCTCGTTTTTTTCCTATTTGTTAGTAAAGACCTTGGATTTCCATGAATAATCGAATTACTCACGACAAGAAAATTATGCGACCTCGTTGCTCGAATTGTAGCGAAGACAGCATTGTACTGGGTGTGGAAACTTACAAGGAAAATAGATCTCGTCGTCGGTCAGGATCTTAGAAGGTTACACATGTCCGCGAAGCGAAGATTTTGTGTTGAATATGTAACACGAATAAATCTCGGCACTCTTGACACTCCTTTAGCTCTTTGAAAACCTGGAACAATGAAACCTTTCATACATTCTTTGTAATATACAAACATATATCTCTTTGAATGCTGTTAGTTGAAAGAACTATACCTAAGAGTGAAATTGTACAGTAACATTTCCTTCGTTTATCGCATAAAATATCCTCGTCATTTGAAAGCGAAACGCCCATGAAAACTAACAACTTCGTCTATTAGCTATAGAAATGACAACTGGTACTCACGATGAAAGTACAGGCGGAATCAAACAGCATAAAATCAGAGAAAGATCGTCACGTTCACCTGCATCGCGAGACTTTCGAAAAAAATTATAGAGGCGCAAAAGTCGTGTATCATGATTATAAATTATAACTTTTCTCTTTTCTCATTTATGCTATTAACTTCTTGATGACCAAATTAGATTCGTTTAATTTTAGTATCTTTGTGAAAGATACTCTATATTTTTAAAAAATGTAGATATTTTTGCAATTTTATTATAATTTTTAATAATTTTGAATTTTTTGAAAATAATATTAATGAATGAGAGATCCTTAATTATACATACGAGTTTCAAGTCATCATGTATCTTGCAAGTTCCGGTGAAAGTCTGTTATAAAGTTCTCATAATATCTCTTTTCTACAATTATTGATTACCTTTAAATATTTAATTTGTTGTTTTAAAATTTTGACTTATAAATTTTTAGTAAAATTAAAATCTCTGTAATCTCTCGTTTCATTAAGTCTTGTTTACTATTTCATGCTGACTGGTGAAACGAGCAAACCGCAACGATATATTAGCAGTGCCATAAATGCCAATCATGTCGAGACTCCAGTCAATGTATCGATGGCATTGAGGAAATAGTAACAAACACGTCATTATTTAAATTTCGCGAATAATACACTCACTTGTGAGATGGAGGATTATATATACATATATAATTAGATATTCTGACGTCTTTGCAAAGTGCGTAATCTTATATTGATTCTCGTCTTTATCATGATTATACACAACATGAGACAGCAAAAAACATGAGTCATAAGTGAATTGCAACCAAAAATAAGTTTTTCGGAATTATTTAATTATAAACTTTCTATTCGAGATTTTTGTATTTGTTTTTATTACACTTTATTAACATTATTTAATGTTATTTAAAAAATCATTTGTTTAAACTTTTCATAATTTTATTTGAATTGTAGCCAATCAGAACTTTTTTAAAAGATTTCTTTTTATAATTTCAAAATCTTTTCATTCCTGAATCCTATCGAGTTATTGAGTAAAATAATTTGAGTAAAATAATTTTCGTATCCTCAAGATTATCAAGATCATCAAGATTCTGAATCAAGATTTCTCGAAGGGCTGATGTAACTGCGACCAAGTCGACGCCCATTGTAACGACTCTTAACATTTGTCGTCGTCGTATTGCGTAAAAGGTTGCGATCGACCGATTCAACCAGTGTGACAGTGAAAGTGTTTCTCCTTGAAGTTTCTAGCACAATCACTGACAACGACGATGACGACGATGGGGAGAATCCAGTCGTCGACGCGGATGGGTATCGAGATTACTGTCACCGATTACAATCGAATTAGCCCCATAATTCCGTCATCCGTTGCATTTATCGTCGTCATCGTCGCGCACGACGACGTTCTACATCGAGGAAGTGAAATTTCCAACTGTCATTAATGTATTGCAGATATACGGGTTGGTTTGAAAATAGGTCGCTAAACTCAGCAGGCAGTATTGTATTCTCGTTATATCGCACAACTCGTTTGAAATAAATAAATCATGATGTTGATATACGAGCATCGATTTATATTCGAGAATAAAGTATTTATTAGTTATAATTTTAATATCAATAAATAGATTTTTTTATAAAAATTTTGATTGCACATTTGACAGAAAAAAATAAAGAAAGAGTAATTTATCAAGATATGTTGATGTGTTAATGCTCACAGAGCATGTATAATAAGAAAAGATGTGCTCAAATATATGAATCGAGAGATAAAATCTCGATTTTGAAAATTGATAATTAGACGATCAGATATTATTAAGATAAACATCATATGAGTCGAAGAAATCCTGTATACGAAACGTTTTCGATCGTTATTATCGATAACGTTAATTAATTTCATTTGCGCGTTGTGTGCAACCCGATATTAAGAATTTTTTATCGCATCTGTTCTCTCACGTCAGCTCTTTTATCAGCTCCATCATTCAGGCTGCAATTAATGAGCAATATTATTGTGGCAAACATTAACACCGCTTAGGTCCGGTGAGCATGGCGCATTAGAAAGTAACGACACTTTTCGCGCGTGACGAGTTAACGAGATAATACACGCACACGTGAGCGAGCACGTTATTAAGGAAATGCAATCTCCGTTTCATCCGTTCGCTGATGAATGGCCTTTTACTCTCATATTTCGCATGCATCATCGTCATCCGATAAAAATCGAATGTGGCTCGTGAACAGAATCTGCAAATTTTTCGACAATTAGATTTGCGCATTTTTCTTTTAATTTAAACAATGACATAAATAAATAATCGTGCACTGCGTTTTCTATTATATTTATCATATGATAATTCAGTATTTTATTCAATTATAAATCGCGTCTTACTTAAAATAATGTTGTTATGTATTGCAGACTTCCCCGGCATGTGCTTCGCGTCGACCAAGTGTGCGACTATCGAGCCGACGAAGACTTGGGAGCTGTCGCCGTTCTGTGGCCGTTCTACCTGCGTACCTGCCGACGACAATTCCGGTCGTCTATTCGAGTTGGTGGAGGACTGCGGTCCACTGCCCAAGGCCAACCCCAAATGCAAGCTCTCTGAAAAGACCAACAAGACCGCGAGTTTCCCCGACTGTTGTCCGATCTTCGAGTGCGAGGAAGGCGTTAAGCTCGAATACCCGGAGATCCCGACCTTGCCACCGCCGACCGAAGCGGAAGCCGCAAACGTGCCGCCGGAGGCTACCCCGAAAGCTTAAGATGGTAGCGCCGAAAAAAGCTACCCCGGAGAGAAAGTTGCGGTGTAGCCTCCTCGATGAAATTAATCGGACCCGGATTCATCTTAATGTCGAAAAACACTGCCCGATCTGTCTTGATACGCGAAACGGCGAATCGTGCGTCGAATATATATTCAAGAATTTTATTTTCCGAGGCGACAGTCTTGATGGAAAGGTTCCTTTCACACTAGACAGTTAGCGCAATATCGAGATATATAACCGCGTGTATATATATAAAAACATGAGATGTATTGAAATGAAATTCCAAACTGTTTCGACAACCGGTGTGCGATGAAAAAGTTAGCTGTGTCAGCAGTATTTCTCGGAGAAAATATAATTGTCGCATAAATAGCGATCGATCAATGTCACTTTGCATTAAGTATAACCACAAAGATCTCTTCATATGTCAGCTACCTGTAACTAATTGCTCGATGATGAATTGTTCGACAAGATTGTGCAACATTTATGCCGATCGCGACGAGGCCATACCGTGATACCACTCACCGCTTAACGTGATCCGATTCCGTACACATGATTCAGATTAAGCTAATTATATACAAATTTCAGACCGCGCCTTTACAAACCATAAGCACGATAAAAAACTTCCAACGCACTCGTTTTTCGCAATTGCATTTCCGTAACTTTATTGTAAAGTCCCTAACTTATCAGAATATACACTCACTAATTATTTTCATATTCTATAACTACTCAGTCAATGCCTGAACACATGATTTAATAACAAAAATAATTTCGGGAAATGTAGATGTATATATATCTTAAAAAGATAAAATTTTTACATCCTGAAGATTATCAAAAAAAGAGAGAAAGCGAAAAAGAGAGAGAGAGAGAGAAAAAAAATAATAAATAAAAAGTATAAAATATATATCATAAAAAAGATAGATAACAGATACAGAATTTATTAAAGAAATTCGGCATAAGTTTAATTTTTCTACTAAATCCGTCAAAAGGATGCTACCTTTTTGTTATACTATTTCGATTTAATTGCAAAAGCGGTCGAAAAGTTTAGATACTTTCTTTTTGCCTTCTAATAATATTTAATCGGTAATCGATACCTCTCTAGTTAAGTCGACTTAAGCCTTTCTTGGCTATATGACAAAGTTTCATAGCAGAGTCTGGTATATGTATCGCAAATATGTGTGATTGTAATTATATGTGATTAAATTAATTTACTTATTTAATTCAATCCGCGTTGTATTTTTCTCCTCGTTCAATCTTGATCCTTCCTCCTCCTATTTTTCATCTCTGGATCTAGAATCAAAAATCAGATCATATAACTCAGCTAATAATCTGAAAAAAAATTTATATGTCTTAAAATTAAGTTTTTTAAAAATGCTTATAAATGCGTAAGCAATAATTAAATATTACATATAATTTATAATTACATAAATATGAAAATGTGTGTATAATTAAATAAAAAAGTGGAGAATATAAAATCACATCGCTTACAATGTGTTTCGAAATAAAAAAATATTTTATGAAATTATTCAATATTAAGAATCGAATAGAACTTTTTAGCAATAAAATTTTAAGAAAAAAGAGAAAAAAATTGACAAATTGAAAATACAATATTGTTTTTTGCTTAATTTTGATCAAAAGAAATTTAATTCAAGATTGCAAAAATTAATTATATTATAATAATTAAACGTGAGATTGAACCGGGCACAAACATTCTTACTTTAAAATAAATGCCTGATTTTTTTTAAATCCGCAGACAATATTTAATATTTGGAGAATGAGCATAAATAATTGATGCAACGCAATTTCGAGAAAACGTAAGTGATGACTAACCTTGTAAAAGTAGGCGAGAAGCAAACAAGATTTTTGGTCTCTACCCAAATAAATCATGAGACCTACTTTCTCCGAAATATCTCTACTGTCTCTTCTCATTTCGAGTTTCCGTTTTGCTGCAAAAGAATAGATAAAAAGAAACATAGAAATATATTTTAATATCGACATTATATAAATTATCACGACATTGAAATAATTGCAAATTTCTACAATAATTATTAATGATTTCGTAACTCATAATTTAACGAATGCAATAATAAATTAAATATGTTATCTTTTAAATCTATAAAGGCATCAATATATAGTTATTATTATTATTTTCTTAACAACTTTTTTCAATTGCAATCGCGAGTAGTATTAATTAGAATTGCAATTTCATTTTATATTACTATTCACATATATATATATATATATATATATATTTGTATATATGTATATATATTTTTATGTAAAAAGATATTCTACATAATATTTGCGATATTATGTAATCTGAATCATTAAGTAACTAATGAATTTATCTACATTATAAACCTATGCAATATTTTATGCCAAGGATAACGATTAGAATATAAATGTTATTCTGCTACAGCTCGCGAAATGTCAACATAAGTATATACAAGCAGATACAGACTTATATAAATTCGTGAGCAATAAATTTATCAGCAATAGATTTATATATAAATTATATATATATATATTTTTTTCTTTTTTTTATCTGCCTATAATCTATATAAATTGACATATCTGATATTAATCAATAGTAAAAAAATTTGCATATTTTGCATTACATTAAATATATATTGAAAACAAAAAAATATTTCAAGATTTAAAATGTATAAACAAGAATCATGATTAGCCCATATAATTATTAACATAAAAAGATTGTTTTGTAAATTAACAATTAAGTATTTGTCTATTATTAATATCAAAAGAGATTGACACAAAGACACGTGTAAAAAAAATCATATTAAAAAAAATATGAACATAAAAAAGTGTAATTCAACAATGAATTTTTCATTTTTATATATAATTATTCTTTTTAATAGTTAATGTAAATTAAGAAATATTCGCATCCAGTCGCTTTTAATGGAAAATAATGTAAAATGCCAACAGAAGATAGGTTAATTACTCCATCGCGCGGGAAACACAATGAGAGAATTAGAGAAAGCGTGCGCTGCCGACAAGCCGACGAAGTATTAGGAACACATATTTCGATAAGAGGTGACACGACCTACGTTAGGATTTGAATTACGCGCCCCCTAGAGAGGAACATTATAGGGGAAAGAAATAAATCACATCGAGCAAGTCGTCAACTTCTCAATATTAGGAAAACATGATTTGAAAGAAGTAATTTGCGAACTTTTAAAATGGCGCAAATTTTAAAGCTATTTTCCATGCAATTCTAAAACAATATAAATGTTAATAATCTGTACTATAAACCTGTCAATACGAATGAATTTTTAAGAATTTCAAATATTCTTTCGAGACCTCATAGGAAAAATTTATTTTTTACAAATAGTGTAATATAAATATATATTTATTTACTTATTAATCGAATTTTATCATAAAAAGAAGCATTTATGCCAAGACATAACCCAGTGAGAAACGCTGATCGAATTGATGTAGATTCGATCAACATTTCTCACTAGGAGAAACGTATCATTTATTATATTTGACTCAAATTAAAATAATATTACAATGATTATTTTTGCTATCTGGAACGTAAAAAGATACGATAACTCCCAAATTTTATTTTTCAATTAGCAATTGCTATTTAAACAGATAGATGATATAATTTTGAAATATTCATTATTCCACTTTTCCGGAAATAGTTGATATGTAACAAAAGAAGATTCTTCGCTTCTCACCTGAGTGTCGAAGAAAGCTCGCGCTACCAAATTCCGCTTTTCAGAAAAGTATTTGATCAAAACTAATTAATCAAAAATATAAAATTGATATGTAACTAAAAAAGATTCGTTGCTTCTTTTACTCGAGGAAGTCACGACGCCGACAAGATGACGCAGGAAAATATCTTCCACAAGGAATAAAAAAACAAATTGAGGTGCCAGTGCAAATTTCGAGATCTCCGATTGGCCGGCTCGTCTCTGTGCGCGCCGATGCTTTCGACCAATCACGCGTCGAATATTTGACAGCTCGCGACTGGCGCGCTGTCAAAGAACGGACCTTTAAAGCAATTCGAGTGATCGCGAATATATGTATCGACATACCTGCGAATCGACTCTGAAGAGCATGCATACGATACACGATACGCGTATTACACTCGGTCGATAAGGGAGGCGAGGAACAGGTGACGACATCGTTGTCATACTCGTGATTTCATAACACGCCATTTTCTTTGTGTAAAGTGTGCTGGAGCGCGGAGCGTTTGCATCGATATTTTCTACCGAGTTCCAGGTAACGCGCGACGTGATACCCGACATTCACGACGTCCACCCAAACGTCCACCCGCACTCTCGTGCGTCTCGCGGGTATATCCTGCGTCGTGCGATCGTCGCGTACAATCGAGTCTCGGATATATTTTGCTCGCGTGTGACAGGTTTCCGCGGAGCATCGCGCAGTTGAACGGATTCCGTTCCTCGCGACGTGATCTCGCTCGTCATCCCTAATCGTGCCTTGGATGCACCGTGACACACGGCGCGGATCCTGAAACGCGGGCCTCCAGAAGTGTCGTTTCGACGTTGACCGCCAAAAAATTCGCGCTTAAAAAGCTTCGGGAAGAAAGTCATTCGGTCCTCTTTTTTTTCTCCTTGCGAGTGCGTTGTACATGCACATACGTCATTGTTACTTGGAGATGTACTTTCCTATCGTCACGTTAGATGATTCATATGATCAATCATTTTTTTAAGATACCCAGCATTGGATTTTTGATGCAATAGTGGATACTCAGTTCATTGTTTTGATGTGCATGTATCAAGTAAATAATAGAAAAGATGTAAATATAGTATGTAATACATTGAAAGTTGACATTTTTGATATTTACAGTTCAAAAAGTATTTTATACAGTTTATTCTTTGTCATAAAATTATGTTAATAAAATTGAAAAGAAAGATATATATTTTATTGATTTATGAGATATTTGTAAGAATAATCAAAATGTAAAGTTTTCCTTTATCATAACACAAATACAAGAAATGACAACGATCTTAATTTGAAAGCAATTGTGATATTTAAATTGTAAATATATCAAATTAGATTTATTTCAATTTGAAGACTTTAAAATAAAAAGACAAAATTTCTATTAATGTAATAAAAAATTGGTGTGTATTATATTTTATTGACTGAAATTTATTATATTTTCAAATTTTTAATGTAATTAATTATTTCTCCTTTTTAAATAAAAGTTTGTAAAATTTATGTTAAAATAAATTTTTGTGATATATTATTTTTGATCATGAATCATCAACAATATGAGATTAAAGATATATTCTTCTGTAACTTGATTCTTATATCATGTATTTGAATTAATGACTCACAAAATTGTCTCTATTTTAAAATTATACAATTAATATAATTTCAGTTTCAAATATTTATTATTAAAAAATTAATTCTTAACATTATTTTAACATTATTTTAACATTATCTTCAGCAAAACATGGCATCCCGCAAGAAAGTGTTGTTAAAAGTTATTATCCTTGGAGATTCAGGAGTTGGAAAAACTTCTTTGATGAATCAATATGTCAATAAAAAGTTTAGTAATCAATATAAAGCAACAATAGGAGCAGATTTTTTGACTAAGGAAGTGATGGTGGAGGATAGAATAGTCACTATGCAGGTAATATACAATCAGTTTTAATTCTATTATTATATATCTCTAAGTATCTCTTCTATATCTCAAAGTATTTCTTTTACCTCAGATCTGGGATACCGCTGGACAAGAAAGATTTCAATCATTAGGAGTGGCTTTTTATAGAGGCGCTGATTGCTGTGTGCTTGTATTTGATGTATCTGCTCCAACTAGCTTTAAATCTCTAGATTCATGGAGAGATGAATTTTTAATTCAAGCTTCTCCTCGGGATCCAGATAATTTTCCGTTCGTTGTGCTTGGGAATAAAGTAGATCTTGAATCAAGAGCAGTGAGTAAAATTATTTATATGATAAATATATTGCCTGTAAAATAATTTAACCTTTTATAAATAATTTTAGATACACTTTAATGTATATAAATAATTTTATTCTACGAAACCCAATACTTTATTTCGATAATTTAAGCTTTAAAGTTATAATTTTTTCATTGATCCATTCATTTTATTTTGTATATTTTTATATATTTTTTTTATACTTTGTGTTATAGGTATCGAGCAAGAGAGCGCAACAGTGGTGTCAATCAAAGAATAATATTCCATATTTTGAAACTAGTGCAAAAGAGGCTATTAATGTCGAACAGGCTTTTCAAACGATAGCTAAAAATGCTTTAGCTCAAGAAAGCGAAGTAAGTATATTAAATAGACAGTGTAGAATATTTTTTCAACATATATATGTGAATCTAATCTCTACATTTTGTAAATCCTAGGTTGAACTTTATAATGAATTTCCGGATCAAATCAAATTGAGCAACGACCAAAGAAGCAATGGCAGAGGTGATTCATGTGCTTGCTAGGTCTTGGCACAACAGTAATATCACTTGGATGACTAATAAAGATGCACAGGTCAGATTCTACATTTACGTCACCTGCGCATAAAGGACACGGAGAATATATTGCGATGAGCTTTATGTGTGCAGGAAGTCACAAATATATTTCCTCATCTCAACGTATTATTATACAATCTTCTTCTATCCGCGAAATGTCTCAATATTCTCGAAATAGTTTTATTGAAACAATCATTCGTGCACGGTAAAGAGTAACGAATTAAATCCATACGTAACGGGATGTGTACAAACTATCGATATATACATGTATAAATTGTTTTTGTAAATGTATATGGGAATAAGATATATTTATCCGACTTCCTGACCTAAAAAATATCGCAATGTCTTAAATTATATACCTGCTGGATTTGTCGTATATGTAGATCTCTCTACGTTATCCTTTAAATCAAGGATTTGCATCTTGTTTTTAAGTATTGTAATGCTCTCTTATATGGCAAAACAATTGAACTATTCTTATCTTAATCTTGATGATTTATTGTTGAATTAATTTCACCATAACAATATCTCGAAGTTTCCAAACAATATATATATAGGAATCGTTATATATATATTATATATATATTGTACCAGAGAGGATAATATATAGGTCGGGAACACACACAATTAGTGGTATTGTTAATAAATTATAATAAAAGAATTTGCTCATAATTTGTTAAATACAATTGCATTTACAGAGGAGCTCTAGTATATAGCTTATTATTCTTAGAAGGAACTGAATATTTGCTGTCAGAATAAAAATGATTCGTATAAAATAGAGGAAAATAAGATTATAATAAAGTTATTAAGATACTTTATAATGTCTTGTATAAGCTATTTTAACGAGTTGGAATTCACACGGATGCATGGTGTATGAACTCCTCGATCTTTTCTTTCTATATAAAATTCTCAGTTATTGTATATTCAAATATAGAATCATAATAATTTCGTTGTTGCGTACATATTGATACTAAATTTATTACATTTTGTTCATATAAATAATTATTTTAAACCATTTTTAGGGATATTTATATATCGGCCATCCCAATTTAAAAAGAGAAGAAAATTCGTTACAAATGTGACTTAGAAAAATTTCTCGTCGCTGGATGTGTTGTCTATAATAATTTTTGCAAGAGATATTTTTTAAATTTTTCTGTAAAGATCCCAGATTCATCTTTTAAATGCGAGATTCCTCTTCTTGTACCGCGATGCACATCAATTTTTCAAATTTTTTACTGTACGCAAGACACACAATGAAATCCCAGTGCGCGGTGAATTAATCGTCAATTGTATGGTCTATCGAGCAACAATTTTATGCAGACTATATTTTGTAAATAAGACAAGATATAATCCATTTAGGACAATTTATCGTTATAAATATGAATCTTTATATCCTGATAGCCATATCAATAAGCGCTCTTGTAATACTTTAATTCTATCTATATAGTCCCTTGTTAGAACAATAATTATAATCCTAATGGCGTGTGATATTTATTTTCATGAAAGAAGTGAGCTTTCTCATAGTTCATGCGAGGAAAAATATCCAAATAATGCTGTATCTTAGATTTTTGTAGTAAAAAATAATTGTGCGTTCATTATGATGTGTTAGATGTTTTAAAATTCGATTTCAAAGAAAAAAAGAGAGAGAGATAGAGCAAGGTAAGCATACTTTTTATAGTAGAGCAATATAGCACGATAGTATTATGCATCGCGGTATCAGTAATTGTCATCCAAGTCGGGATTGTAATCTTTGATAATTTGCAATCTTTGAATTATAATTAGGAAGTTGCAAAATTTTTATTTCACAAATTACACATTAATATACAACTCTGTCATTCCAAGTTATGTTCAATTAATAATTACATAGCCATCGATGGACAGACTGAAATTATTTGATGATGTTTCGCGTCAAATTACTTACCGCGTGAATGTTTCCTGCGAAATCTTAGTTACTGATAATACCCGCCATTTTTGAGCCACCCTGTGTACATATATAACATTCTTATGAAATAAAACTTTTAATGCTTGAAATATATATGCACATGCAGGGTGTCCCATAAATCTCATATTTTCTAGATTATAGATACATTGTACGCTGCAAACTAAGAATTATAGTAACTCGATCAGCTATCAAAATAGCTTTTCATTGTTAAATGATTAACATCTAAAAGACTTGAATTAAAAGTTGTAGAAGTGTGAAAATAATTAAATAGTCTAAATTTTTTTGAGGCACAAGATGTTTGATATGAAAATATAATACAGAGGTACTAAAAAAGATGAAATTTCAATCAAAATTTCACTAAAAAAGAGGCGATTATTTGTCGAGGAATACTATAGTCGAAGATGCGTAACTTTCTGAGATATTCTGTATATGTATTATATATATATACACAAAACATTTGCACTATCGAGTGTTTTTAGGGGTCTATGCATATATATATGTATGCACATGTATATAAGTAAAGATAATCATGACCATGGCGATTATAATTAATAACATGTATAATTCTATCGAAATATGTTAATGATAAATATAATTATAAATAATATTATTGTTATTATTGCTGTTACTATTGCCAGTATTGTTGCCACTACTTTTAGATTGCTATTGTTTCCACTTATCATTCTTATACTGCAAATATGCTTCTACATGATATATTATTATAAGTGAACAATTAATACACATTTATAATAAAAAATCAAGTCTTTCAATATACAGTTATAATCCATAGTAATATTTATTACATTTTGATAAACATTACTTGAAAAGGAGGATATTAAAATCTGTTTTAAAAATGTTAAATATTGTCATTAATGATTAATGCTTTTAATTATTAAAATTTATATCATTTTTCTTTGAATTTGAACTTTAAATTTTGAAAATAAAGTATACTCACATTGACATTCTCGAATATTAAATTGATAATATTATTAACTTTGGTAAAACTCAAGTCTTCAGATGATTAAATCTGGTTTCCAGATTTTGCTTTATTTACTTCTCGAGAGGTAAAGTATTGTAAGTATAGTATCGGTTTTTTTTGAATGTTTACTATTCACAAGAGATAGTAAGAGGAATCTGTCATACCTTGCTCCAACACCTTAGAGGAGATAAAATAAAGGTAAAGTAAGAGTTTTGTTATTATATTAAAGCTATCAAATTTTTTATGTGATATTTCTGTTAATGAAATATATCGTTAATAAAATATACATATACATTTTTTTTCTCCTCTAATGATTTTTAATAAAAATTTTTAATTGATTCAGTATAATAAATTTTTTCTGATTTTTCTATTAATACATCTTACTTTAAAATGATTGAATTATAAAAGAAATTGTGTGTGTATTCCTTTTTTCAATTAAGAGAAATGATTACACTGAATTTGCGAGACTTACATTACATTTCGTCGCTTATAAATAATTGTGTTGAAGCAAAAAAATGTTCACGATTAAGAAAGGAAATTTTTTTACTGTTATCCTTATCTATTTATATATTGAGACAACTTATACTCGACAGTTCATCGCGTAATACAATGATGATTTTTTTGAGATTAGAAAAAAATATATTGATAAAGATATTGACTGATCAGACTTACACATCTATTTAACGCTATCTTTTATATATGCTGAAGAAAATATAGTGATCTCTTTATATTTTCCTCTTGAATTAAACAAATGTACAATAATCATATATTAATGGCAAAATCTTGTTTAACATAGCATCATTTTCTATCACAAGGGAGGATTTTCCATCTTCATTAATTGCATACATATATGCATGATTAAGCTTGCTAATCTTTCAATTTCTTTGCTTTTTATGAAATTGTACATATAGAATTAATGGTATCAACTTTGCAAAATTTATGCTTTCTAAAATATTGATTATATCAACTTTTAACTGTTTCTATACATTATCACAAAGATAACTTATGTGATTTTACACGAGATAAAATAAATAAGTAAATGCATAGATACATGCATATATGTATAATGCATATCCTATGTGATTCTAATATTACTTCGTCTAGTTTAAAGATCCTCTCTTGCATTCATAGAAAGAATTTGTCAGATAAAATTTTAATACTTTTGAATGTAGAGGATAGACACACAAATATAACATGTTGTTTCTAAAATTTATAATTCTATATTTATAAAAATTATATTTTATTTCTGAAAATTAAAAAAATTATATTATTGAATTATATTTTATATCATTAAATCTATATTTATCACTAAAATTATTTTATTAATAAAATTTTCAGCAAGAAAATATGTCAAGATCACTAATTACAGATGAAATAAAATACAGAATGAAGATTGATGCATATCGAATATACAACTTACATATTTGAGATATATCGGTTAATCGTCGAAAGAACTAATATTTTCGTCATTATGGGTAATGTCCAAGCGCTCATCAACAAACGCACCGAGTTCTTTGTAACCCCCGCTAATTTAGAAGATCCGCCATGTGTTCCCTGCTTCGAGAAGATAGACAGGAAACCCGGGAATCCCAGCAGCTTCGAGGATCTTCACGCGAAAACCAAGAAGCTCTATCCACAGAATTTCGAAGGCGCCTACTTGCTGCTAAAGAAGACCCTAAGTAAACACTTCAACGTGACATATAGGATGACCTTGAGTTCCGTAACGCCATATGGTCTCAAGTTCGGTGTGAATTACGTCGGCACCAAGAGGGTGGGATTCTCGGAGAAATATCCGGTCATCTCGGGCGAGATCACACCTAGTGGCAATATGAGCGCCAGTTTCGTGCACACGCTCGGCTGTAGATATAGATTCAAACTCGCGACGCAGATCGTCGACAAAAGGTACAAGGCTTTTAGTTCCGGCCTAGAGTACCGCTCGGATGACTGCACGATAGCGATGACCCTGGCGAATCCAGATCTCGTCAGGTTGCATGGCACGTTGGTTCTGCATTATCTACAGGCTATCACACCGCGGATCACCCTGGGCGCAGAAATCGCCTATCTTCGGGGCTCTTTGATACCGGGCGGTCAGCAGACGGTGATGTGCGCCGCGTTTCGGCATAGCACCGGCCCCACCACGTTATCCGCCACGTTAGGCGAGGCGGGCATTCATGTCTGTTATCACCGAAAGGCGAGCGAACAGTTGCAGCTTGGCGTAGAGATCGAGACCAACACGCGTATTCACGAGTCTATCGGCACGATAGTATATCGTGTCGACATCCCATACGCTGACTTCATCTGTCGAGGATTCGTGAATTCGGAGACCAGCCTGGGCGCCGTGTTCGAAAAGAAATTATATCCAATTCCCGAGGCCTCGTTGATCATAAGCGGCTTCTTAAATCACAAGAAGCAACAGTTTCGCGTCGGGATTGGTCTGAATGTCGGCTAACATCTGCGATGTTGTTCATAATTATAATCGGGATTACAATACTTTATACAAATTCTGAACACATCCTCACAGAAATATTGTCTTTTTACAAGTTTATTACTGATATTCGGATAGAGAAAAAACAAGCCGAAATAGAAAGTTCCTATTAATTTATGTGTTAATATCTCGTACTTAATCTGAAAAAAAAAATTAAATATTTTCAAGAGATTATTTGGATAAACATATTGTGAACTTTATATGTTAAAATGCGATTATCCCTTTTGATACGAATTTTATATGATAAAAGAATATTTTTATACATAATAATTACTAAATATTTATATTGTTAGATAGTTTGGAATGCAAGTTTTTTTGTCATTATACCAAACGCAAATATAATTAATTCGATTTCACTCATATATTAATATTGTACATACTAGAATTTTATAAACAATAACGCAAATTTTTATAAACGCTTTGATGACTTAATTAACATTGAGAAAATAAATCAATTGAAATCTAATCATCTCCGTTAGCTATTCGTTCGTCTAAATTATCTTGTCCCGAATGCAAAGCTGTAGATTTCAATTTATCGAAATTCGCTTCAAACTTTTCACTTAGAAGTCCATTTTCATCAGCATATTCTAAAATATCACAGATCAATGGTGATTCAACTCCTAGAACGTATTCACATGTTTTTGGTTCTAATAAGAATAATGATACACTAGATTGGCTTGCAGTATGGTTCTCCACACATTTCAATTTTACCTAAAATAGAAACAATGAACAAAACATAAAATTATATGATATTATAAGATATATTTTTAGTTTAACTTAGAAAACTAAAAATATCTTTTATGTTTACAACAATTATACATACTTCAGTTTGCCTAGAAGTTCCAGTTTTATCGCAGCTACTACCATCGCTATAAAAGTGTGAGAGATGTTTTCTTAACTCTAGCGGTTTAGGTTTCTTGCTCGGATTCGCAGCGATCCAATCTAAATGCTTTTGTTTGTTAAATCTACCGAGGTTTACAATCGTTTTCGTACCATCTCTTTCCATATGATATTGCATAACAGAACGGCCATAACAGAATTCATATTTCCACCAGCCATTACCCTATTAATATATTAATATTATTAAAAATATATTTAATAAAAACAAAAGAAATAATGATTATGAATACTTGCCCCATGCAAGCAATTCTTTCCATTGAGAAAACTCTGAACAGGACTAACTTCAGCAGGACTAACATTCTGATCAGTTATCGCATTGATAGATTCATCAGCATTGATTTGCTTATCCACAGTATCCATTGGATGTATTTCAACCCTTACTCTAGGTTCACTATCCTGTAATCAATTTGTTACAGTTTTCAATGATTCTATATGAAAAGAAAAGTTCTAGCTAATATTTATAAAGCTTTTAAATTTCTTTTATTTAATTAAAAAACAATTTTGTGTACACGCCTGCACACACATGCGCGCGCGCACACACACACACACACACAATTATCTAGTATATAATAAAAATCACTCCAAATATATACATGTGTGTGTGTGTGTGTGTGTGTGTGTGTACAAATATTTTATTTGATACTACTGTTACTATGTAACATAATAATGGTAAAGATATACATGTTATTATGCAAGATATGTAATGACAATGTAGAAATAAGAAATTATACTCTACATAACAATGCGATAACTTTCCAAATGACAACAAATATAAATTTAACTTGGTGAAGTAACAATGGATAAAATGTCAAAATATGTAGATAAAGAAGGGACAGAATGAAAATCATTTGCAAAAGTTAATGATACTACATGATCAACAAGCATTAATCGCCCTTTCAAATATATACAAAATATTCTGACCTGGCCCTCCTTATCTACATGGAAGATTGCATATACTTTCTGCTGCTTGTCATCCTGTGCAACAAATAATTAAACAGTAAATAAACAGCAAATAAACTAGAAAGAGAAAAAAAGAAATTTAGTATTTAAAATTAAAAAGAAATACTCTATTATATAGAATTCTATTATATTTCTTAAAGATTTGATTATTGAAGCCTTAATTAAAATAAGATGTATTAGTTATCTACAGATTAGATATAATAAAAGCAGTTATTTATTATTCTATTAAATTTATTCAAAAGATGATAGTCATTGAAATATTTTTTTAGTATTCAATACAAATCTGCTAATATCTAAGTATTTTTACAAAATATTTTTTGAGACTCTAAAATTAACAAAAATTGAACACATATAACAAAAAAAAATCAAATAATTTAAAGATGCAAAATAAGCAGAAATAAAAGAGTCACAAGTGTTAAATATTCATGCAAGTTTACCCTTTGTTGATGTCGCGTTTTTACGCTTTCATATTCCATTAACATAAGGGATTTTGGTTTCTTTGGTGTTTTATTACCAACAGGCTGACATGTGATTTCATTTTCACCAGTATCTGGCGGCTTATAATCTGGATGATTGCACAGTACTGGTGAAAGTACTATCGCTTCATATTCACAAGTCATTGTTTCCTTAAGTGAATACACATCATGTTTACCATGTTTATAACAGACATACAATACCCTGATGATTCTTGGCTTGTTATTCAAATCGCACATTGTACCATCGATCATTTCAATTTCAAGATATGGCATATTAATACCATCAATCTTTTTTGTTGGTATATTTAATTTCCTATTAGGATCATTTGCTTGCTCATTATAATAAGCTAAAAGTTTCAACTTTTGTGCTTTGTCCAAAGTGCCGAGATAATACTCTTGCATCTTAATTTTTTTCCCTTCTCTGTCTTCATGATATTGCCGTACATATCTACCATGGCATAATTCGTAAGTCCAATATGACTCGAGCTATTTAACAAAATTAGATTTAGACAGATAATTATACAATGTACAACACATGTTTAATAAAAATGGCACGATAGAAGGAAGAAAACGTAAGAAATTATATAAGAACATATACTACCCTATAGGAGCAACTGTTTTGAGCAAATATTGGTTGCAAAAGTTGCATCGGATTTGGTCCATTATATGATTCACTGTACTCGTGCTCCTGTTCCGTTGCATCTGGAATTATGCACTTATATCGTTCATTATTAGCCGTAGTTATAAAATATGGCTCTCCATTCGAATGTTTCTGTAAAAAAAAAATAAGGAAATACATGTAACACATATATATGTCAGACAAACATAAGTACGTTTGAATTATACTTACTAATAACTCTGTCTCGCTCTCTCCGGGCCAATTAATTTTAAATATAACTGTATCATCAAAGTGTCGAAAATCGTGTCCATAAACAACAGAGATTAAAACACACAGTACATTATAAATACTCCTATAATTGCCCCACATTTTTTTTCACTATTCTATCATGTTTCGTCTTCCTTCATGTGTCAATTACGTTTGATTGACAATTATATTTCGCGTAAATACAATGACAGGTAAACGGTACGAATAGAAGCGTGAAGTAAAAAAAAACAGCTGTTATATTCTCGATATTACCTTGGCAGATATTTAATATCGGGCATATGAGTGAACAGATTGGCTGTTAAACAGGGAATTTCTAATTTTACTTGGAGAATGCTGAAGTTTTCGAATACGCAGCCAATGGGTATATACGAGGTAGACCAATGATGGAGATTTTATATGTATAAAAAAATATATATAATTATACATATATATTCATTTTTATGTGGGTTCCTGCTATGATCAGCTGTGATCCAAGTAATGTCAAATAATGAATTTATATACTTAACGATTTAGTTTGGACTGAATTTTTGTCGCTAACTTTGTAGCTCGAGGAAACGTATATACGCTTCGATACGATATTTTTTTACCCGTATAATTTAGTCGAAGAACAGGTGAAATTGCGTCAAACGTTCCAGATATTATGAGAAGTGTATCGCTAATTTACTCGTTACTTGTATAATTTGGCAACTTCGTATACACAAGCAAGACGTGTCACACCGGTATTAATTATAATGGATCTGTTCTTTTCAGCTGCACTGCTGCACTAGTGCAATAAGTTAGAAAGAGACAAACATGCTTTCTTTCACTCTAACTAATTGCACTAGTACAGCAGTGCAGCTGAAAAGAACAGACCCATTAATTCGTCAGCCAATCGTCGAGCGTTACGTGTTATTATTATCCGAAAGAGCGAGAGATCGAGCGAGCATCGTTCGACTCAACCTTACCTAACCTCGAGAATACGGAAATTTTTTTTAGACGTGACAGAACTTGGCGCTTTCACCGCGAGATGTCACTGCGAAGCCAATTCAGAATCGAATGTCGAATCGTCACTCTTGTGGATTCTCGGTTTCTCGGTCATTAATTCGTGACGAGACGAGACTCGGCTTGACGCAAGGTATCCTGCAACGATCGGTTTTCACGTCTGTTAACTTTCACGGCTAGCACTTCAAAAGTGCATAGAAACATCGTGTTTTTTATCCCTCGACCCGAGTAAAACATGTCGGACACACGACGACGTCGAAAATCTAATCAATCGTGCGGCTCCGACGATCTCTCGGACTCTTACGAGGAGCTGAACGCGACAAAGGAGACCCAGGTAATTATTCGCCGAGAACTTCCTTCCTCCGGGAAAAATCTCATCCCACTGCGAAAAATCTCTTGAAGAAGAGCACGCATTTCTCGCGTATCGAACAGCGTTTTTCACGTGATTCGAATTTTATCATTCCATGGGAAACGAGAGAAACGAGAGCTTATCGCGCGAATCCCTAATCGAGAGCAAATCCCGAAATTAAGCCTCCCATGAGTTGCGATCGGCAATATTGTAAATTTTACTATCGGAATGTTTGTTGTATCAGTGATACTTTTACAAAAGCTCGTTCCTTCGCTGATTTATCGACCGATGATTTTAAGAATGTCCTTTTCTATCGGCATTTTATGTCGCGGTCTTGTAACGTATTAGTTGATACGTGTTAAATTTTTAAATGTACTTGGAAGTCTTGAAAATTTTTGTTTATCAACTCTTTATCAATGTATCAATGTATTATTAGCAAAACAAGTATTCCTTGCTTCTTGCTAAATGTGTTTAATCGAGTGTTATCTTTGCCTTGTTAGCATACATTATACTTCTTGACTATATTTTGCATATAATAATTTATATTAATCATCATGTATTAAAAGTACAATTAAAAGGAATAATAATTGTTTTCATTATTGTTGTATAAGAAACTTTCTAAATATAATTAGAAAGTTATAATGAATTCTAAATATAATTAGAAAATTGTATGCAAATTTGAGATTTCTTCTGAGAACAAGCTCTTTGATACTATAAAGTTTGTTTTTTTAGCATTAGTCTTCCACAACCAAATTTCTGTTTTAATAATATTTACTTTTAAACTTAGTTACTAGAATGTTTATCTTTGCATACTAAAATCAGGGTAAAAGAATCTTGTAGTTAAATTTTTAATTTGCCAAAAAATTATTGTTGCCCAGATAGATTGTGTAGGCTAGTTACAAAAATATAAATATTTTTTAATATTTTAATACACATAAATTTTTGTAAAACAACATAAATGGTAGCAGATGATATTTTATCACGTTTATATTTAATTAACTGTTCACTAAGTCTAAAAGAATGCTCTTTCTTCTTTCTGCTTTCTTTTGGATCACGATACTGAGTAAATAAAAGACTAAAAATAAATATACTCTATTAGTAAGATTGATCAACATATTGACAAAAATATTTATTATATAAAAGCATATACACAAACAAGAAAATATATTAAATTTGTGATATTTATGATTAATAATAAATGGTAAAAGTTTAATATTAAATATGATAAAAGTTAATTCAATGCAATTTATAAATTATCTTTGTAAAATTATTATTAAGATTTTTATGAAACTCCTATTTTTGAAATTTTTTGATGTTGAATATTTTAATTGAAATTAATTTAATTTTTACAAAACTTTTGTAACAATTAATTTGAACTATTATTTTATATTTGAATACTGTTATTGACTAATGTACTGATTATTATTACATTGACTTTTCTACAGAGTAGTGAACAGACTGATGGACATCAAGATTCAGAATGTGATATTTATGAAAGTGATTCGGATGCTGAATCGCAGGAAGGTGGTGAACAACGTGAAAGCGGGGATGGTCAAGAAGAAGAGAAACCGCAAAAGAAATTGGACGACGATGAGGACAGACGTAATCCACAATATATTCCAAAACGTGGAACGTTTTACGAGCACGATGATCGTACAACTGATGAAGTAACCGATAATAATGCGGAAACACAAACGAACACAAAAGAAGTTAAGGAGAAGAAAGTATGGAAAGATAAGGAAGATAGGTGGGACCATGATCGATATAATGATGAAGAACAAGCTCCAAAAAGACCCGAAGAATTGATAGCAACATATGGTTATGATATTAGAAATGAAGAAGGGCCACCTAGAGCTAGAAGGAGAAGAAGATATGGGTGAGTTTATTAGTATTGTTATATTAGTATTGTTATGTTCCTGAACTCAGTGTGTCAGATCAAGGTATTAAATCGAACTTAATCTCTAACCTGTCAAAAGTTGTTTAAAAGTGAACTGTCAAACCGTTCGGATGATAGTTCCGACTATTCGTGCATTTTAATTATGTGTCTTTTAATTGTTATAATGTGTTGTGTTGTGTATTATTAAAGTTCTTGTTATTTTTTAGTAAAGTGTTTTTACTTTGCAAGTGCCAAATAGTTGCGTCATGTGCTTCAATATAAATATTGATTATGATCCGCTATAATATATATTATATCTTTCTACATATATTAATAGTAATTATGTTATTATAAATTACTGACTATATATATTTTTAGTCGTGGGCCTAATAAATATACAAGGAATTGGGAAGATGAAGATGCTTATGGAAAAACTACTACTCCTGGTAGAGGAAACAACAGACGCTTCCATAAAAATAGTGAAGATTTTCCTGCTCTTGGTAATAATAAAGTAAGTATAAAGAAATACATATGATGTTACTTATTATAAAATTCATTCATTATACTGTAAGTCTACTAAATATTATCTTTCTTTTTTTTAAATTAATACAGAATGCCTCGAGTAAAGTAGAGGAGCCTGTAATATCATCAGCTTGGTATAGTAGCAAGAACAAAACACAGAATAAAACGCAAAATTTTCCACCACTTCAATCTCAGCAGGATAACACAAAGACTAAGTCTACTACTGTTTCTAATACATCCATGTATGTATATGTGTGTGTGTGTGTGTATGTATGTGTATATGTGGTTTTTCTATATTATATTTACAAAGCAAATATTTTATCAATGAAATTTTGTATTAAAAATTGCTACAGAAATGAAAATAAGACACCAGATGAAACTACCAATTCATCATGGAAAAAAGATGGCAAGCATACAGTTCAAAATCAAAATACAAATGGAAATGCAGGATCTGGTGGTGATGCAGAAAAATTAACTAATACCAAAACATCACCAAGGGAGAATAGCAAGAGGAATCCTCAAGAGTCTGTAAGCTTGACCGCGAGTAGGACGCGTGGAAGAGGTTTCAAGCCCAATGCTAATAACAACATGGTCACTAACAGAATAGTTGAGAATAAATCAAAGGGACGTGGCCCTGGTTCGGTTACAATCGAGAATAGACGGAATAATACCGCACAGCATAACGATGAGCATCAGCTTGCTCATGATATGAAACAAGTCAATATTAATGATGGTCAATATCACCAGCCTGTACGACATAACAGTAAGTTTAACGTTTTTAAAAGAGGATTAAGAAATGTAAAAAGCATATTTGTTGAGTAGTTTTTATGATTAGCAGAATAATGTACAAATATTTTAAGCTAAAAAAACCTAACTTTATAAAATTAATAATTTTTTATTAATTAATTAAAAATATGTGGTGTGCTACTAATATTTTTTTAATTATATATATTCCTAATTATATATATTATTTGGTATGTTTCTTTTAATATCTTATTCTAAAAATATTTAACAATTAAAGTGTATAAAAAAATTGCTTTTTTCTACCCAAAAATATATTAATATTTTTAGCTAAATTTTCAATTAAAAATTATAGTGTTATCTTTAGGTTAATCTTTTATCTTTATCTCTTCTAATTTGTGTAGAAGGCTTTTTTGCATCCTCCAATCAACATAGATCAAATACAGTACCACCTAGAATGCAACAACAACAATCGTCGCATCAACAACAAACGCATGCGCAACAACAAATACAACAGCAGCAAGATAGTTCCGGAAGCAGACCTAAACGATATTCCAGTCTTCGTCAACGACCTACTATTTCAGAAACTTCCACACAACAGAATTATCCATCTCAACATGCTCAACATGGATATTTTCCACCTCAAGGTAATAATAAATACTGATATATCTTAACAATACATACTAATATATCTTTTTAATTTACACGTAGATTTATTAAATCCATTCTTATTTTACATATATTATATATATTATATATATATTATATATATTTTTTCTTTTTCTTATTTTATATATATTTAATACAAGCATATATTTAATTAATAAACATATTATGAACATACCTCTTTTGCATACCTAGCTGGAAATTCAAGAGCTGTTTTAGAATCTCAAGGTAAGAGAAAAAAGTACATGTACAAAAATTATTCTATTATTTCCAAATAAATATTTTCATCTCTAAAACTTTTGATATTAATTTTTTTTAAATATAAATTATAAAATCAACTTAAAAACTTCAATATATGAGAAAAGGATACATAAATGGAAATTATAATTAACTCATATTTACAATTTTTTAATATTGGTAATAGCATATACACAAAATTTTCAGATAATTTTTTGATATATAGAATTCTCATTACGAATTGTTTGATTAATTAAAGATATCATTTTATTCATTGTATAAAATGTTTCATCTAATTCAGCTAATTTGTCTTTTCAATGTTTTCAGGTTACGCGCAAGGTCATTTTGAACAATCTTCTCCAGTTACTCCAGCCACAGCACCCATGGCAGGGCAACCTGTTATTTCTTTACCTCCTGGTGGACAACCTGCTAGTTACGCGCCGCCGGCATTTTTAGTGCCACCACCACAATTCATACCTCCTCAAACGGCGCCTCCTAGTATAATTAATTACGTTCCTGGTCCAAACGGACCGACATTTTCACCAAACTTTCAAGGTTATCAGGGATATAATCCTTCAGTGCAAGTGAGAACAATACATTTATTTAAACATAAGAAGAAATAAACAATTTGCAAAAAAAAGAGAACATAATGCACTTTGTATGCTTATAGCCTCAAGGACCACCGCCACCACAAGAATTGTTCCAACCACAAGGGTGTACTTATTACAGTCCTGCGCAGCAACAACAACAAGCGGCTCCTATGCGGCGACCGAAAGCGGCAATACCCATTCTTCCGCCGCCTGATAATCAACAAAGTGGCAGAGGAAGAGGTAGAAGCACTCAGCAGTATCAGAATAATCAATCAAATAATACACAACAGATCGAACAACAAGAAGTCAAGAGTGGTAATGCAGTGGAAAGTGATGACAAACCAATGCCAGGACAATTCGACAGTGCACAAATCGAGCAGTCATATACACCGGATCAAGAGTCCCAAAAGAATCAAGTTTCGGACATGGTCAGAACAGTGAATGATGCGGACGAAAAGATAGAAATAAATACCAACGTCGATAATCGTATTACTGTTGACGCACTTGTTCAAAAGGATAATTTAGAAGATAGCGTCAGTGTTAAAGAACTGTTGGAAACAACTTCTAATGAAAATAATACGATTGTAGACAGTCCAACGACATTGACTGTCATCGAGACTGAACGCGAATTAGGTAATATTGAATCTACGATTCCTGAGAGTACTATTGTGGAAAAAGCTGCAGCCTAAAAAGAGGTAATAATTATTATTTGCGCTTTGCACACAGCGATCGTGTTCCTTCGACTTGTCGCAAGTTGGATAGGTTGATGTCGTTCTGCAAACTATTCACAATGCGATTAGGGAACATTGCTTCTTATTAACTTATGGAAACAATAATCCGTATTTGTATTAATAATATCCAAATAGCTGCCTCATAATGCTGACGTTATTGCTTGGTACATAAAATAATAATGATTTTTTCATATGCAAAGTCTATCTATATGCCTGGCCATTATTTAGCGAAAGACATTATCATGTAATATACTCGGCAGCTGCGTGGGCCATGTGACTGTGACATGATATATATATATACATATATATATATATATATATATATATATATAAAATTGATATAATTCTATATATATACATATATATATATACTTTTTCAATGTTATGACTACCTACAGTGCAAAAATGTTTGTAGTTATAATATTAATGAAATATATTTCATTGAACAACATGTAAATTGTGCATCTCTTTGTACATGTGAAAAATAATATTTTGTATGCAATCAGGAGATAATACCAATATTTAATTTAACAGATATATCTGTTCTTTTCACCTCTGTTTTCTTTACATGTTTCTGCATTATTTTTTCCTCCTGTTTTTTTTTCTTTTTTTGAAGAATGAAAAGCTGAAGGAATATTTATTTTAAATGTGCAAAGAAAACAGTGTGTGTTGAAAAGAGTAGATGTACTTATTTTTTTTCTTCATATTATAACGATTCTTTCTATGTAATATTTTATTTACATACATTTTGAGTTTTACAAATTGGTTGTTGTCACAAATAATATACAAATTTTCTTTTTTATGATATTTAAGTTAAGAATCTAATGTCTGAAAATATTAAATATAATAGAGAGCTTAAGTTTAATCAATGAAATAAAATGATGAAGAAATAAATAATTAAACTTTTACATATTTTAAAAGCAGTGAAAGTGCACTAAAAAAGATGATATAATTGATTTATTTTCTTTTTAATTTACAATTATACTTAGGAAAAAGTTGTACAAAATCTTAAGAAACAAAATTCTATAAATAACTTCTATAAATATAAAATTTTCAATAAGAAATTTATATATAATAAAAAATGGCACTTTTTTTGCGCAGTAAACTGTAAATGAAGATGAATTTAGAAATTCACTCTATATTGTACAGTTTATAAAATAAAATTATTAAAATACTATATATATGAAAAACTTTATAATAACTTTAAAATAGAATTACATACACTTTATTAAACTTTGTAGATATATTCTGATATATCCAAATGTATCATAGAAAATAAATATTACATGTAACACACAAAATGGAACATTGAATGCTTTAAACTATATTGAATGGATAGAATATAACACTTTATACTTACATTATAATATAGTTTGTTTGTTTAAATTTTATTATACATTCAAATCTGCATTTTCCAGTTGTGACGCATATTGTCGTTTACATTTATATCTACAGTATAATAAAGTAGAATGTTTAAAGCAGTGAATTCAACGATACTGCAGATTCATGTAATTGCCTATTTACATATCAATTTAATATATGTAATTTTAATTCAGCAAAATTATATAAAGAAAGCCATTTTTGAACGAGAGATGTACTTAACTATATAACAATACATAGGAACAATTTGATTTCATTTAAGAATACTAGGCTATTAATTTTAGGGAACCATACTTTATCGTTGTACAAAGTATCCCAAAATCACCAAATGTTCTTTTAATTATAGTGTTATTTTTTTGACAGATTTAGAGATTCTTTTTTTAAAATAAATGAGACAAAAAGAATCGCTAAGTATATTTTTTTCTAATTTTTAATATTAAAAATGTTCATTTTTTTCTCCATTGAAATTTATATCGATTTTAAATCATCCAAGATTTATATTGAAAAGGATATGGTGTATTCTGGGATACGAAATGCAGAAACAGAAATGAGATTTATTCCTGTTTCTCACTCTGCGGTATATTGATTATAACATTAAGAGGTATTACCTCGGTATTTTGTTGAACATTATTATTATTGGACATCGTATGTACTGATCTTGTGTATGTTCGAGATCTCTGTTTAAAAGGATCCGAGTTGCCCCTGACGTATCTACGTTTATGGACGAAGGTTCTATTGTTGTGGGAACATCGAAAGTTACGTTTGAACTCCTTGCGAAATTTTCCTGCAACAAACGTATACACACATTGTGTAATCTTTATATATCCGTTAATATAACGTTATACGAGTATTTATTGCTATACGTGACATAAAGTGCAATAAAAGACTCGAAATATAATAATTATATGAAGCGTGTATATTCAAAAGCAAGACTAGAATAAGTCTGTAATTTTTCACTTTAAATATTGATTTATATTTAATGCCAAATAAGTATCCTGAGTTTTTTCTAACATAGAAAGCTACACAAGTAATAAAAAAAATAAAATTATAAGATAAAACATGTAAAAAAGGAAAACGAGGAAGAGTTAGAGATTCTCACAGATAATTATAGATTTTTTCAGACTTGTATATATTGTTTAAGATTCCGATGTTTTGTTAAAGATATAATTTAATTGATTCCATCAGAAAAATGAAAATGGATAGAAAAAGGGATAGAAAAATTCAAAGAGCTTTTAAAGCTATTTCCTAACTTCGAAGACTATACTATTTGACTTTGCATTGTTTGCGAAATATTTTGTCGAACGTTCGAAGTATTTTATGCAATTTATATTCTAATAAAATTGAGAAGTATTGGGAAATAAGCAAATTTTGAGTTTTCGATATTATTAAGCAATTTGAATTTCGCTCCTACGTTAAATGGCTTACTGTGATTGGTTCGCTCTCGAAACTGGCTGTGATTGGTCCATCGTTCAGATACTTCGAGAATCGCTCTCGAAGATTTCAAATCACACAACTACGGAAGCTAAGCATCGTTAAAGTGTTGCAAATTCGCGTTCGAATCGTCCCATATTTTTTCGCAATCGTTGCTATTTAAAGTGAATTTCGCAGACGAGGAAATCGGAACTGCCTTATAAAGTATAATAAAGATAAGTGAAGACTTAAATGTAGTGTACAGCCGCTATTATATGTTAATATCGTATTATATCTGAATATCGGCCATTCGCGTCTTTGTGGGAGAATCAACCGAGATAATTCTAATTAAAGTGCAGTCGACTGATGATCGTCAGGTATACCGTTTAATATAGTTTTATTTATTGCATTTCTTCTGAAATAATGTATATCTGTTCATATCATTTTCTTTGCATTTTTCTCCAAAGGCTAGGTATGCATAGTCGTTTATTGTGCGACGAGATCAGTAATTTTCCCCTAGCGGTAAAAAAATGAGTTTCGCCATTTTCGTTTCTAGGGGAAATTTTACGTGACGCAGGAAATGCAACTAAAGATGACTATCGATTGTTCCTATGCTATCGATACAAGCGATATTGCGATTCTCGAAATTTCGTATCGTCGAGTTGTGGAAGGCATCGTCAACGAATCCGTATTTTTCGCTTCGATTCTTATTGTCTAAAAAGCTGATTTCGCGCGCGAGAAATTATCGTAAGTGTCTTACAAAGTATTTGTTAAAGTTCACATCATGTATAACCGCTGTATACGATATTATATTTACTATCGGCGTTTGTATCCGAGTGATTGAAATCATTCTCGTATTTTTGTTTAAAAGTGCGATTGATGATGACCGATCATCATCAAGTATGCTGTCCTATAATTAGTTCTATTATTTATGAAATTTATTTGCAATATATATAATTTATATTTTTATTAATTATTTTTAATATTAAATAGCAGCTCTGTTCGTTTCAGTTGCATTTCCTGTATTTATCATTTTGTTCTTTCTAAAGATTAGATATCAATAATTTTATAAGTGCATGTTCTTTCTAAAGATTAGGTATCAATAATTTTATAAGTGCAAAGAAATGTAACTAAAAAATAAAGCTGGTAATTGCAAACATTTTGATATTATAGATAAATATCAAAATGTTTGCAATTACCAGCGATATCGCAATTTTCAAATAGATTTCGAATCATAGAATTGTATTTATATCAATTGTATTTTGTATTCTCGATTGTTTTTATTCTTTAAAAGCAGATTGTCTCTTGCGCTCGCAAAGAATTCGTGAACATTTCTCGTAAAATATTAGATGTTATCTCGAAACGTAATGAATATCATATTGTTACAAGATATTGTAATTTCAGCGACGATTTCCCTTTTGTCTGCCCGGAATCAAGAGGAAACAATCTTCTTCGCATAGTCTACCAACAGTCGTTATTTTCTTATCCAAGTGCAGCGAAAATGAAATTGCTGATCATCGCAGGTATTCGCATATCAGATGTTTGTCAGGTATTTACATGCCAGATATATCAATATTCTATAATTAAATTCGCCAATAAATAATATAAAATGCAACTGTAGATAATGTCACCATTACATCAATGTAACTTAAAGTATTTTTATGTAGGTTTCAGATGGAATATATACATAACAATATACTAACCGAATCGTCATCGACAAAATTTAAAAATATTTAATATTATATTGATATGACAGTGACATTACATGCAGTGTGCATGCTTAAACTTTGTATTCTTATGTATTCCCAGCAAAAAACAACGGTAAATAACAATTATATAATTATTAGTTATAATTTCTCACTCAATAATATAATTATTACAAGTACAAGTATTGTGAAATAGTTATATTGTTGAGTAGGAAATTATAACTAATAATTATATAACTGTTATTTGGTATTTGCTGGGTTCATATTTAAGAATGATATACTATGAAGTAATAATTTCATGATTATTCTAATTAATACGATGCATTTGTATCTTGTATAACTAAGTCTGGACAATTTTTACTATCTCACATGTCAAGATTCTTTAATTTGTGCTTATTAACTTAAATAAGTTTTTTAATAGAATCTTCAATAATATAATACTTCATTCGTATCTAACGCAATAGATGAGGGGGGGACAGTAACTATAGCTCACCCTAAAGCACACGATCGATTTAAAGAGTATCGATATGCTAGTCCGTTCTCATTCCGATGTCGAATGCGGTCTCGGCCTCGACACTCGTTTGTACAGGTGCGTCAAGATGTATTTTCGTCGATTTCGTTATTTGTTTTGCCGTGTGTCAAAATGGTCGGTCTCGCAAGCTCGTATGGCATCTCCTCGTGTATTCATCGTTGCACGACAGCAGATGCCGATGGGCGGCCGGCAACGTAATCATCCGTTTGCTCGACGAGCCGCACTTTCGAAAACTACAACGGAACTCTTGCCGGAACTTACCTGCAAAGTAGAGCACCGAATAATTCCGCATGGCTCGATTTGGCGAGCTCATTAGTGGTCGGATATATGCATATATGCATATGTGACCTTATTTAATCTCGGGTTCCGTCTTAATCTTCGTAAAACGCCGTCTGAGATCCATTAAATCTATATCCGCTTTCGCTCGTATAATATGCTCTCTTCGTTTCTGTTATTCCTTAATCTCTAATGTAATTCCCAAATTTGTAATAAAACTTAACGACATTATATGTACGTATGTATGTATAAGATGAAATATACTGTGAAATCTCAAGTATTTGTTGTTTTAATCAAGCATATTCTCGCGGAAATATATACAGACTTAATGGATCCGCCCGCGTAGTCTATAAATTGAGAGTTAAAACTTATAATCTTTGTAGATATTAGCCGAAACAACGTGGATTAAATTTATATAAATCGCTAATCTTCGAAATTGGAAGTAGTTTATCAGACTTAATAATTTTCAGAATTACAATTCTTTTCTATTATTTATGAATAAATATCTGATTATTTATAATATATTAAAAAAATAAGAATTTGATGAAGGAATTCATGGAAATATTCATGTCTTTTTCCATCCCTCTTCTCGTGTTTTCTCAGTAAAAAAATGATAGACAAAAGATTAGTTCAATTATGATTAATAAAATCTTATTAATTAAATTGTATAGTTTGCTAGAAAACTTACTTATTTCGTTCATATATAATCGTGACATATATAATCGCGCGAGTTTGTCTAGAGAAGCATCGCGATCTTTTTACGAAACGGGGAAAATAATTGAGATTTTTGACAACCTCTGCCGCCAGAGCTAATTTCGTGAAAAATAGACCTGTATTACACGAAAATACAGCAGCCGACACAACGGTTCGTGCGAGCATTGCCTACGTCTGACGCGTCATGCATTTTAATATAAGTCACTCCATACGTTCGGTAATCTTGTGTAATATACCGAGAAATATTACCATATATTTATGTACTCCATATAGGATATATCTCGGAATAAATTTGCCGAAAATGGAGTCAATTTTCTTTATCGATGTTTGAGATTAATTTCAAATCATGCATTAAAAATGTCGTATTTGCCAGATCTTACCGCTCATAAAGTTGTAAATGACAGGATTTACCGCACTGTTAAAATAGCATAGCCAATGAGCGATTAGACTAAGCGCGATCGTCCATTGATTTGACGGTAATGCCATAGTACATCTAAAACAATATAAATTATAATATGTCACATATGATATAAATAAATTATTATATGAAGAATAAGTCGATCAAAGAATGTTTATTCTCGTTAAACATTGTCGTATATATTGTTAAAAAATTTGTTAATTTTTAAATTAACAAATATGTTTAAATTTTCATTTAATTTTGCTATTTCTGATTTTTTCTATCTCTTATAAAAATAAAAATAATTTATCTTATCTTTGTTCTTCATCTTTTCTTACATAGAAAGTGTTAGACTTAGCAAGTTATCTTTTATATACGGTTTAATGACAATTTATTAATTAATATAAAAATTGATATTTTCTTAGTAAAAAGTAGCTGAGAGATTACATTTAAATTATAAACGAAATACTGAAAAGTTATTTTAATTTTTGTGAATTTACCTTATTTTTTTAATAAACTTTATTTTAATATATCTGTGCATATTAAAAATTATATAAAGATATGTAATATTGAAGATTGAAAAAATTTGAATATATATAATAAATGATAAAATTTTTCTAAAAAAAAAAACACTTTAAACTGAAAAACATTTATGAATAAAAAATAGTCATATCTGGGAGACTCTGTATATAAATTATCAATGATAAAAGTACAAAGAGAATAACGAATGCAGTACGAATAAAAAAGGAATTTACATCATATTGAAAAAAATTTATTAGTCTGAAGCAATTGCATGTTTTTGAGGAATTGGAAATATTATAAATTCTTGGTTGTCACTATACATACATTTCGTGTTTTTGGTTTCTTTTTAAATGTACTATTTTTATTTACAAGATTATCTACAATGTAGAATTTGAAATAAAACATTTTTAAAATTGTACAAGATAGATGATTGTGATTATCTTCTGATTTCTATTTAATAAAAAAATTTCTATTTAATAATATATATTTTCTTTATCTCATTCTTACTTTGATATTATTTTATCAAATTTAATAATATTGATAACGTATATAGCGCTTAAAACTTATTGTTGTATTATATGTTAAAATAATTTTGACATATAATGAAAATTCTGATTTATTGATTGACATGAATTTTAATATTGAATAGCGACAACATTTTAATAAACATTTCAATATAACATCTACATAAGATATGCATTAATGAAATTCAATACAATGTGTTAATCACATGTTAATCATTATTATAATAAACGAAAATACGCAAAATCGCGAAATATACCTTAAAATGGAGAGCAAATGCACTGGGAAGAAACATATTGAAAATGTAATAACTACGGCAACTAACATCTTTGCCGCCTTCCGTCGAGATCTCAATTGTCCCTCTGGATTTCCACTCCTCGATAGTGGAATTTCAGTGGAATGACAGATTCTAGTAGATACTAATGTAAAATTTAATAAAAATTGATGATCAGTTAATTAATCATTATATATTTTAAATAATTTGGAATAAAATATATTTGAAAAATTATTTCTTCTCTGAACTCTATTTCTAGTCTCAATAAAAAATATCTATTCGAATTATATCTATCTAAAATTTTGGCAAAGTTTAATAAAAATTTTAACAGATTAGAAACAGAATATATTGACAGAATGTATTGTATCATCTTTAATTTTAATATTAAAATTTATAAACTTTGTTTATTTTTAAAATAATGTCTTTATATTGTTTTACTATCGGAATTCAAACAAATTATTGGTGAGTAACATATTATTGAATTCTTTAAAAAAAGCAAAATAAGAGTTTATGTTACAACTCTCTCTTTTTAAATTGAATGTTATATGAATGTTTATATATATTTGAGCAGCTCTTATCGTAAATATTTATTATTGCATTATTTCTTCGAAAAGACAAATTTTTTTGTACAGAAGTTTTCTTGAATTGTCAAAAAATATTTTATATTCTAATGGTTATACAATGTTTTACAGAAATGTTTTCACAATTAAAACAAATTTTATTTATTAATATTTTATATTCTCACCACACAAACATTTTTTGAAACGTATAATATATCATTGAATGGGATTAAAAAAATAAAAAAAAACTACTTTAATATAAGCGAAATAAATCATTTCTTTATTTTTATGACAAGAGTTTTTAATATAATAAAAATATGAAATATGATTATTTCTTTTTTAAAGAAATAATTTGCAATAAATTTAGAAAAATGTATTATATTATCTACAAGTGATTAGGCAATTGATAATAGGAATAATTATAAGAACTTTTTACTTACAATTATGTCCTGGAATATCGCTTTTCCAAAGTACACGTACAATCTGCCAATATGCTATGCTCATAAAAAGTAATGGCACGGTGTACAGAAATATCAGTTTGACAATCGTAAAGGTAGTTTGACTTTCTTGACTCCACGACCAAACACACTGCGTGAATAATATAGTCTGCACCCGGCTGTTTGACGGTACAATGTGCAACACCAGTAATTCTGGAATATCTGATCGAAAAACACGTGACATTGATAAAATGGTATTTTCACTTCATTTGTAAATAGAAATATTGTTAGAAAAAAATTAATGCGAATGAGTAGCCTAGAAAGTTTAGATAGCCTAGAATTGACATGAAGTAAACACATTATTTCCTATAATAATTTGCAATTAATTTTTTTCTCACGAAAATATATTTGATCAATAACGAATTTTGAGTCATTTGGATATAAAAAGTTTGGCGAAATTCTAGTTTACAGGCAACATAACCCATTTTTCATATCTGCCATTTGCCAATCTAAGATATTCTGCATGTAGGCAGACTAATTATCAATTGCTTAGAGTAAATAATTATTAATAATTATTAATTATTTGAAATGACATTATTTAATGTACCTTATCAAAACTAACAAAATACAATATGGCTTTTAACATATTCTAATACATGTATTCATCAATAAGTAATTAAAATAATTTCTTGTATCCAATAGAAATACTTGTTTATAAGTAATTACCAAAAAGCAGCGCTATCAGCCAAATTATTATGATAGCAGTTTTCGCTCGGCCTGTCGTAGATTTGAATCTCAATGGGAAGCATATGGCATACCATCGGTCGATCGATATGAAAGTCAACGTCAGAATGCTGACAGTCACGGATACTGTCTGGAACATAAATATCGAGTTAAATTTATTATTGTTATTACCAATTCTATAATATTTATATAAATCTACATATTTATTTCAACATAAAACCATATTTAAAACAAAAATCAATTGCAACGAAGATATTATTAACAACCAAGATAAAAAAAGATATAAAAGAATACTATTTTTAATTATTACATTATTAAAACTAAATAATCGATATTTAGCCGCGTTTTTCATTCTTTATCAAAATGTTTCAGCATTTTCTCGCTATTTCCTAACTTGTCGCCAATTCCCACGCGATGCATTTAAGATCTCTCTAGGATAATTTATTCATTTTTGTTTATTACATAAATAAATTTAAATGATGTTAAGGATATTTTCTTATATTCCATTCAAGTCTAATTTAACATATTAAATGCTCAAACCTCAAAGAGAATATGAATAATAAATAAAGGTGCAAGAAAACAAGATTGAAAAGGGTTAATGAGATACGCAGGTTTGCAAGTCGCAATACGTTTCTAATCTTCTCATTGCGTCTTTCTGCTTAACAACGAGAAACTTTCTCTCTCTCTCTCTCTCTCTCTCTCTCTCCTTCTCTTTCTCTTTCTCTCTCTTTCTCTCTCTCTGTCTGAAACTGTCAATTGATTTATCAAAGAGATCGTTTCTAGTTGCTGTTACTGCTTTGTCGTTTGTGATTGTCAAACACAAGTGAATCGATTGACTAAAGCTAGTTTGAAAATTGCAAATTGCATTATACTCTTTATGTTCTTTACCTTACTTATAGATTTAAAATCGGAATATTTTTTTCAAATTGGAAACATAAAAAATAATCATTAAATATAGAAAATTCACAATTTAAAAAATAAATAATATCAACGAACTACTTGCATAAATAAAATTAATGATTGCTTTTTAAACGGATAATAAATGATTGAAGAAATTAATCCAGAAATTTCGTGGAATTTTTTAAATGTCGGTTATTGTCTTAAATTAAAGATTCAACGATAACACAGAGATAGTGAATTCAAAATTACTAGAAAAAATATAAATCAATACGAATGAGTTCACCTCTATTGAATTCGAATTCAATATACATAAGCTTTTTTTTATGTCGAGAATTGTGCATTATTGAAATTCAATTTCGTTTGTCTGGCTATGTCGTTTCTCTTCAATGCAGTTTATCCGATTTCTTCTTTTCGTTTTAAAACCATTTTAAAATAGTATGATACAAAAAATATAGATAAATATAAATATACATTTTTTTCAATTAAATGATTCAAGGGAAGAGAAAAAGAGAAAGAAAAAGTTGGAGAGAGAGAGAGAGAGAGAGTGTGTGTGTGTATGTATGTGTCTTATTAGGTATAATTAATGTAACATCCGATATTTTGATCAATAATTATGAATAAGTATTTGCAAATGTAAAAGACAAACGCACACAGTAAATAACTAAATAACTATAACATTTTTCATTCAACTAGTACGTGCATTATAACAATATGAGCTATATCGTTTTTTTTAAATCCCGTATCTGACACGAAACAATTTCGCTAACGTTCGCATTACAACATATATATATGGCAATGTAGCACGTTTTAATTAAATCGCGGTTATCACTTGCCGTTCGCACTCGTAGATGTTGTATCCGTCACGCTAGCGCACGTAATTTTTTCGATAATAAAAACAGCATGCGTGGTATATGATACACGTGATATTTTCCGCGATGACGTCACATTTCTTTAATCTGAATGAATTCTTTATAAAAATTGTCAACGAATTTTTCTTGAGGTTTTGTTTAAAATGGAAAATTTCTGGAACTTTAAACTAATTAATTAAGATTAATATATAATCGAAAACCGTATGACAATCGATACAATTAGAATTCATTGTTCGATAATAAATAAATAAGAAAAAATATTTAATAATTACATAATAATATTTGATATATTTGAATTTTATGTATAGAGTACATTTTATAAAATTTTAAAGATGTATTACTTGACGTAAATGTGAAATTTATTTTTCTTTATTAAAATGTCAAAAGTCTTTGCGTTATAAGCGATTAAAATAAACTTGTTCGTAAATTCTATTATATATAATAAATAATAAATAAATATACAATACAGGTGCTGCATGAAATGTAATTTTAGCGATCGATTTCTTATTTTCTTAATAATATTCTACATCAATCAAGAAACTCATTTTCACAGGTATGAAATATAGCTTTCGCTTAAATCGAGATTGCTCTAATTTGAAAAGCTTGGCGATTTGTCCATGTCGTGTATGCCACGTATTAACGAACTGCGACATAATTCTTTCATTACGCTCTAAACCAGAAGCGAAATGAACCAGCACGTTTCAGAAGACGTCAAAATATCTTTCTGAAAAATTCATCGCGATTGATCGCATCCCGGGATAGAGATATTGCGTGTAAAATATCACATCGGGCGCATCGGAGTTCACGTTTTTGATATAGCATGTCGCAGTACATCGCGAATTTATGCATTTACCTGTGCCATATTTCTCTACTCTTCTCCTCATTTTTTTTCTTTTTTTTTTTTATGAGAAATCTCTCGCTCTCGTTCTAACGATTCGCGGATGTTTACCATCATTGTGCGGCACGAACTTCGACTTAGCTACAATTTAAATGTCGCGAAAGAAAAATGACGCTGCATACGAATCGAAGCGGAGGCGTAATTATACGCCTGGCAAATGAGAACGCGTCGATTATACCTGACTGATAATTATCGATCCATGTAAGGATACTTCAACACTACTAACTACTTTTCTTAATCTACGAAAGCAAATTTGAAATTAACATGAAACATAATCTTTATACAAAGTATTTCAACAAGAGAATAATTTAATCAAATAAAAAAGAATTGTTCCGAAAAATAAATGCTTATATTTAATTTCTAAAAGAATCTTTTATCTGCTTATCATCTTAGTTTTATATCGGTTTATACCTTTATTTTCAATATAATTATTTCATAAATATTAATATAACCTATAATAAACTTCAACAGTATAAATATAATTTTGTTAGAGAATTTTTAAATATATATTAGGATGTGTCTGTGGGAAAAGAAAGAGATATATGTATTATGATAAAGCATCAAAAGAAATTAATCAATTTTAAAAGATAATTTAACAAGTAACATGCATCGAACGCAACAACTCGTTTCTCATCAATTCATTTTCATCGATCTAATTATCGTAACGAGGAAATGCGATAATTCGAAGTGCGTTCAAACTGCAAGATTGGATTAATATATCCGCTCTAAAGAAGTATGAATAACTTTGCACGTGGTTTCCGGTCTTCCGGTCTCTTTTCAAATTCCATTTAGACGATGTGATGATTTAATACAAATAGCATTTTTATACATTTAATGATCAAATAATTTAGTATTTTTAATATTTTTAGATGTATAATAATTTTTAGTATTTTTAAATGTATATGCTTTTTTTTAATTTACGATATTTCTTCCATATTAAAAGTACATATTTTTTTCAAATTTTTTCAATAATGTAAAGAAGAAAGAAATTATCCGCAATTACGAAAGTAAATAACGAAAGTAAATGACGCTTTTAATCTTTTTCCATAGCAAATCCAATTATCCTTACATATTTCACTCTAACATTTCTTTTGGCATTTATGCGCATTTCTAAAATGCGTAGGAAGAAGTGTATCAGTTCTAGTGATCACCTTGACCTTAATTAGTATACATTAGTAGTACTAAATTCACAACAGTATCTTCTGTTTTGTACTATTCGATATTTACAGATCATTAAAGTTTAGGATCTTTCATTCGTTATAGGACCAATGGATCCAATGCATAGAACTATTGGTCCTTTAGCTATAATTACACGTCCTTAGATAGATCCTTTGATGTGGCGATATTCATAGATCTTGAGTGCACAATATTGTCCTTGTATGCTTGCAAGAAGCATATTTTACATGCTTTTCAAAGATGGATTAAACTCTAAGTGTATTCGTATAATATATCATTAAAATATATTACATTAATAACATATTAAAAAGAAGTAGAATTTTCTTAGCCAAATTTGAATTTCAAATTTTTAATATATCTCATCTTTTTAATTTTCAATATCAAATATCTTGTTATAATTACGACTGGGAATAAAAAATTTGACAAAATAAATTTTATTTGAAATTAGGTAATATATAAAAGTATAATATATAAAATAATATAGATAATATATAAAATATAGGTAATATATAAAATAATATAGATAAAAGAAATAAAATTCTTTATTTATTAACGTGCATCATTAAAGCTTAAGTCGCGAAAAGACAATTTCATTTTCGATCACTAGTAACTCAATAACAATCAATATTTTAATACATTTTTTTATAATCACATATTTTTGTCTGAAGTTTAATAAAGAATCCATTTTTAATGATTCGAATATGTTCTGATTAATATTTTAGTTGTGTATTAGACAACATAATATATTACGTGCTCTGTAAAAAATATTACAGAATTACAAACAATATTAGAAACAATATAAAAGAGAAAAATGTATAATATTTCTATTATTTATTGCAGAATTTTACTCTTATTATTCATATAATTTGATATACTTTTTTTATAATATATGTCGCATTCGTTGAACTCTTTTATCACACATTCGTAAACTCTTTTATTTCGATTCAGATGATTAATCAAGCTATTTATATAAATGAAATTGCTGCAATTTTATACGCTTTTACGTGTCAACGCAATGATATATAATTTCTCGGGGAATACTTCTTACTCATCATTTTCTTGCTTGGATAAATCTGCCGTTTTGTTGAATTTCTCATAATTACTTTTCTTCTTTTATTACTGATTAATGATATATACCGTTTTCTATATAAATCTATATAAGATATTCTTGAAAAAACTACTATCATAATTCATAGCTTTTTGATTCGCAAAATTAAAGTTATATTTAAAATAAATTATTTTTTGTTATTAAATTGTTTTATATAATTTTTTTCTTATATAACTTTA